AATTTAATGGACACTCAACTTTATTGTTTTATATGTTTTCACAATTCAGCTTTAGTTTGTTTATAAAATCATATAAGGAATACCAAAGTCAAGTGCAAATAATTAAAATCATAAAACATTAATATTTGACACTAAAAAACTAAAACATATTACAAACTAAACAAGTGTATATGGGTGATATATAAGTCAAGGCGATATATATCAAGTCAAGGATATGATAATCCATTTTGCAGTATTAAGGGTAGTTTTAGAATAATTGGTTCAACATAATTCAGAACAACTTAACCCCTATTTAGAATGTAAAAGATACCTGATAATGGGTGGCCGTTCAATTCTCATCTTTTGGGGTTAATGTGTAATATTATTATTATTAAGGGTAAATTTGCTAAAGGTTGTGAATTATATGCAACAGTTTAATAGGTCTAACTCAATATAACTGCTAAAATATTAATAAAAAGAAATTAATGAAGGAAAGGAAATCAAAGTGTGTCTTGCAATACACAGGTACTAAAAAACTTTAATTTAAATTATTATTTTATTTATACATTATAGGGACCGATGTATGGACCGATGCTGCCAGATAGATATGTACCTGAGATACCTGGCTTGGTAAAGTAAACATAACAATATTTTATTCAAATAATTTGCAAAAATTATTTTTAGTATATTATAAAGAATATATCTTAAATATGTCTATAATTGCCAATATATGGACTTCCGTTAACATAAATTAATGAAATTCTATTCTTGATTATAATCATTTTTTCTTTGAAGGACATTTAACTTAGGACAGGTTGGACTTAAAGTATTTGATGTTATTTAGAGAAAACTGAAACAATTTCAAATGATTTTAAAATTATATATGACGAAATTTTATAAATACTTTATAAATACTTTAAATTTTATAAATACGTGAACTGTCGTTTAACCAAAACAATCAAAAAAACAATTCACATCACATTCTTTGTCAAGTTATTGTTTGCACTTAGACGTCGTGTGAGCAGTAAAACAACGAATAGTTTTTAGTCAATCTAATATATATTTATGTAAACTTGGCAAGAAAATTTCAATGATCAGTTTGAATATCAGACTTCATAGTTTAATTTCAGATACGTAATATCTTTAGGGTGTTGTTGAATCAATAAGTTTAGGTATAACAAAATTTTATCAAATAATCAAATAATTGCAAAAGCAAAAAACCACGTGATTTGAGTGCAAAAATTTAATGTTAATGACATTAAAGAATGCGCGTAGTTCTATTAAAATATTAATTATATTTTATTATTGCAGCCGCAGTGTGAAGATGAAGTCATAAATCGTTTCAATGAGGGCTTACAGGATTTAATGGACGAAGAAGAACAAAATAAAGTTTGCGAAGAAAAGGTATTAAACACAGAATATTCTGAATAAAGTGATATATTATTAAGGATAAATTCTCATAATAAACTTTATATGCTTTTCAGGACACTTCAGAAGTCTACGAACCTTACAGACCAACGACGGTAAAGTAACACAACTAAATGTAATTTATATTATTGCGGTTTCTCATTGAAACTATTTATTATTAATATTTAAAACCGCAACCTGCAATTCTGTGCAGTGCATTGTTGTTTAACGTACCTATAACTAGTTATATTAATTTATTAAAGTTTTGGGTGACCATATAGCAGCTTCGAGAAGAAACATGTTTTCATTCGACGTAATTGAGTCGAAATTATTCTATTCTTTGTCATAGATAAATCACTTGTGTTGAACATTTAACCACATTTTTTTTTTGTAGTGTCAAGAACAAGTCCTTGCGGTAAGGCAAGGAGTTACAGATCGCTTCAATGAAGGCTTATATTCCTTAATGGAACAAGAAATCGAGGAGAAGGGTTGTGAGGTACTTAAAAACGATATAATAATCAATAGTGAATATAAATTTACTTTTGGATAAAGTATTTTTGTAACATTTCATATACCCCATAGGATATGGGGCCTCAAATGGAAGCGCAAATGGATGCAGAAGTGGAGGTGCCACAAAATTACGAAGCTTTCGCGATGACAACGGTAAAGTGACCTTATTTCGAATAGGGTCAACACGCATTTTTATTTAATTGTTGAAAAACCTTATGATATCTTCTTTAGCCAACATCAATTTAATTCAAAAAATGTAAATTAAGTAATATAGATTAAAACAGCTAAAAAATATAATATTTAAGGATGTGAAAGCACTGTTCATATTCTAACATTTTCCCGAGTGTAGAAAAAATGAAATGAATTAAAAAGCTATTTTAGATGTTCTGACTACATGATCTAATGAATCATCAGTGTTTTCCAAAATAACATATAATATATTGGCCAGTTCAACGGCTTCACAGATACCAAAAAAAATTTATTACTTGAATCGATATCGAGTGGAGTACTCGATAACTCACTAGAGTAGAGCTAACCGTGTAAAAACGAAATTATGCCAAATACTCACAAAATAATGGAGTTTTAGTTTTATACCTAAAGAGCCTACTTAAATTCAAATAATGACCAATTGTGGTCTCACAGGATTGGCGTTTGTTCATATATAGACTAGCATACGAACAACGCAGAAAGACAACGAGTTCCCCATTTGGTTCTCTCCAAAATGTATTAAAAGTGTAGTTATTTGCTCCCAAAAGGCACAAATGTTGACATTTATGACTGAGCAACACTGTTCAACGTACAAGACGCACAAAGCCTCATCTCCGTGACCAAATTTAAACCAACATTTTTTTCTGTCACTCTTAATTTTTGTATTTGCTTTGAAAGCAACAAGAATTTCAATTTTGATGTGCCCATGATTTTCTGCAAAACACAGCACTAAAGGGCGGCTGAATACGCCTATTGTTAATAAGTGCAAGTCGAAGGCAAACTTTATGAATATAGTAAGATATATGCATTATATATAATCTGGAAACGATTTATTTTCATTCTAAAACTATTTGTATCATTAAAATTGACTGTGATCTGTATGTTTTTAAACATATAGTAATCCGTAGTTTTAATTGGCATTTATTTTATATTAATTTAGTCGAATTTTTATTTTAGACAACATAAGTTAAACAAAGTCTGCTACAAAGTGAACCAATTTATTGATAGCTTTATAAAACTAATAATTAAGTAATAATATTTTTCTACACAATTTTTATAAAAAATAAATCAGAAGCAGTTAGTTTGCAGAAATGTTGAAACTAATTTCATTCCTTGCTAATTTTAGTAATTAATATTAAAAATGTTAAAAAGTTAATTACATTATTTTATTGCAGTGTAAAGATCAGCTCGCGGCTGTACGACAAGGACTTACAGATAATTTCAATCAGGGTTTGCAATCTTTAATGGAACAAGAGAACCAAGACAATGCTTGCCAGGAAAGTATATTACACATAAAAAGAAATATATAATAGTCGATCAAAATGATAAATTTATTTTTAATTAAATATTTTTGTAAACTTTCATTTATTTTATAGGAACCGCCACCGCCAGCGCCACCGTCGCCGGAGATATGCGAACCGGACATGGTAATATAAACATAATTATTAATGAAACTATATAATTGTTATAGTTAAAAATTTATTTTTTATTTTTAAAAGTTCAAATATTTTTTTGTTTTAATAAAATTGCAAAATTTTGTTTTCATTCTAACAAACTATTTTATGTTTCTGGTCAACGAATTTGACTTAATTTTAGATACAGTATTAATACAGTAACACAGTATTAAATCTCTCAAAACAATTTTAAATTGTATTGAAATAATTAACAAATAATTTATAAAGTAACGTTTTTACATTCCTTCATTTAAACTCATAACTAAATAATTAAATAATAAGAAAAAATATTTAATAACTTAAATGAAAAGTTAGATTATTGGGTTATTCGTCAAGTAGAAGAAGATTTAATTCCATTCTGAAACCTAATATATATACTAAATAGTTTTTGGTAAGTGAAGACGATGCATCCACAGAACAACAGTTCCGAAACTGATTTGTAAAATTCGATCTAAAAGTTTCGATGTTAAAGATCCAACATGGTCTGAAAGATCTGATAAAAAAAACCAAAAATGATCAATAATTGAAATTCTTTCAATTCTCCAATAATCAAACTAGAGAATAACAACTCACGAAGTCGTTTATAGATTAAACGATCGATTTCGACCGTTTACAACAATTCAACAACAACAGTTCTTCAATTTATTTTTTTTAATTGCAGTATAAATATAGTTGTCGAAATGACGCTATGCGGCGAAGACAAGCATGTTCAAATCGTTTCCATGAAGGTTTACAAGATTTGATAGAGAAGGAAGAGCGAGCGAAGGCCTGCATGCCAAAGGTATTTAAAAATATTATATTTAATAATCGAAATTATACATTGACTTGTGGATAAACAATTTTTGTTGCCTCTAATAACACTATAGACACCAGTGAAACCAGAACCACCAACGGAGCCTTGGAAAACTCCGCATATTTTAACGGTAAATAAAATGAAAGTAATATTTAATTTATTTAATATTTAAATATTCAAATATGTAATAATTAATTGATATTTAGAAACTGTTTTTCAGGATTTTAAATCCTTGTTAATAAACTTTAACTTCCCTAATAAGCATTAATTGTTAATAAAGTGACATATGCAGAGATATTCAAATACATAACATATTCATATAGTTAGGATAACTTTTATAATATAAATATAGAAGATTACATAAATAATTATTTTGATTTATTTTAGAGGCGAGATATGGATATACAAGTAAGAAATGATTTCATGCGAGGACCAACAATGGAAGAAAGACAAGAAATGATGAAATACGTAAGAACTTTTCCACTTGCTGATACTTGTATATATTATATTTCGCTTTCATATAACTGCTATCGAAATATTAAAATAACTAAAATATTTTTATATATGTATCAGTTTTCATATTTAAACGTAAGTCCTAACAAATTAATATTTAGTAAAGAATATAGAAGGAGAATATTGGTTTGTATACTTGTAAAAAATGATCGGCATCAAGTGAGGATTAAGTCCACAAATTATATACTGAGAGTATACTTCTATTATTAGATCTATTCTGTTGTACGGAATGGCGATCATTTATACAGAAGATCTACTTCTGTTATTAGATCTATTCTGCTGTACGGAATGGCGATCATTTATACACAAGATCTACTTCTATTATTAGATCTACTCTGTTGTACGGAATGGCGACCATTTATTTAAATAAGATCTAAAATACAACTTTTCTCTACATCGTTTAGGTTAAAAAGCATTGGCTTTTGGTTTTGGTTGACCAACTCAGGCTATTCCACTGTTTTCTTAAAACATCGACGACCAAAGCCCCGTCAGAAAGTATGTGGAATAGACTCTTGTCGTGGGGAAGAGGCAAATTGAGCTTTTCTCAATTCACGGGTTCAAATTTAACTAAGTATTTTCTTGAACGCTTAAGAATTGGAACCGTATGTTCGCCTACCTTACTACTACAATATTAACCAAACATAAATCTTAGAAACGAACTAAGTAGTTAAAAAAATACCCGTTTAGTTAAATAAATATTGAAATGATTCAATTAAGTTTTTTACATAACGTATTAATGTAAAAATATTTACATTATATTTATATAATGGATATTTAATGGATTAAATATGTTCATTAAAAATGGGTTTGGAAACAATAGTGGCTCAAAGTGAATTTTTAAAATTTTCTGTTTTGAGTAAAACTGCAAAATAGGATAAAAAAGCAATTGTAATAGGCAGGTCATGCATTGTATACCTAAACCCTGATCTCTAATCTTTTTTGCATTTAATATGTATATCATTAATGTCATTTAGGACTAGTGGTTGAGCCTCTGAATATAAATATTTAAGAATTTAACAGCATGTGCAGCATTAATTTTGGGCAATGTAGTCATTATACTTCAGCTTCATCGTTCTCGCATTTTTTTGAATATTTAGATCAATTTTCTTTCCCAATCTAGAACTGAAATTTTTCATTATTGTCGACTCTAACTCGTATGTTACTCTATGTTTGAGAATACTATGTTCAAATACATAATTTAGAGAAGATACCTTGGTATATATATATATATATATACCATACATAATCAAGCCAAAATCCATAGTAACTACACAAGACAACTTTCGCAAACCATTGCTCTTAAGCAATACTCATGTTTAAACGTAGCATTTGGACTATATGTTTATTGGATACGTAAGTTTCTAATAGCTATAAAATTGTGGTGAAGTTAGGCGATAGAAACATTAATATGATCACACAATCTATCTACGATTCATTGTCATTTGATTGATGCAACATCCGCACCTAGCAAGACTCATTCAAGAAGAAAACTAATGAAAGTTACAGTTAACGAGTTGATTTTTGATTTTTTTGAAGTTGCAATCAAGAAGGTTACATATATAGAGTTCCAATAATTATGTTATTGTGAATATCACCAAGTTACGGCTACGGAGAAAACACTGCGAACACATATATATTTGTTGTATATATGCATAAAGTCATCTACATATTTAGTAGACGATATTTGTCAAATATTATTGGTTGTTCAATTTAAAAATAAAATAATTTAATACATCCTAATATTAAAAATTAAATAATAAATATACGTTTTTATTTAAGGAATCGGCACCACGGGGAAAGCGTGCAGCATCAGATATAGCTTACCAACAGAGATTCCAGAGGCGCATGACTAATCAGGTTTAAATATATGTTAATTATATAAAAGATTTTTACACTTTTAATTAAAGTATGAGTTTAAGTTTATTTATTTTATATACAGTTTATGTGGTCAAGTAGATTGTTTCAGTTCTTTTTGAGAGCGGCAGTTTAATAATACAACTAATATAAACTAAATTAATTAAAAATAATTAAAAATTAACTGCAATCAGTCTATTAATTCAATACATTATCCTAATGAATTTTTATATAAAGTATTGTATTATATATAATAAAAATGTTCTTAGTTGGATCTCATATCACAAGGTATGGATAATCTGACAAGAAATAGGTTCCAAAAACCTCGTAGGCCGAAACCTTGTCCTCAGGTGTGTCCTCCTCAGGTAAGTTTAAATTGGATAAAACCTTAAAAATATATAATATTAATTTTATTAATATTATATAATATATTTATAATATTAATTAACAAATTAATTTATTGTGTAATATGGTTATATTAAACCGTAAAAAACTGTGTTCAGAACTTAATATAAAATATAATAAATTTAATATAAAATAAAAAAATTAAACAATATTATATCAATAATAGCTGGTTTTTATGATCCTATTACAATATCTATTTGCGTAAAACAAATGGCAAATGTGAGCTCCGGCTAGTTTTGTTTTAATTAGCATTTTATCTCAATAAAATTAATTGACTAAATTTTTCAAACAAACCTTTGCGTCATTGGTTGTCAGGATAAAAATACTTTTTCTCTAAACTGGTTCTTCAAATTTGGAATTGTAATCTTGGACTTAATCCTGAAAGTGTCTTAAATAAGACAAATAAGAATAAATGTTCGGGTCTGTAAGCTGATAACAATCTAAACACAAACTTAAATAAGAAGTACTTAATAGCAATATTAATGAAATTATGCCATGTTCGTTAGAACGTGAGTATGAGAAAAGTATTCATCTATTTCTTTATGACCGTAGAAGTACCTTACAGTATACTGGAAGATACTACAAAAGACTGACGCAGGTTGCCATTGATCACTTCTCTCAATAAAAGTTAATCGATAATCACATGATCAACATATTCAGATTCTACGGCACTGTTAGATTGGGCAAAACAATTTGACAGATCTAGAGTAAATCTAAATTGAATCCTGATTTGCAAATTTCAAATGCTAATATGATAATAACTAATATGGTAACTGTACTTGTACCATATTACAATGAAAAATAAAATAATCTATAATATTTATAATTTTATAATTATTTTAAAATGAAATTTATAGTAATGACAAAATTACTTTAATTTTCAAAGTAGAGCTTTCTGACGAAATCAAAATATCATAAACATATTAATAATGATTATATGTTGGATAAAAAACATTTTTAATGATTTTTATATAGCAGTTCCAATGGCCCAAAATAGACTCAAATATAGAAAACTTGGACGATATTACGATTGACTTAGTAGGATCGAGCGCTGAAGGCGACGATATGTGCGAATAGGTAAACAATAAATTATTAGTTTGCACTACTTACTTACTAAGACTGTTATTAATTTACTTATTGCATCACAATAATAATAATTCAATGTTTAAATTTTGATAAATATATTAGTTATTAAGGAAAATATATTTCTACAAAGTCTTCTTAATCTTAGGAACTAAGAACAAAAGGAAGCAATTGGTAAAGGTAAATATAATTTTTACTGCATAAACTATATTATTATTCAATATTATATTAACATTTCATTGTATTATTATATTTTTATAAATGTTAATATATACTAATAATTTTCCTGACTGATACAGTAGATTATTTTTAAATTATTATTATCGAAAATTATAATAATTAATTATAAAGAGGTTTTTTTCGAACAGTAATGAACTACAACAACAAAAATATTATTTTTTTATATTAATTTAATTAATTAAAATTTTGGCTGACCAAACAGCTATTTCGAGTGTTAGTAAATAATAATTAATTATTTTAGTTCAGACATATTTTTTTTAACAGTTTATTGCATATTTATTAAATTATTAATTAAAATTTGTTTGTGGATAAGCAATAAAAACAAATTAAAAAAACAATCAAAAAATGATTTAAAAAAATAAATGTATAAAATTTTTTAAGTTAATAAAATGAATTAATAAATGCAATAAAAACTTAAAAATGTTTTAATGAAATTTTATGTATAGTTTACTCGTTTTTTTTTAAGAAAAAAAAACTAACCAGAAAAGTCAAACATTATATATCAAATATCTATTTCAAAAAGAAGATAATTGATTAAAAGGATTCAGTTGAATTAATGAAATGACATATGTAAAACCAAAAAATATATGAACTTCCACTGGTGGCGGTTCTCAAAACCGGACTTCAAAATATTTCGGACTATGCCAAATTACAACAATTCAAACTGATTTTTTTTACTAGAAGAGTAAAACTTAAATTTTTAGTTACACAGATCTCCGATCTATATTTATAAAATATATTTCTTTTGCAATAAAAGTATACATATCAAAAATCATTTGGTTTGTTATTTATTTATATTTTGTAATGTTTTTGTTATAACCATATATAGGAAAGTTTCTGGAAGTATAATTTTGTTGCTTCAAAAAGAATGAAGAATCATGTGTAAGGTAAGTCTTCGATTTTTAATACTCACCGAGTAAGAGTTTTCAAAATAGGATGTTTGCCTATATAAAAGAGATAAGTCTTAGAAGCTTTATTTGTCAACTTATTGCAAGCTCTTGTTCAGATCTAGAATTATTCAAAAAAATATCGTAAATGCAATAGAAGACATCTTCTTTTAGAGGTCATTTAATCTGAACTATATTAAATATTTTACTACATTTTTTTAATAGATCTTGATTTTATTGACTTTTTTTATAATCTAAACTTTGTTACACTATCCGTAATTTGAGGAAACAGTCGCTTCCTCTCGGCTAATGTTTGTTATTAAGTGATAATAAATGTACTCTCCAGAACAGCATGTCCAGTAATTAAATCTTAACCATATACATTAATCTATATTCGATTACATAAGCAGCAAATTTTGAATATATCAATAGACCTAGTAGATTCAAGTGATGGAGAATGTATAAATGATATTTCAATAGATTTTGTGGGTTCAAAATGTGAAAACGAATGCAATGAACCATATATAGGTAATGAATCAGTAGACTTAGTAGGTTTAAGATACGAACCTTTATGTGTGACGATATCTAATCTACTATATGTGTATTATATTTTTATTAAAAAAATTTTGATATTTTATATTTTTGCAATGTGTTAGAAACACGTTATTGTACTGATGTTTCTAACTTCCGATTATGTGATTATTAAGTCAATATTACCGAGGAAGTGAATTACTAGACGTTCGTTTAATGCAGCACAGGACGCCAAAGTAAATGAATGAACACTATAATAATTATTATTTTAAACACAAATTTTTATATTACCAGTTTAATCACATATTACAAAAATGTTTAAATAATTAAAAAAAAAATTCTTTATATTATAAATACGTAGAATTTTATTTTTCAGAAGGTGACTCATTAAAAAGTCAATTAGACTTACATTTGATTGACTTTTGAAAATGAATATGATGAATCCTAAGAATTCACCTCCTTTACAAAAACGTAACAGATGATATTTAAATCTTCTTTACTTTATATATCTCATCTTAGCGAGATAAGATTATATATATGTTTAGCAAAAGGTGTGTATATGTCCACTACTCTTTCCAATACTAGCAATACTCAACATTAGGCTTCAAAATTTTTCAAATTTGATATACTTATATTTGGTATAAATTTGAATTTCAGTAAATCAAAAAAAAAAACACTATATAAATTAATATTTACACTGATCTACATATATTTGATATACTTTTTTCATACATCAACAACAGATATAAACAATATTTCGTTATGTATCATTTTTATGTTTTTATGGGGTTCAGATCAATTCAGATCAACGGTATTCATTTATAAAACTACTGTTCTACTGTTTCCACTTCTTCGTAACAAAGTCTGCAACTATACTATATCTCTTGTAATACCTAGGTTCGATAGATGCTTTTTTACACTCCAATGTCAAGTGAGAAACTCAGTGACAAGTACAATTTCACTTTTGTTCAGAATTAGAAGCTCCCTAGTTCTGGCTTTTGATCGCTTCGACATAAGTTCTTTAGCTTGTCTGCAGTTTGTAAGGGTTACAAATTTTATTATAATTGTATAACTGCATCTATGTATCTCATTTACCCAGTATTCCAATGTTTATTATATAGAGTTTAAGTATTAGTGCCAGTCGATTGAAATAGTGTTATAATAAAAAGGGTATTACATTTTTGATTTTAGACAGTTCTTTAGTAAGTTGATCTATTAGTAGAGCTACAAAAAAAGCATGTATGTAATGTGATGACTATGTGAAGACTATATATCGTATATATAGACGTATTTGATTTCAAACTCTCGTCCAATATTTTTTAGTGTAGTGAGCTTCAAATAGTATATTAAATTTACATAATTATATTTTATATCATACTAATTTTTATTTGTATATTTTGTGAAAGTTTTCAATAAAGCAATATTGATATGTTTTTCACTTTCCTAGAATTGTATAATAATTGATCGGTTGGCTGCAGATAACCTTCCATCGACCTCAATTACTGATTCTTCCCTGTTTTGCTACTACATTCATCGTAAGAAACCCTAAGATAGATAAAATAGATAAAATACACATTAATCCATTGCGTCTAATTTAGATAATTTAATAGATATTAAATCGTTTCCAATGAACAGTATGATGAACTAATAAAGTCAAAAAGTATTTCCATAAAAACATGTTTCTTCTGGACGCCAAAGGCGGGGATTTAAAAAAAAGTTTAATGGTTTCCTTTTCCCAAGGGTTTTCAAAACTTCTGCATTGAGGATTATGAGAAATGTTCAGTTTTCTGTTCTAAGTACCAATGACCACAGAGAACTGTAGTAAGCCTTACAGATTTTGCACGATCCCGCTTAATAAATTTCATTAGTTATTGGCAAGCAGAAGAAAGTAGGTAGAGGTAATGGGTTCTTTTAATAGTTTCTAGATCAACATTAACCGATACCCTTGGGATACATAAAGGAAAACACCAAGGCGGGCTAAACCGTTAGATTTGTCATGTTCTTCAATGATCAGGAATCAGGAATCCAGACAAGAGTGATGTTAGCTAGCCGGTTTAGTACGTCCATTGCGTCTCTATGTTCTTTCACTTTGTGATTTTGTAATGCAATTTGAGTTTTGATTTCAGCCTGGGTATCAATAAAAATGGCAACATTACATTTGTTTTTCATGTGACTCGCAATTAGCTAATATGCTTACCTAATCGCTAAAACTTTAACCTGTGATTCCATTAGATAGCCTAAGGAAATAGTATATAACTTAAAATTCCGCGAAAATACTTGCTCGTATCCCCCCATCTCGCTACGCGCGTCATACGTAAATATTGAAGTACTGTGCTTTGGTTGAAAGTTTCTTCTTTTCCATTCATATAGAAAAATCATATACAGTACATATAATAATTACTTAATAGTACTTAACAAGATTCAAGTAATTTAGAATTGTAGGGTGTTATATAAGCACGGCTCATATTAGAGTAATGATTGCGCTAATGTTTAAGATAGTTCTTTTCTTTTATGTGTGATTGACTGCAAAAGTGTAACTTGTTTGGCAGTAAGAGGGAGAAAGTTTGAGAAAAGTGTCCATAAGGTAAAGTTATTAGCAACGGTAATAACTCTGTGTTGCTGTGAGCTTCAGAGCTAATGGTCACATATTGCTATTATTGACTTGCAGTTCAAATATATGATAATCAACATAGAAATTTTTTAATTTATTTGCATTGAATATAATTATTACCATCCAAATCATTCTAAATATTCAAATCATACTTGTCCCAAAAATTTTTTTCAAGTACTTTATTAATTCAAATATTAAAGTAATAAAAAGTAATGTGTTAGTCTGCTGATGTTATTTGAAATGTCCGATATTTTTCCTTCTTAGTTTTCAGGATTCCTTTCTAAGTCGCTAGATACAATGGATCTAAGTTTGCTTTAACTTCGGGTATCAATTTCAATTTTATTTTTCATTTATTAAATTCATTTTTTTGAGCAGCCTAAAAATATGTTATATAAATTTTAATTGTGCAATATAATTTATATCAGAGAAAGCAAACTCTATGGAATCGTTCAAGTCTAGCATACATAGCACACATTTTTGCCCTTTCAGGCTTACTCAACCTCTATATAACTCGAAAACATATGTATATGCACATATGACTATATGTATTTTGTAACATAGCCTGTTATCTAAGGCCCTTTACAGTATTTTTTTGTCTCTGGTACAAAATTCAAAAGTGAGTCTAAGGTGAATCTATCTAAGGCCCTTTACAGTATTTTTTTATGTGTCTCTGGTACAAAATTCAAAAGCTAATACTCTGAAGGCATGAGCTCGAGCCACAGATATGTTTATGGGCCCATGATGTTGACGGAACTTTAGTCAGTTGATATCAATTATTTACTGGGCTCTGATGAAATGTAATGATTATCGATACACAACTCTAGTAAATATATTACGTTCAATATTTTAGTCAAGGTAAAAAAAAAAAAATTCAGTCTAACAATAATACGGGTATAATATGAAGTTTCGTATATAATTTTATACCGAACAAAGTTCAGGTACACCCGTATTATCTGCGATATTTATTTTAGGATTTAAATAAATGGATACATATTACTGCTATCAAAAAAATGGTAAGATATGATATTATCCTGTGCTTTGGACTGCTTAGAAACACAAAAGTTACGTTAAGAAGTTGAACAATTCCGATCTGTTGGGTAACCAACATAACTGTGGCGAAAATAATATAGATCCAACTTAGACCAGAATGTTTTCATCGTTTAATAATTTATTCATAAAATTTCTAAGAGGGCTTTGAAGTTCAAATAATAATGACATTTTAATTAAATGGAAATTTTAATCTTTTATCTAATTTTTATATATTTTTTTGGGTTTAATTTTTTTTTGGCAATAGCTTAAAATTTCAGTAAAAAAATTAAAAAATGAAGTAATTTGTGTTTTGGTATTTCCCTGAAATGAGTAAGTAACATATAAATGAAGGACTTTCATCCATTTAAATGTTTTCAGATATTTATTGTTAAATAAGCTATCATAAGGCTGTGTTACTGAAAATCAGATATATAAAGCCAAATAGATATAAAATTTCATTTAAGTAATGAAATAAAAGTGTGATAATCATTTACATCTGGAATGCAGCCTACTTTTGTCATTATTTAATTACATACCTAAGCCAATTCTTTGGATTATTACTTCTAGTTGGACTTATTAGTAATTTTGCTTCAATAAAAACCTTAACAAAATCACTGAAATCATATAAAATTTTCTGGAAACATTTGTTAAGCAGGGACGTAATCAGATATTAACTTTGCAAGTGGGTTGCAGGTTTAACACGTAATAATTATAAAAATAATCTCCAAGATATGCAAATATATGGAAAATTCAATCTGTTTCGATTAATAATTTAAAAAATATTATAGTTGTTGATTAATTAACTAAAAGAAAAGTTTTATTTTACTGTGATACCTGTGTACATATAGTTTATCGGTTTATTTGGAGAATGGGTTTGAGATCCCTTTTACTCACTTATCACCAAGCACTTTTATGGAAGAGAGTATAAGTTTTTAAAAATGGACATAAATGTTCTGAAAGCTTCTACGTAATTTCGATATTAATTCTGTGTTCAGATTTCATATTTAGCAACAAAAAATATGCAGTATATCCTACAATGTAACTATTTGAACCAATTTTGTGAAGGTTTGAGAAAAATTTAGAAAAGCGAGTATGATTTTTTTTGAAAAATTTGCACTAAGCATTAAAAACCCGCACATAAAATTGTCTACAACCGAGAAAAATATACATGAGAACATCTTTTTAAATTCACAGGAATTTTAGTGTTATGAAGATTTGATATTCAGCAAGTTTGTGAATGACCTTATCAGTATAGATGCAAAGATTTCCTATAAGGATTTTCTTGACTTTCTATTTCATGCATAAAAGATGAGTTAATAATATTCAAATCAAGAAGTAAATGATGAAAAATTGACGAAATTGCATGTAGAATCTGTTCAAATTTTTGTAATATTCACAAAACGTCCTCCTGCAGATCAACGTAGTTTAGATCGAAATTTTATAGCATTAACCCATTTGGAACTTTGATATATGATCGTACGATTAACTAATTTTAATTGTTAAATATATAACCAAAAAAAGTGCATTCAACGTCTTTTTAACATATTAATAAAACCTCATTTTCGTCTGAGATAGTAATAGTTTCTATATCTATTTGCTTTTCAGAAAGGCAAAAGAACGGATTGCTTCGAAACTTTACTGTGGTATTAACTACAAATTGCTATAAGATCGGCCTAAAACAAATTGTAATCAAACGTAAACAAATTTTTACCTTATTTAGTTTTATATATAAATATTTTTTATATATATATACATATATTTATAGTTATACATATCCCGGTAAACGATCAAATATATTTTAAACTAAAATCCATGCTATGCATATAATAAAAGGAACTAACTATATATATAATTATATATTATATACTGACTACGTAATATATGTACACAAGGCGGTCACTTTATTCTAATTTCCTCTATATATATATGAAAAATATAGGAATTATCAGCTAAATGTGCTGAGAATGCTGCTTTTAATATATTCGATTAACTTTAAAAAAAATGGAATCAGAATTAGGAATATTTATTCATACCTTTTTTTGTATTACAGTTTTCAGGAAAATAAACGAATAAATATACACTTGTGCTGAATCCTCAAAAAAATGCACAATTTATACAACTTAAATCAATATATTTTTAACTGGTATGTTTTTCAAAATAATATTTTATTTTATTATTAATCTATATTTTTAGATCAATCACGGAAGTTAAAATTTCAACATGCAGAAGGTAAATATAATTATTGTTTAAATTCTTAACAACATATTTCTTTAATCATATTATAAAAAAAAAAAATTATATTATTGGAGATTTTCCATCTTCTAATTAAGTGGAGATATAGATTATCAAAGATAATGTCCCAAGAAGACATATAAATTTAGGCAATAACTTTAATTTATTTTACTTACTTACGTACTGCATCCTTTACTCCTGCTGAAGCATTGTGATTCATACCATAATGAAATGCTCACCGATACGATTTCTGTTTAATAAATTGTGTTCGAAGCTGTTTTTGTGACATCATTCCACGTCTATCCGATCTTATTTGACATTATTAATGGTTCCACGCCATGTATGAAATAGTGCAGATTTAATTTTTGAGTTGAAGAGATGCTACTTTGTTCTCTGTTTCTCAGATTCCTATTCACAATTATAGTTCATCAAATCGTTTCAATGAAGGTTTAAGAGATTTAATGGGCGCGGAGGGCCAAATTCCAATTTTAATTTTAATATTTTTTTCAAAAAAATATGAATATCTATTTACAAAGCTATTTATTTTTGCAATTGTTTTCATTTGAAGAAATAATCACCCAATTTTAGTTTCCTGTTAATAATTTTTTATATTCTCTGAAAAGAGTCAATTAATATATTGAAACCGATAAAACTAATACTTAATTAGTTTGGATTAAATGTTAAAATAGACTTGAATGAGAAAATTAAAAGACATTAACAAAAAGTTTAAGTTCTGGAATGCAAAATGATTATGTATAAGTTTCCAATATCTTATGAAGAGAGCACATAAAATTTTGTAATTTAGATAACAAACACTAAAATTTAATGTACAATGGGGGTTAAGTTGAACTACATTGCAAATCTGACTCTTCTTACTGACGGCCTTTGTGTTGCCTCTAACGGTATTCTAACTATTTAATAAGTGATATATTATTTAGTATCTCTTTAGCATGTAATTAGGTAAAGCTATGGTATAGAATCTAACTATAAGATGAAGTAATAGAGTGTATAGTAGTATACGAAATCTCTAGAGTACCATCAAGAGGAATCTATGTACAATAAAGTAAATATATATAGTTTACTTAGTTTCCAATTCACAATAGTTCCCAATTAGATTTGCGATTTGTTTCAAAGCTAATATAGTAGTAATTAGACTAAATTGGGAAAAATTTTAAAAATGTCAAATAAATAGCTTTCGTCCATATCTAGAGCTTGATAAGTGACTTTAGAGGTCACTTTATCCGATTGTTCTAAAACTATATATTTATTAGATTCTTGTGCTTGAGCTCAAAATTTTGTTAAAACTAATCAAATAAATAAATAAAAAATATTTTTGTTTAAAAATACGAAGAAATATAGAATATATATAATTATGGGAAAAACTAGTAGGATAATACGAGTAAATACTAACAATATAGATCGATATAGGTAATTCCGGATTTATTTACCTCATAAAATAAAATCACGATATTGCACTTGTTATTCAAAACAGATCCTGACATCTTACGAATGTTTAAAAAATTAATATGTTTATCGTTTGTTTTTGAATTGTTTTAAGATTAGTTCAAAATTTGCAAATATATCTAAAACACCACTAAAAAATAATATATATATTATGTAATATGAAAAATTATTCATTTTAAATATAGTTATATATATATTTCGGGTAGTAATATATTTATATAGTTATGTAGTATATATTGAATTAAAATATAAACAAATAAAATTAAATATAATTTTAATAACTTATATATATAGTTATGTAGTATATATTGAATTAAAATATAAACAAATAAAATTAAATGTAATTTGTATTATATATAGGCAAAAATTTGTCCAGACGAGGGGGACCCCTATGTTGTGGTATGTAAGCGGCCACACCTCTTCAGGCATATTTCATTTTAATTTTGTAATTTGTATATTTTCAGCATTGTCCTGCACATTGTCCAAAATTAAAAGATCCAACAAAGGTATGTCAGAACAGTTATTATACAGGAAAATATTTTATTTTTGAGTATATCTAAATGTATTTATAATTAAAATTATGATCCACACACACATAATGTCATGAGCTCTATTATAATTATATAATATACATATTATAATATACATATTTATTCGTGCTATAAATATATATAATACATAACATATTAAGGAACATTTTTTTTTGTGCATAATACGTTGGGTTAAGTTAAAATGTTTATATAAGGATTAAAGAAATTGTTTTTTATTTTTATGAAAAGAATAGATGTTTACTTTATAATAAATATATAGTAGTAGTAGAAATTTTTTTATTAAAACCTATAGTCCTTCTCGGTCAGTCTTCAGTTTGATTTATAGTATTATAGATATGAAGTATATTTTAAATATATATAATTTTGCCGTTAGATTTCTGTTTATTTTTCCAAATTACAACAATTCCTCCATTGAGAATCACGCTGTCATCTCCAGTTCACAAAAACTTTATGACTTCTTTATTATTTAGTCAATTTTCTTCTTGAGATTGATTACAACAGAATTACTAAACAAAAATCATCAAGCAGATGCATACTACATTTCCATTGAATGAATTTTCAAATAATGTTCTACAAATTTTCTTATATAATATTTTTGATTTCGATTAATATTAATATTAATTTCGATTAATATTTTTTTTGAAGCAAATTTTTTTTGCAACAGTAACCATATGCATTTGGGAAGTAAGTTGTGACCCTTCGAAAAGACCAATTAAGCATTACACTCAATATTTTTATTTCAAATAAATAAATAAACAAATATATTTCAAGTTTCTATCCTTTATGGATAGAAATATGATATGGCCATTTGAAAATGTGTCTATAATGCCAATTCTCAAAACCTCATGGACCCATATCTCATAGGAAAACAATTACAAAATTTTTTCCCAAGATACGGGTCTTCTTATTTTATGAAGAAAGCTCATAAAAAAAATTTAACCAAATCGGTGTCCAATTTGTAAAATAATGACCCATGTGCATAATACCATAAACTACTTAGAATCAAGTTTGTCACACACCGCGTCCATATATTTCAAGGTTTATTAGTGCATCTAATGTTGTACCCCGTACAGCACACGAATTAAAAAGAGCTTATGGAATTATGTAGGAATATTGTGCAAATATCACTACGTAAAACATTATAGGAGTGTTTAGGAATATTTTTGATTAATAAATTACACGTATTATATTTTTATATATATAACTATATGTTTTGCTATATGTTATGCGTATTAATATATAATTAATAAATTTCTTTTTCAGCGAGCTTGTGGAGGAGTTGATTCTGTAAGTATTATTTTTCAGAAATTTACATTAAAAATGATTTGGTACATATTTATTAAATTCAATTAAAAATATAAAACCAGACCAAAAACATTTTAATATAAAATAGATAGCAGTTAGGCCCTAAATAATTTTTCTTATAAGTATAATCTAGGTATTTGTCCTGATGCCGGCAATCCTTCTGTAGTGGTATGTATATGGGCCTAGCCTATTTAAACAGATTTGGATTTAACTTTCTAATGTATAAATTTTCAGCATTGTCCAGCGCGTTGCCCATCATTAAGAGCGGCTGCAAATGTATGTAACATTTCTCATGCTATTAGTATAATTATTTTTTGAGATAAAATGTTTTTGAAAAGCTAACAAATAAGCCATAGCATTGGCGTCATGATATAACCTTATCCTTCTTAAGAATTTATAGGTTTTTAAGTAACCATTTTGGCAGGCAATAACAGCTTATATGTTAATATATTGGATCATTCAGCACATCGCCGTCAACTTTATACGTGCTTCCTTTTTCTGCTTCAAATTAGCTCTGATTTTCTACACTTTAACATATACGTCTACATGTTGATTACACATTCTGTTAAAAAAAATTAAACAACATTAAAAACATTACGCATTCATATCCTATAATAAAATAGTAATAGTATTTTTTTTATTTTTTATTTTAGTTCAAAAACAATATATTTCAATTTTAAAATTAAACATACTCGTTTATTGTATAAATAAATAAATTACAAAACATTTACTTATAAAAATAGTATTAAATATTGAACCAAAGGCATAGCTTAAATGTCGTCTTCCAAATAAGCTATGTAACATATATAAATTTTATTTTTAAGATATACAAAAAAAATATTTGAATAATAAATTATTTCTACTATTCAAATAAAGTATTCATATTCATTTTTTACTATGCCAAATGAATTAGTATATTGCCAAACGATTTACAGTCACATAAGTTCTTCTTTTAGGCCACATCTCTGTGCGGATCAAGTAATCGTTCAAGGCCCGTAAGTTTTAATATTGTATATATTTTATATCAATTAAGTAAATAATTATTTATAAATAATTAGAAACAGTGAATCAAAATCAAAAAACTGCATTATAAAAATGTTATTAAAAATTCTGATTGTTTTTAATTGAAAATAATTGTAATATTTCTTCAACAAATGTTTTAAGTAAACATAAGTTCATTGAAATATGAATTAGACAAGATATTGTTTGCCTAATATAAAATATAATTATGTTCATATCTGTAATAAATAAACTATACATTAACTGAAATATTAAAAGCTTCAAGCAATTGAAGAAACTTCAAATTTATAAAGTTCTTAATACTAACATAAAATAATATAATAATGCGGCGAAATAATGCGGTACGTAATTCAAAATAATATACGGATCGTTCTACTAAATAATGTAAAATTTGATGCTTAAAGTTATATCGAAACCTTATTTTTTGCGACTATTATAAAAATATAATTTTATTTTAAGATTACTCCAAGTGTATGTCGAGATGCAGGTCCCCCAAGAGAAGTACGTAAACTAAATTACATGTTATTATATTATATTATATTATATTATATTATATTATATTATATTATATTATATTATATTATATTATATTAATAATATAATGTTATCTATTATTAAAATATTATATATTATATTATATATTATTATAATATTATATATTATATTATATATTATTATAATATTATATATTATATTATATATTATTATAATATTATATATTATATTATATATTATTATAATATTATATATTATATTATATATTATTATAATATTATATATTATATTATATATTATTATAATATTATATATTATATTATATATTATTATAATATTATATATTATATTATATATTATTATAATATTATATATTATATTATATTATATTATATTATATTATATTATATTATATTATATTATATTATATTATATTATATTATATTATACTAATCAAAATTTTCTTGCAGATAAATCTTAGAAGAAGCCCCACTGGATATCCTGTAAGTGATCAGTTATATTTACTAAGTATAAAGTCGCGTTCTTTAATATATGACAACAACACTCTATAATTTGTAATATATTGTTCATATATTATAATTATGTTTTTCGAAGTTATATGAATGCATGTTGTAAAGAAATTGTGCAATATGAAGTAAAGTTGCTCATAGACTTTAAAACTCTTATTTTGTTTCAGTCGTAGAATTATTAAAAGCATAAAATTATTAAAAGCATATTATAAATTTTTGGTGTAGTAATGTTAGCTGGGGCATTTTCTGGCCAAATCTAGTTGCATTGTTTAAACTTTAATATTTAATTATTAAATGTAATATTAATACTATTATGTTATAATAAAATATACATAGGACCTATTACATAATTATGTTAAGTTACATCCTATTGACCAATTTTCTGTCTTGTGGTTAGGTTGTATCATTTCTTCTATTGAACTCTTATATGTTATAGTATTTTATTATTATATATTATTATTATTATTTATGTAACTTTGTAGAAAATAAATATTGATAAATTTTGTTTATGCAAAATTAATTAAAATATATAGCTATTGAAATTATTTCTGTCAAATAATTACTATTTTTCTAGAATCTGTATTCAGGCGGAGCCGGTGGAGGTTCAATTCCTGTAAGTATTATAGGCAATTTTGAAATAAAATAGTGGAAACGTATGTATATAACTCATATTATGTATAAATTTGTAAAATATTTATAGAAAATTCAATTACAAGACGAATACGGAAGAATTGTGAGTAGAAAACATATGTTTCATATAAATAATTATGTTTACCGTTAATACATGAAATAAAAAATTTTTAATTTAAGGGCCCATGTCCGGAGGAAGTCAATGAAGTAAATTCATATATAATAAAACTATATTTTGTATTGTAAAGTTTTAATTTTAGTTACCATGTCCACCCAAAAATCGATCATTTCAAGTAAGTTCAATTTTGTAATATTTATTTTTAATTGAACAAGTATAGTAAGTTCATAAAATTTTAATAATTGAATTAAACTTAATATTGTAATATCTATTCCTACTAAGTCACCATGCCCAGCACAAGCTTCGTCAAATTTGGTAAGTTCATTAAATATTTATGCATTAAATTTCAAATGCATAAATATTTAAATTTCAAATGAGGTATTATTAATTTTAATTAAATAAATTTAATTACAGTTACAAGTTCCATCAATTCGAGTAAGTTCATTTAATCTATAATATATATTAAATTGCAATCTTATACCATACATTTTTAAACACAGCCGCCACGTCGCCCACAAAGTTCTTCTCGTCGAGTAAGTCCATTAAATTTTGATAGATCAAGTATCAAATTGAATATTATTAATACAATTTTATAACTTATATTTTACTACAGTCACCACGTCCAATTCAAAGTTCACCGAACGTTGTAAGTTTACGGAACGTTAATATAAAAATGATCAAATTAATAACATTTTTAATTTCAGTCGCCATGTCCAGCACAAGGTTCAACACAAACAGTAAGTTCATGAAAATTGGTTAAATAAATTATTATTAATTTAAATTTCAAAATTTCAATTAAGTAATATAAATAAATCATATGTAAATTAGATAATATGTCATATTAGAATTATTCCCCTGTCCAACCGTTGGTCAACTATTGCCATCTATTCTCAACATATTTTCCATTATATCATGATATATGATCTGATTCTCTTGTATATTATAATACTACAATTATGCTACTATTATGATTAGTGTCTAGTAAACCTTCATTAAATGTATCCGTTCATCTCGTGAGTAAAAGCCAAAGTTCTTCATTTAAGTTGGAATACTCTAAATATTCTATGTTTTATATAATAATCAGATTCAACAATAGTGTGATGAATAAAGTGGTAACTTTTCTAATTTTATCTATTATCTTCTAGTATTTTTTGAATCCTACGACTAACATGGATGTAGTAAAAGTGGTTTATTTTTATTTGTATAGTGGACAAATATTGCATCTACAATTATACAGATCTGTCATAAAATAAAGACTTTGATCGATATTATTATTCCTATATGGATTATATGATATGACTCATAAATTTTTTGCTAATATTATAACAAAATGTTATATTTCCTCCAAGATTAATCTTTGATAGTTAGACATAATGCTAAAGTATTCTTAGTATACCCTAAGATACTTCTCTACATATAGAACTTTAAGTATTTGTAACGAAGAAATGCTAAAAATTTGAATAACTTAAAAATGTTTATAAATTATAAAAAATAAATAATTTACTTTCTGTTCATAAATAAATAAATAATAAATTTTTATTTCTTGTTTTTAGGGCACACAATTTAGTTTTGACTGTACAGCTGTTATTGTAAGTATCTCACCAATTAGATTCGTTTGAACTTCACTAAATTTTGATTATTTAGTGTTTGTAGGTCTAAGTGAACAAAATTATTGGAATAATAGAACAATTGTGTTTTTGGAAGTTACTTATTATTTCTCATTGTCGACGTTTCGATGTTTTTCTGACTTCGGTCAATATTGCATCAACCATTGAAAGGAGTGCCCAAGAAGATTAAGATCATATGAAAAAAAAAATAACGAGAACAATAAATAGAAAAAAAGAGAATCACAATAAGCTACTGTTTTTTATAGTTTAAAAATATTTAAAAAATTTTTTTATAAATTTTCATAGATATAACACAAAACTAAGTTCATTAAATAACATTTAAATCAAAAAAATTTTGAAATGTCGGCAATAAAAACAATATATCTAAAAATGAAAGACTGTTTTAATATCCCAGATTTTTGTTCACTAAAATCTACAAATACTATATATATATTACTCTATTCAATTATTTAAAAGGAAAAATTACAGTAAAATTTATTTATTTTCAGCACATAGATTCGCCAAATGGAGGAGCCGTAAGTAGTCAATTCAATTTTTTTAATAAGTTTATGGAAGGTTGCGAGCTAAATGTGCTTTATTTATTACTTAGATTACTTTATTACCTAGAGCTAGAAAAGCTCTAGGAAAATACTTTACACATACTTTGTGGATGTATCGTGTTTATTATCATACTTTATGACTCATACTATAACTATTAGGGTATAGGCTCGGCTGAGTTTTGTGCTATTTTGTCCAGAAAAGATTTTTTTCTCTCATTAAATGTGTTTACTACTTACTTAACATTCAATAAGTACTACTTCATAATCGAAGTTAATTATGTTCTTATATACCCCAAGGTGTTTTCTCACCTCTACTCGAACACCGATGGCCGTGTGTCAGCAAAAATATAACATTACTAACCTTTTTAACTTGATGTGAAAAATAATCAAATTTCTTTCATTCAATTGCTGACCGATAAAATTTTGTTGACTGAATTAATTTTCTTCCCGAAATATGCAGTTATTGGCCGTTGACCTTGCATCACTACAAGAATTTGTTTGCAAGTTAAAAATTAATCTATAACCTACATCAACTATAACGTTTTAAGGTTTTGAAAATTTTCTTATCAATAGCTAGTTCAAGTTTTTAGCAACTGTATAGTTACAGACTCTCCCTCATCGTCCGAAGGCTGATTTTTATTCCCAAAGCTAGAAAGCGAGAAAGTATAGTGTCGGTAAAGACTACAGATCAATCAAATTAATCCCTTAAATGTTCAGAACATTTAAAAGACTGTTCGAGGTGCATGTAATAGTTTTTTTTATTGGAGACTAGCGTACATACAATTGTGATTGTAGAGAAAGATCAACCGAAATATAATTTCATAAAGTTGTCGTTTGATAAAGAAATCGCGTATTGAATTCCAGCCATATGCTCTAGCTGCATTTAGTTTTTAAACTAACATGGTTCTTATAGACGTAAGTCAATACAATACTGTTCACTAAAAAAAAAGCTATCCTGATTTGGGTGTATATGTAATATGCCCGCACGGTCATGAATAAAGTGCTCATTTTTTATATGTCCTCCAAATAATCATTATCAATTTTCGAGAGTTTGTCCAAAAGTATCTTAATTCGATTTTTTTGTGAATTGTTAGTTAAAAACTCCATTAGCACTTGCACATAAATGTAGCAGATGATATATTATGTGAAATAAGTAACTTTATATTATTTACTAGCAATAAATTTAAAGTCCATTCAAAAGTCACATATTTTTTAAGGGTTGCCCAGATGCAGGATATGACTACCAAGCTAATTTTGTAAGTAATGACTACCATTTCAAAACTGCAAGTGTAGAAAAAGAACATGTTGATTAATTAATTTTTTCTTTATAGAATCTAGTAATAGATGTTGATAATAATGAAATGGTGAGTTTATTCCTTTAAATTTGTAAGAGAATAATATAGAATAGAATAATAATAATAGAATAGCATAAGTTCTTATATTATTGCGTAATTTATCACAAAATTCTTATTTGTGACATTTAAATAAATATTTAAATATATGGCATACAATTTTTAAACTAATTTTTCTATTGTTTTTTCTTTTAGTATATAACGTGAAACTTCCTGAGGAGAGAAGCCTTTTGCTTGATTACATTCATCCAATTTACAGTGATGTTATGCAAAACCAACTTAATTAAATAATTATTGTAGTAAATGTACTAAGAAAATTGTAACCCTTTCATAATCAACATTAAAAAAATAATAAAAAAAAGTTAAATTATTTTATTTAAGTTTGATACAACAACAGTCAGTAAAGAATATTTCTTAACTGAAAACTATTTTATGCAATTTTAGTAGGCATAAGATTGAACTGAAATGTATAACTTATCTGAGTACATTATTAGATGTCATGAACTGTACACGATTAGCTACAAAATGAGATGACAATCTCAACATTAATATTTCCAAAAAAAATTTCAGATAAAAATATACTTTCATAATCGTTAAGCCTGTTATCAGCAACATAGATTCATGTTTTGTATATAGACAACCAAACCTCATAAATTTTTTTTTTTAATCGATTAAGAAGAGTGTGCTGATTTATATCAAAGCAGCATGAATTTTCTAATACCTGATTTTTTTAAGTTTAAAAAAAATTAAATGTTCAGTATACATAAACAAGCATATATAAATATTAACAATATTGGTACTTAAAAATTTGTCATAAATTGTGATTTGTTGTTGAATACCGTCCCACTCAAACAATACGAATAATTGAATTGTGGAAAATTAAATAAAAAAACTTCACTATTCTGCACAAAGTAATTTTAATTTAATTGTTAAATTATTTTAATTTAATTTGGTATTTTAATTTGGTGTCCTGATCTTCAGTCACCAATTAGCAGGGGATCCATCATTCTCATGGGCCCATATCCACCTCAATGAGTGCAAACTCATGCCGGCAGTACATCATCAGTTTACTCAACATATTGATCCGGATATATCAAATTTCAAAAAAATAAGGTATTTCATCTCCTGCTCCGCACATTGACATTGTGACCCACGCCATAACACAAACGTTTCTAAGCGCTATCGGCGATGCCTGCACATAGTGGTGGCTAGTCGCCGGTAATGTTTATGTTCAACAAGTCACAAGTTCATAGCCATACAAAAATAAAGTGATGGTATAATCTACTCCCCTTAAAAATACCCTACCTTATTAAATACAGGAATGAAATAAACGAATAAAATAAAATATATATACTTACATACAAGTAAAATAACGAATTAAAAGTAAATAAATAAATAAATAAATAAATAAATAAATAAATAAATAAATAAATATATACATAAAAGATATATGAAATAAGATATATGAATTGAAATATACGAATTCAAATATATTTAGATATAAATAGATATAAACTATTATCAGAATAGACAGATTGTGCTATATAATTAATAGAGTTAAATATTCAAACCAGAGTTGCTATAAATTATTTGATGGTTAGGTTAAATCTTCTATACAGATGCTTTTCTTAAGTAAAAGTATTTTCAATATATTGATGTTAAACAGTTAAACAAGTGCTTGTGGCTTGTGATCTGACGCCACTGTGTCCTTTGTAGAAAAGTACTTAAAATTATTGTAACATACGAACAAACCAGCACTGAGTTCATCTGTTTCTTGAAATAAGGTCTAAAATGATTGAAGTGGTGGAAATAACCTATCAAGATACAGTATCTCAACAACTTCTTCGGTGTTCCAAATCATTTTTTTATTAGCATTGTTAATAATTCAAATAATTAATAATTTAATTAATTAAAATTAATTATCTACTGTTAAAAAAAATTGTTTTAATTAATTAATCAGTTTTATTTAATCTCAAAAAACATCATTTATAATATTTGTAACTTTATTTAGTGCATGAATATTAACTTCTATGAGGTTGTGTCTTCCATTTAATAAGCAGATCAATATTCAATTTATATTCAAGCTACTTAGATTGTTAATACTTAATAAATGCTGTTTACTAGGTGCTATTCGAATTATTTCGTTCATACTTACAAAGTAAGTTTCCAAAGTTATCTGAAAAAGAATAAATAAAAGTTAAACATAGTCTTTAGCTAATTATTTAAATCAAGTCAGAAACTATATATTACATTTGTAGTAATTTTTATCAAGAAGATCTTTTTTAAAATATATATTTAAATAACAAATGCAAACAGCATAACAAATTCTATAGTTTACTAATGTCCTTTACCCGTGAGAGTTAATTTCTTATTCCGAAACAAAAAAAAATCTTATTAAAGGGTGTGTATTGTCAATTATTACCAAGAAACGAGAAGCAAGTTGAAGACAATTCTTCCCAAAAAAATGGGCGGTTTAAACGCAACACAATGTTGATTACATTTGGAACAGTTCGTTTCAACACAAATAAAACACGATGAAACGCGGTACAGCATGGATTAAACCAACGATTTCACTACCGAAGAGTGATATGGCACGACCGATCAGACAGTGGTTAATTCAAGCGTCGTCCGCCTTGTTTGTCATTACTCCTTGTTTGCCATTTTGCCATTATTATATTATCGTTCTATTGCCTGTACCTTAGTACTCTTTAATACATTGTATATCCTTTAATAGATATCAAGTATTATGTACATATTTAGTGATGTATATATATACATATACATAAATATATATTGATATAGAAATATTTACAAAATATTTCAACATTATCAAACTATGACAGTTTACCTAATACATGTACTTAAGTGCTATCCAAATATTAGTAAGAATCTCTTACTTTATTTTTTTAATTGCTTGATTGAAGTCAAAATCAAAATTTACCAAAGTATAAAATCCTTCAGCTAGTTATATGGATGATAACTATGCCATACTTGAAAATTTTTTTGGATGTTAACAATTTTGCTTCCTTAGTATTATCCATTTTGAGACATTTTAAAGATACTTTATATACCACTTTTTAAACTTTATATAAATAAACTACACTTACTATATTAATGGAGCAACTTTCCAAGAATAATATAGGAATTGCAAAAAAAAAATTTTTTATCAAGCAACCGATATATTTATTTATATTTTATATATTTAAGGAGTAAGGAAAAAATTGATTTTATTATAATATTAAGTGTCATCGTAATATATAGTTTTAAAATAAGTGTATGTTAACTTTGTTATGTACACTTTTTACTAGATAATTAAATGTAAAAATTATTTGAAAAGCATTAGTCTTCTTTTAAGGTTAGCTTTGTTACAATAAGAGTGTATTGCTATAATACAAAGTATTATAAAATTTTTCAATCATAATCGAATCATTGAAGTTATATATCTCATCAAAGCATTATTAAGAGCAAGCATAAGAGCAAAATAAGAAGTATTCTCAAACACTTCTGATAACCGCCGATATTGAAAATCATATCAATCGATTTAGTAATATAATAAGTCATGATGAATAATACTCTTGCAATTCAACCACATGGTTAGTCATCACATTTCTTATCTTTAATCCCAACTTTACCAGTGTTGTAGAGTTCACACATTCTTACAGCAATCCTTTTGATAGGGCATTATCACGTGTAATTCAATATTTTACTACTTGTTACTATAAATTCTATATATTTTGTTAAATTATTTTAAAATTTTTATGCAATAATAGTGAGAGTAGATTTATTATTAGTAAAATATTCTAGCGTGTCAATAAAGTGTTTTGAAGACTCTAGACATTAAAAAAATATAAAAGAATTCATACACAGACCCCGAAAAGCTTAAAATTTTTTTCAAGAATTCTGATTCTACAGTAAATACATTTTGCATCAATTTTTCTTCAGTGATGAAGCTAATATTTGACGGATAGTTTGCAGAGCTGTCATATTTGAATCAGTAAAAAACCGCAAACAACTTTGGAAAGACCATTGCATTGATTACAAGTTACCGTATAATATAGAATTTCTGATCTGTACCATTTTTTCTAGTGCTTTAGAGATTTGCCTCCAATATGTGCGATTTGTCGCTATGGAACTTTATTTTGTGGGTAACGCAAACGATGTTATTTATGCTGATAATCCTCTAACTTTTGATATTTTGAAAACGAACAATTGTTAAATTACAACTGAGGAATTGCTAGCTATGTACTTATTTACTTATTTGGCCATAACAACCCGACACCGGGTTACGGTCTGACACAGCAAGTCTTTCCAGGCACCAAGCTAGCTATAGTATCTCCTAGCTACATCAGAGAAAAATTTCGAAACAATTAAAATAAAAACTTGATTTGATTTACTTTTTGAATTCAGAAAATGTTATCATATGAGGATTTAGGGGTTATCAATTAACAACTTCAACCTGCGATAAGGTGTTCTATAAGTCGTCAAAAGCTAAACTTGTCATAACTTGTTAACGTGACAAATGAAAACTTGATAAATACCGCAAGAAAAAGCCAATCAAAACGACAAGATTTCTATAGTTATGAAAAGGGTTAATAGTAATCATATATACGATCATTATAGAACCCACTTTTAAAATAAAAATGGAAGTTTTTATAAAATTATCTTACTCCACACATCTATTGGCACAGCTAGAAATTTTTTTATGTGCAAAAATATTTTTAATGTATCTTATTCAATTATTGATCTTAGAAATCATTGTAATATTTCATAAATTTGTATATTGACATATGAAATTTATGATTAAATTAAAGGAAATTCGTTTCATTTATTTGTGTTCCAAATTTATGTGTTTTTTTGTGCAATGTCTATGGGCTAAGAACATCCCAAAGTTTTGCATTAACTATAAATTTCAAAATTTTTAGTGAATGATGCAAAACGTTTGGATATTAGTGTGCGATTTTATTGTTAAATTTTCGATGAATTTCATAAATTTTTAAAACTATATTCCATCAAGTTCGCAATTAATTCATCACAGACTATCCAAGGTATATACCAGTAAAATTAAACATAATTTATGGTTGCTAACATTATATTTTTTCATAACTTTCAGATGTGTGCGAGTTGCCAGGTATTTTTTAAATAAGACTAACCATATAAAATTGAGCAATATTATGTGTGAGCGATAATATACTAAAAACTATTGAAATGTGCTATAATTCTACCATTATAGATACTACTCATACATAAAATTTCATACATCGATATTGTCCTGATTGCTAGATTCTAGCAATTGTGGTAGGGTGATCATGAAATCAGGATATATCATCCTGCCCGAATAAACACATGGGTTCATTTAATTTTGATGGAAGTGTAGTGCCAGTTACTTACTGGCCACTATCTATTTATGGTTATGGCTTAACCATAAATAGAGAAGTCAAACCAAATATATTCTGTTACTTTAGTAGAGAAAAATAATTTACTGAAACTCTGTTAACACTCATAGCTGTATTAGTTCGTTCTTGTCTACCAATATAAGCTTACCCTGATCTTAACTTATGAAGCTATGTAGTTTACTATTGTATAATAAACTATTGTTGAATAATAACACCGAATAATAATTATATAGCTACGCTTTCTATACGTAATCGTAAGTTCTCTGCTCATATCTCTACAAAAGAAGATTGAGCAACACGATCTCAAATGTGTGCTTAAAGTTTTAAACTAGCTATATGTACAAAATATTTCAAAATTGTAAATCAAAAATAATATAGTAAACACACATCTAACTACGCCTATGAGAAGAAACAAAAAAAAAGCAGCTGTTAAATGTTACCCATCTACCCAGTTACAGTCCGATACTTGCCAAAAGGGGAACACATACTCTTAGAACTGCGTTTCTAAAATGTCTATCCGATATCAATAGTATTGACATTAAGTATATTATTGTATGCTTCTTTAAAGTGACTAAGCAGTTTCCTGGTCCAGCACAAGGTTCTCTTGGAAGACTTAGCGTGTGTTTATATATGTATACGTATTTCATGTGTGTATGCTTAAAATGATCTAAAATGATCTATTCAGTATCTAAATAGACCTAATTATATGGAGTAAGGGAGTCGATCTGTATATGACATGTTATATTTCTACTATATCTAAGGTTTATTACCGTTGAGAAGTATTATCAAATAAATGTCAATAAATTGATAATTTATCAATGCATGTAACATTTGGTACAAATAATTTTAATTAATTTATATGTTTATCTAAATAATTTATGTTTTAATTCTAATCAATTTATTGTCTTTATCTTAATTACATTTTTTATTAGAATCGTCCGAGTAGAACACAATTATCACAACAACAGCATATTGCAAGGGTAAGTTGCATAAATTAGAGTTTCTAAAATTTCGAAAATGCTTTATGTATTTAAACTAAAATCATAATCTCGTCATTTTTAGATTCGTACAAAATGCAATCCAGAAGTAAGTAGTTTAATGCTCTTTACAAAACTCAAAGTTAAGGAGTAGACGTACAAAAATTTAATATAATCGAACGAATTTATTATGTTAATTTATTATTACTGAATAACAATTTACTATTTATCAAATGATCATAATTCGATATGTTTTCATCTAGGGTGTTCTGCACGAACGTCGACAAATAAATGCACAAAGGCCCAGACCTCCTCCACAGGTATGAGATACATATGTATAAAAATGTGTCCTATATATTTTGTAAGAGATCAATTATATTTAAAATAGTATTTATTACACTTTATATATCATAACACTGTGGTAGCAAAATTGTTTGTAGCCTCCAAAATTTGTCTTTATTTTTCTTAATCTTTCTCATTATCTTCAAGCTACTGTCCTCCCGATTTAATCCACTTATGTCAACGTTTTGACTAATCCTATAAACAAAGTTGATTTTCAGATTGATCTTCAAACCGATTACAATTGAGAAAATGAGTTTCACACATCGTGTTAAAGCCATGTGTTCGGTGCGATTCCCTATTTCGAGCTTAGAGAATAGTCTGAAGTCACACAGTGCTATCTGGGGAATGCGAAGGTCGTGGAATGATTTGGGTTATGTTTTTGGCGATATGGTCTCAGAAACCTAATGTAATGCAAGATGTTGCACTATCGCTTTAAAAAGATCTAGAATTATCGTCAGGAATTGCAAGGGTATTAAATAATCGCTAACGCTTAAATAATATAGCACGCTAACAGTTTGGCTTTGCGGAAGAAATTATAATGCATTATACTAAAATAATCGCAGAATACTATTAACATGATCTTTTGAACTCCAAATCATTGATTTCCATGACGTGTTTTTCATCAATTAATGTTGATAGTCGTTCACGGCAAATTTTTTTTCAATGTTACCAATTGCGAGAATCAAAAAACTATGTGGGTTTTTAAATTAAAAGATCTATCAAATTTTTTGATCACAGTAATATATGTACTTAAGAATGAAAGTATTTATTAAGTTGTTTTTTAGCATATAAGATTTCTTGAAATATAAAAATTTGATTAAAAATTTACAAATAATTTAAAAATCTTCTTACTTTAACATGATCCTTAGCAACAAAAGCTAACTGGCAAATAATTTTCACAATTTATTAATTAATAAAATTAATATTATATTGGTTATTTCTGTAAAATTACATTTTTATATATTCAAAAATAATTTTTTTAAGACATTTCGTTAAAAAAATGCCGCTCAGCAAAAATATTTTTAAAAAAAGTTTGAATTGGAATTAAAAAAATTTATAAAGAATTATTAAACATTTTCTAAATACCAACTGATTATTAACGTTTGAATGAAATGAATTTCAATTTAGGCACCAATACAAAGACGTCGACCATGTCCACAAATTACATCTAATCGCCCACAGGTAATAAAAACAACTTCATTCAAATATATACAAAAATATTTTAAACTTATTATAATAGATTAATAATATTTAAAACATTATTTGTTAAAGTTACCTGCGTTAGGGCCTCCGGTAAGAATTTTGTCTAAATTCTTCAAACAGAAATTGATTATATTCCTTCCGTGAGTAGTGTGATCCATGCAGTGCAGGCGTTCCAGATATGGGTGGAATGGTAAAAAATTTCTATTTAAACAATTCAAATATATAATTCTTTATATTCCATATAGTCTTCTTCTCCGGATTTTGAAGTAAGAAATGTAATAGAATATTGTAAATGGATAATGTGTTAATTTTTGATTAGTGTGATCCATGTAGAGCAGACACTCCAGTTATGAGTAGAACGGTAATATTTATTATAAAAATTATATTTAAAAACGAAGGTAAAAAACTTAAATTAAATTAAATTTATCTTAAATTTATTTTATTTTTTACAATAACTTTAAAAACTTTATTGTAAAAACTTCCTCATTATTTTAAATTCTATTTATTTTTTATTGGGTAGTGTGATAGAAATTATCACACATAATGATCTCATACATAGGAGACATGTTTCGAGAATGGTAAAAAAATATTTTTATATTATTAGATATTATTGTCTTTATTTGTAAATACTGAAATATTGTTCCATTTTATGTATTACCAACGCAAATTTAGCAACCTGAGGTAAGAAATGTAACAAAATATATTAAATTAATATAGTATACATTATTTTCCATTGGGTAGTGCAATATGAATTTTCAAGGAGAACCAGAAATGATTCAAACGGTATAAAATTTTTTATATATTATCTTGTAAAAGAAAATTATTTTCTTTAATTTCAAAAATAATTCATTTTTCATTTTTATTTGTTGAAGCCTAGTACTCGAGAACCAGAGGTAAGATGTGAAATAAAAAAATTCCAAATTAAAATTAAATTAAAATTCTTTAATTGGATAGTGTGATGCAAGTTCTTTCGGCGTAGCAGAACTGTTTAATATGGTAAAGAATAATGTATTAAAGATAAAGATATTACAATTTAAATTTTCAATATTTATTATTTATTAAAAAGAATATATTTTCCTAAATTGCTTGTCTGTTTCAATTACATGAGCAGCACACGATCTAAGACTTGTTCACATAATTCAAGAACATATTTAATTACAATTAGTTGTTATATAGCAGTGTGATGATATGAACCAGGCCCCAAGTGGTAATAGGGTAAAAATAACATGATATATGTTACAATTCTTTAAACTATTTTTATATTTTTAGCGAATGAGGTATTGCTGTCAGAGACCAGTAAGTTTTCAAGAAAACCTTTTTTTACAACTTCTTTTACAAGTTATGCTATAAATTTGAGATCGAAAACAATAGAAAGATTTTATAATCTTTTTTTCATTGTGGATAGATATTTTCAAGAAGGTTTTCATAATTGAGATTAAACACTGAATTAGTTTGTATTTTAGCAGTGAGTATACAAGACAAATATAAACTTAATACTGAATTTTTTAAAATGATTATTTTAAAGTAACATACGATAACATCGATCACATTAATATATACATAAACTAATTTACTTCAGGAATATATGTTAACGAAAGAAGCGTGTTGTTGTTGTAGCCAAACGTAAACCTAAAAGTAATAGTTCTTGACTCTTTATCACAAAATTAAGAAGTAATTATATATTCTTGGCATTAGTGTATATTTTCAGAACTTTAATAGTCTCAAAAAGAGCTAGAGAGTTATAACTATTATTATATATTTCAAAAACTTGAATAGGGTAAAGAAGAAGAGTCTGAAATCTGAATAGTAGAGTAAGTTTTGTCACTAAGTTTCCGGAAAAATCAAATTTTTAAAAATTTTGTTAGTTTAATTGCTTTTGTTAGTTTTAAAGTTAATTACGACATATATAAAATTTCGTCATTGTATAATATTATTTATTATAGTATAATAATACTCTTATACCATGTGATTTAATATTTGAAATACACATCAAATGGGTATAGGACTAAATTGTTATTTTATGAGAGTTTTGTTTAAAGCATTGTTTGACTTGGTACTCTCTAGTAATATAATTAATTTAGTGCTTTGTGGTAGTTTGGTAATATTAGTTTAAGGTGGTATTAGCATTTGATATAGATAACAATGTATTACATATATTTGTAGGAAGAAGTCGGCGAACCACCAAGAAGTGCTTCAGTTGGATGTATGTCTCCAGGAATGGGAGTAAATTTAATAATTATTTATTTTTGTTGTTATTACAAATAATTTTCTTTCAGCTTCAAAGATCTGCTTCCTTATCAATGTCACAGGTAAATAAACTTATATTATTATACATAAAGTGACATATGTATATATTAATAACGTTCGTGTCAATACAGAACCTAAAAACGCAATAAAATTATACAAAAATGTTACATTCTTTTAACTTATTTACATGGACATGACAGATAAAATAGAGAATAAATAAAAATACTAAATTTATTAGATTTACGTAACTGCATTAAGAGACATAATCTCTAGTCGTTTTTAAAATTGTTTTTTCTTATATTTTTAATCATATATATTACTCAAATGTAATTTCTAAAATGACCTGCAAGTCTCTACATTGTTCTGTTAACAACTGTTTATTCTCTGGTGAAGTTCTCAAAGACTATTGCTTTATTGGTAGTGCGATTACCAATGGTAGTAATTTGGGTGACAGTGTCTTCCTGTTACGAAAACGTTTTGTGTTTTTTTCTTTTTTATCTTTCTGTGCACAATAGGCTCATGAGAGCATGGTAGATTTTGTTTTTCCTCTTAATATCAATCACTTCATATATTAATTCTGAGGGTGTTCGAGTTTATCTTGATAGATACATATTTGCCTCAATATTGATTAAGACTTATGCCGCTACAAAATTTTGAAAAAGAAAACTCTAAAAGGCATAAGAAACTTAAATTATTAGTCAGTACTATTCACGGAATCAGCGGAATTAATTCACGACCTTTAATTAATATAATATATTATCAATATATTAGTTGCAAGCAAAAATTTTAATTTGGACTCTGAAGATCTAAAATTTTTTAAACAATCCAAAACAGTATCGGCAGTACGGTTTTTAGATTACTTAAATGTTTTTTAGTAAAAGCATATAATTGTTTGAACTAAAATATTTATAAAATATTTTATAACAATCTTAGCATTATCGCAATCAGTTACAACAGCCATAAAATAGTAAAAGTGCGCAATAGAACTAACTCAAACCACAACAACAACAACAAACACAAATACATTATAATTTCAATTATAAATTATTAAAAATATATTACTTATAACAACTGCTAAGATATTATAATAATTATTTTAGAGAGGTTCTGTGCCCTGTGGATCGGTAAGCACGTCCAAGTTCGTACATTATGCGTTAAATGTGTACATTTGTATCCTTTAGGAACAATCTTCAAGTCCGATGAGTTCTCAATCAGTAAGTATAATTTATATTGCATTTCTTATGTTATTATTATTTTTATCTGTCCTCATTTATGTCCTAATTAGCTTTGTTTTATTTTTTCGTTCCTTTTTTATCCCATGTAAAACTGCCGTCAATCAGTGGAAATAATCAAGATCATTAAAGGCACTAGACTGATTCAGCGTTTATTGTCCATGTCATTAATGTTCTCACTTTCCTGAAATAAGATATTCACTCTAACAAAGTATTCATTGATGGTTTCTCTTTGTGAATTTTTTTAGTCCATTATTCAGGCGTACGGATTTGAACCAAACCTGTTTTTGAGTCAAACCTGTAGGCTGTTTTACGTTTGTATAATTTGATATCTCTCACTGAACGGCTTCCACCTTCGTTAAATTGAATGCTGAACAGAGTATTCCTATCCACCGATAAATATCGAGACCATTATTTTGGATAATCATTAAATATCAATACTTTATCGGCGTCAATGCATGTTAGCAATTGAACCGGTTTTTTACAGGCCATTGAATTATTTGTTACGTTAGTGAGCCGTGTATATTGTTGTGCAAACGACTATTATGGTGATTGTTTGATAATGATTTCCATCGGCCAGTAGATCCTTATACTATCCTTATAAGAGGACGTCAAGCCATGTCAACAAGGCAGCAGCCACGGTTTCTAGTATCCGAAAATATTTGTTTGAAGTAGCATTATCGCAATCAGTTTTAGAACGTCAGCTTTGCACTCCAAATATATATATAATGTATAATCTATATAGATAATATAATCTAATATCTATTGTAAAAATGTAGAATTTAATATAAATTTATTGTGTATTTTTTAATTCAAAATTGTTTTCTTTACAGGAATGTAAAGATTCTCTGGGTATCTTTAGTACTGATTATGATGTAAGTATTTTTTGATTATATAATAAATAATAACATCAATCAGTCATTCAAATTTAAATTATTTGTAATATTGTTTTGATAGTTCAAAAAAGTTTTTTTAATATATTTACAAAAAAGAGTTTATAAATCTGAATTAAATATTGAAAGTTTTCAATGGACTACGTGTCTGACCCTTCAAACTATTTTTGATAAAATAATGTATTTAATTTTATAATATTTTATAATAAAATAGTTTAAAAATATTTTGTACTAATGTACGTTCAATTTTCAAATATTAGCCAAAAGATCCATATTAGAGAATTCCATAGCGATAATTTTTTTCCAACATTAATTTATTTAATCAAATACTTCATGAGAGATATTATCATGAAGTATTGGATGCACTTTGAATTACTTTAAACCAAAGTTACAAATTTTCTTTCAAATTATTTCAGGATTTCGACCCAAGGGCACATGGAACAGAGGTACGTTTATTGTACATACTATACTATACATACTACAATATTATGAAATTTCAAATAAAAAAATTCTCTATTGAGTTATAAAGTATATAATGACTGTAGGTACTAAACAGTCATTAGTTAGAGTTATGGCTTAAAGATATCTTATAATTATCTGACTTTTAACACAAGCTTTATGTGCTAATTTATTAAAAAAAAGCGTGTGTTTTTTATATTTTCCTCTAAAATGTTTCGGAACCTATCGTTGTACTGGGAAAAGTTGCCTAGAGCTTCTGCGAAGGATGTTTGGTAGCTCCTCTATATACTTATTCTCACTTTTAACAGGTCTTTCACAAGAACTTATATATCATTTGGAGAAGCAAGCATCGGTAATTCATTTAATGGTAGTTCGTTTAACGGTAATTCGTTTTCTGTAACATTGCGTCTTGATTTCAGTTGATTGATTTGCCTTTTGCAAAATATTATTCCTGTCTTCATTACATACATCATTTGACCCTGCCGTAAATAAATTTACCCTTGTGTGCACCTAGGCCCGCGACCATACTGGCGAACACATACCATATCATCAATTCAAAATTGCCTTACTGGTGTCTTCCCTTTCTTGGGTGTTGCAGTGGTTAATTGTGATGGTACTTGTGAAATCAAATTTCGTATAACCCTTCCATGCAAGAGTTTTGCTGAACTTATAGTATCAGAATGCGGCATGAACCGATATGTCAATAGGAATTTGTTAATTGCATCATTTAAGGATAATTTATCCGCCATCACTGTTGATTTGAATGTTAGAACAAAACATTCAGCCAATCCATTAGAGGCTGGATGAAACGGTACTGTTCTTAAATATTGTATACCATTCATCTTGCAAAACTGACTAAATGGCAGCGTAGGTAATTGTAACTCAATTAACTCGTTTCTGGTAAGCCTTCAATTGCAAAGATAGCTTTTAATGCGATTATTGTATCGAATGTGGTGATGTTATTTAGTTGAGCTAAAGGAAAGCAAATTGTGAGTATGCATCAATAGATATTAAAAACATGTGAGCCACATACGGGCCTCACGAAATCTGTATGTATTCTTTCTCAACTACTAACTACTAAACTGCTGCTTACATGCAGATCCGACTTGCTTACAAATACTGCATGCCGATACTAGGATTTGTGTTTACCTGTCAACGTTGGAGGCGGTGTGCGATCATTATAGGAAGTTTTTTTATCGGGGCTAAATATACTGACTAAAGGCTTATGGTCAGCCAGAAATATAAACTTACGACCAGACAAGTAATGGTGAAATCGCTGTACACCAAAAATTATTTATAGTTCTTCCTTTTCTATTTGACTGTATTTTTGCTGATGCTTATTTGAAATCTTAGACCGATCTAGATAATTGTGTGACAGTAGTGCACCTATACCGTATGAAGACGTGGTCTTCAGTATTTGTTATGCTTCGTCTTGTTGCTGTCTCCAATAAAAATATTCGTTTTGACACCGAAAGCGATTTGTGAAAAATTTGGAATGAAATTGTTGTATAAGTTACCCTTACCTATAAAAGCTTCAAATTCTCTTATATTTTTTTGGATTATTCAAGTCTATTACTGCTGCTACTCTTTTCTGATATGGTAATATTCCTTTGGCACTTAACTATCGATCTAAGTATCTAATGTGACTTTGTAAGAATTCGGCTACATATTCTTTATACGTTTGAGCTAATGTCATCATTTGCCTAAAAAAATCATAAAGGACATCTGTCATGTGTTTTTTTCTCTCATTAATACTCCGCTAGCAAATTTTTTCAATAGTTCAAAGACTGCCTAACCATGGTAGAAGAAAAACTTTTTGCTTAGTGTCATCATTTATCATGTAAGCAGCAAAATGTTGTTTCAGTTGTTGAAAATATGGGTCCCAAATTTATTTTTCATTGTTGAACGAATGGAACATTGGCACGCTGTTATTTATTGAAGTGGTGAAACTAGAATCTCCGCCCCACTCTTTTATGAATCAAATGCTTGCATCATTTGCTGCGGCATTACTATAACTTATATATTTAGTCTATATCTACATATATATCTAGTGGTGCCTTTTTTGTATTAAATTATGTTGATATTTTCTGTTTAACTTACGAAAAAAAAATTATTAATTTTTGTTGAAAATAACTTTCTAAAAAAATCATACATTTTGCACAAACTCGGGATGTTTATAATATAAAAACTACATGCTCTATGCTCCACTAAGAGCAGTGTCTCTTCCAGTATAATACATAAAAACATTATAAAAATAAAAATAAATACATTGTAAATACACCAAGAAAATAACAATATAATAATAATTATTATAAATTTTAGGAAGTGAGTAACAGTAACTAACTGTGTAATATGTGAAACTTATACCAGATTCAAAATTAATATTTGATTGTGATTTTAACTGTCAACAATTTAAAACTGTCATCTGAAATCAAGAAGTATAAATATCGATTCACACTACATATCATTCCAATTTGATTATCAGATTTAAAATATGTCTACACTTAATAACTACTTTTAAAAATTATTAATTAACTCTACATTTACATCCATATTAGTTTTAAAATATCAGTTAGCTTTTTCTTTCCATTTCGTATATCATGCTATCAATATATATCATTTAATAACACGATATGGTGATTAAAATTGATTAAAGAAAATTACATCCGAATATAGTGTAAAAGCATTATCGCATTCAGTTTACGAGTTGAACAGTTATTTTATCGATGCCTCTGTTTAAATACAGTCATATAGTTTCAATAATAGAGTATATTCCATTACATTATTCTTCTAATAAATTATATGTGAACTGCAATTTATATTAAAAATCTTAGAAGTGTATAACGTATTGTATTTGAGGGACTTAAAATAATTTTTAAAATAGCATAACTTTAACAATAAATATCAAAATTATAAGTATTTTGTTAATACAAATAAATTATAATATCAATTTTAAATTATTTGAAATAAATTATTTGTAACAATTGCTAAACTATTGTAATAATCATTTTAGAGAGATTCTATGCCCTGTGGACCGGTAAGCACGTGCAAGTTCATACACTATGCGTTAAATGTACATATTTGTATCCTTTAGGCACAACCTTCAAGTCCGATGTTAAGTCCTCAAGCAGAAATTTATACACCCAGTCAAAAGGTAAACTAAATTTATACTGCTTTTCTTATGTAAATATGTATATCTGTCTTCATATACTTTTTCTAAAGTGCGCAAACGAATCCGAGTACCAACGAAGACAACAAGGCAACCAGCTGGTAAGCAAAATATATATACATATATATAAAAGTAGAAAGACTATTATTAACTACTAATCTATGATCGCACTGAGTAGTAAATATTATAATTATCAGTGCGTAAGAAAATAATTTCCAATTTTAAAACTAGCAAATCGCAAATATGGAGAGAATGCGGCAAACACATGTACAGGTACATAATGTCAAGTAGCAATATATATGTAAGCAAATAGTATTAACAATATAATATTAATGTTTATTATAGAATGTAAGACGCAGAAAAGGACGAAAGAAGCCTTGCGCACCGGTAAGTCAAAGTATTTTGTAACTAGAACGTTATAATCAAGAGCTTCCTTCCTTAATTAATATTAAAAACGATGACTTAGTATGAAATACAGGTTATTTATTTTATAGTTCCGTAAATAGATATGTCTAATCGTAGTTGTGAATATAAATGGTGGTTATAAATGTGGTTATAAATTTGTTAGTATTATCCATTTAAACGCTATTTTCTGGTGATTACTCAAAAAAATAAAATGTAAATTACAAGTCCAGAAAATATTTCGTGCGACTAGACCAAATGTGGCGTCGTCCACATTTCTTTTATATCCATAGTCTTAATTTCAATCAATAAAAATATTGGTTGTTATATCATTAATTGACTTAAGAGTAGGAATTTATGGAGTGTATCATACCATTGTGGCAATCTTAAACCATATAACACTGTATTATGTATGGTAACTATATAATAACTTTTTGTGTTATTCACTTTTTATATATATAATAGTATTTCTATAATTACCCATGAATTTTCAATATTCCACTGAAGGCAATTCAGTGTGAAGATCATTACATGATCTATTTTATATCTACTACTATTAGTGTATGTGCTGCCAAGTCAGGATACACTTTAATTATATTTTTTGTATTATACTTATCTTATACTTTTAACCATTGAAATAATTATTTTATATCCTTATTTTTTATTATACTCGTGTCACTAAACTGTTTGCTATGTATCTTGTCAGACTTGCAAACCTAGTCCAGAAATAAGTACATAAGCAGAATTTTATACTCCCAGTCAACGGGATCATACAATTCATTATATTTTTTATTGAATATGTAAATTAATTTATATATTTATTTCATAGTGTCAAACCACACCGTCGTTGCAACAAGCAAATATGGAGGTAAGTGAGATATTTGTGGATGTTAAACAATTATTTACAAGTTTAGTTGTGCTCACTTGTTATGGTATAATTATTAAAAGATATAAGTACAGAGAAAACTCAAAACTTAAGACATCACTACAGGTCTTTGCTTCCTTACTAAATACTAATCTGTCCTTACATATTTGTGTTCCATAAATACACTCGGTCCACAGCCGAAGTAATTGTTAGTTTACTCCTTAATCGATTGAATAGCTTAACTCTAAGTATCGATAATACCGGCACATGATGGAGATATATACTTCAGTACACTCTCGCAATCATGGAATATGATATGTTTCAGAATAGAATACTGGTATATTGTTGAAATATTAAACCCACACTTTTACTCATAGGTATTACTAGCACGGTTTGACCAAATATTTACATAGAGTAAAGCACCGAAAAAAAATTTTAAGAATATAGTATTAACACCCACCATAGATTTATAATTATATGGCAGCATTCGATAGTCCATTAAAGATTGCGTCGGCGTAGCAAATTTTGAGCTCAAAATCTCTTCAAATCTTATAGGACTCTGCAGAATAACAATCAGTATACAGTAAGAAATACATGCACTCTCCTTAATGTAGGATTTAGTCCTACAAATTTCAAATAAAACAAACTGTTTAATTGTTTGTAATAAGTTGGTATTGACATAAAAATGCGTCATATAGAGAACCAAGTCTTTACTAGCGATTATTTTTCTGAAATTATTAATATAATTTAATATACGAAACTTTTGATTGGGCATTAAACTTTAAACATGACGATTTGTTTAATTATTATATCACCACTACATTTATTGCACATTTCTTGAATGAAGAATAAATGAGCTATAAGTTGGTTCTGACAGAAATATAAGTAATACAGACAACAAAAGGTCTACTGGGAATTATTTTTTTGAAACTGTGAACGTCTTAATGTACATTGGTATTAACACATAAAACAATTAAGATGTCAACCTGGAGATCAGATAAACAAACAACATTTCTCAATCAATGTCATTATGACATTCCAGTAATCTTTTCAAAGATTCCAGTAATCCATTGTAAGACTGAAAATTTCATCGATCGACAAAATTTACTATTAAAATAATTTATCCCATGGCGCAGAGATATGGCGGCACAGCAGGATAATTTTCACAAAATTATAAAATAACACCACGTTTCATGTATTTCAATTAACAGTTTAAAAAAGGAAATAAAAAAGACTGCGTTATCATGTAATAGAAAAGTTGGCAGACTAATTAAAAGCTAGCATAATTAAAATCGGAAAAATAAAATTTAAGTTAGACTTATATGGCATATGTATATTTTTTTGTCATGAATTTGTTGAGTGCACGACTATTCGTGATTTGTATATGAAGGGGGTAAACTCCGCTATCGACAGAAAAGCGGTTGTGGAACCGACTGTGGCGGTAACACATGAAAGTCCTTAAAATTAACTAGTATATCATCGATTAATATTAAACAAAGCGATATTAGGAGACAATCACCTTGACAGTTGCATAGCTTAAAAGATATATTCCCACTTACCTTCTTTTATTACGGTAAGTTATATTATATATTAGACTTTTTACGGAAGTACGATAGGCTATCCAAATTAAAATTGATGAGTGAAATAATTGAAGAAATAAATAAAATTAATTTAATTTTTTTAGCCTGCGCGGAGAAGAAGAGGTATGAGACGAGGATGTGAAGGGGTAAAAACCTATGATTTCCATTTGATAAAATCTAAAAAACTAATCTATGCAATAACGTAAATTGAATACTTATTATAGAGACAGGGAGCTGAAACGCCTTCCGGACGGGTAAGTTTAAACACATTTAATATAACGGATAAGCTTTACACAATTTTATTATAATTAAAAAAGCTATCGAAATTAAAGTAAAAAAGTAAATAAAATTAATTTTATTGTTTTATTAGCCTAGAGGAATGCGAGGTTCTAGACAAGGATTTGCTGAGGTAAAAAACTATGATTTCCATGTGATATAAGTTAAAAAACAATAATGAAAATTGAAAATTTATGACAGAGAATGGAAGCTGAATCCCCTGTATCTTCGGTAAATTTAAATATATCTTAAACAATTTTATTACACGTAAATAAGCTATCGAAATTAAATTGATTATATACCGAATATTATTTCAACACGTTGTAAAATCTTTATTTGTACAGCCATTAACTAATAAAAATAAATCTGTCGAGCACATCTGTGTCTTTATAGCAAGATGATACTTTATAATACATCAATTGAACAATAGTTTGAAAAAAACTAATAGTCAATTTCTTTAAATTAAATCTTTAAATGAAAGTCTTCTTTCACATGTCGAAGTTTTGTGTCAATTAACTTTCTTTCCATTTTTTATATCAAGATATCAATACCATATCATTTGATAACATGATATGGTGATATAAACTGCTAAAGAAAATCACATCGGAATATAATGCGATAGCATTATCGCAATCAGTTCACAACTTGAACAGTTTTTTTACTGAGGTCTCTATTTTAAAACAGTCATATACATTCAATAATAGAGTATATTCCATTACATTATTCTTCTAACAATTTATATATGGCCTGTAATATATATCGATGTTTTAGAGGGACTTAGTATAATTTTTAAAATAGCATAACTTTAAACACAAACCTCTAAACTATAAGTATTTTGTAAATACAAATAAATTATAATATAAATTATAAATCATTTAAAATATATTATTCATAACAATTGCTAAAATATTATAACAATTATTTTAGAGAGGTTCTTTGCCCTGTGGATCGGTAAGCACATGCCAGTTCATACATTATGCGTTATATGTGTACATTTGTATCCTTTAGGAACAAACTTCAAGTCCGATGATGAGTTCAGTAAGTATAATTTTATTGCATTTCTTTTGTTAATATGTTTATCTGTCCTCATTGTTCCTTTTTTATCCCATGTAAAAATACCGTCAAAAAGCGGTATCAATCAAGATCATTAAAGGCACTAGATTGATTCAGCGCTTTTTGTCCATGTCATTAATGTTCTCACTTTCTTGAAATAAGATATCCACTCTAACAAACTATTCATTGATGGTTTCTCTTTGTGAATTATTTTCGTCCATTATTCAGGCGGACGAATTCGAACCAAACCTGTAGGCTGTTTTACGTTTGTATAATTTGATAACTCTCACTGAACGGCTTCCACCTTCGTTAAATTGAATGCTGAACAGAGTATTCCTATCCACCGATAAATATCGAGACCATTAATTTGGATAATCATTAAATATCAATACTTTATCGGCGTCAATGCATGTTAGCAATTGAACTGGTTTTTTACAGGCCATTGAATTATTTGTTACGTTAGTGAGCCGTGTATATTGTTGTGCAAACGACTATTATGGTGATTGTTTGATAATGATTTCCATCGGCCAGTAGATCCTTATTCTATCCTTATAAGAGGACGTCAAACCATGTCAACAAGGCAACAGCCACGTTTTCTAGTATCCGAAAATATTTGTTTGAAGTAGCATTATCGCAATCAGTTTTAGAACGTCAGCTTTGCACTCCAAATATATATAATCTCTTATCTACCGTAAAAACATATAATTTAATATAAATTGTTCGTGTATTTTTTAATTCAAAATTGTTTTCTTTACAGGATTGTCAAGATTCTCTGGGTTTGTTTAGTACTGATTATGATGTAAGTATTTATAAATTATATAATAAATAATAACATCAATCAATCATTCTAATTTAAATTATTTGTAATATTGTTTTGATAGTTCAAAAAAGTTTTTTTAATATATTTACTAAAAAGAGTTTATAAATCTGGATTAAATATTGAAAGTTTTCAATGGACTACGTGTCTAACCCTTCGAACTATTTCTAATAAAATAATGTATTTAATTTTATAATTAAATAATTTAAAAATATTTTGTATTCTCAGTTTTCAAATATTAGCCAAACGATCCTTATTTTCGAATTTCATAGCGATAATTTTTTTCCAACATTTTAAGTTATTATAACATTAATTTATTTGATCAAATACTTCATGAGAGATATTATCATTATGCATTGGATATACTTTGAATTTCTTTATATCAAAGTTATAAATTTACTTTCAAATTATTTCAGGATTTCGCGCCAAGGGCATATGGAACAGATGTACGTATACTATACAAAAGCTGTAAATGTCTTCCTGAATTATTGTTATTAAATTAATTTCATAAAAAATATTTACTATTGAATAATTAAGTATATAATGACCGTACTAAACAGTCATTAATAAGAGTTGTACCTTGAAGATACATTGTAATTAATTGTATTTTAGCACAATCAAATTTGAAGATATTTTATTATTATTATTATTTAAGTTGATATTTTCTGTTTAGCTTACCAAAATATACTTATCAATTGTTGTTAGAATATCTTTTTAAAAAACTCAAACATTTTGTGTAAGTTCTGGATATTTATAATATAAAAACTACACTCAAAATATTCCTCATAATTATTATATATGTTAGTAAATGAGTAACAGTAAGTGACTCTGTTACATCTAAAACTTATACTAGTTCCAGGATTGTAATTTGATTGTAATTTTAACTGTCAACAATTTAAAACTGTCATCTGAAATCAAGAAGTATAAATATCGATTCACACTACATATCATTCCAATTTGATTATCAGGTTTAACATATATATGTCCACACTTAATAACTATTTCTACAAAATATTTACTATCTCTACATTTTCATCCATATAAGTTTTAAAGTATCAGTTAGCTTTTTCTTTCCATTTCTTCTATCATGGTATTAATACTATATCATTTAATTACACGATATGGTGATCTAAATTGATTAAAGAAAATAACATCGGAATGTAATGCGATAGCAATATCGCAAGTAGTTCACGAGTTGAACAGTTATTTTACCGAGGCCTCCGTTTTTAATACAGACATATACTTTCAATAATAGAGTATATTCCACTTCATTGTTCTTCTAATAAATTATATATGGACTGCAATTCATATTAAAAATCTTATAAGTGTATAACGTATTGTATTCGAGGGACTTAAAATAATTTTTAAAATAGCATAACTTTAACAATAAATCTCAAAATTATAAGTATTTTGTAAATACAAATAAATTATAATATCAATTTTAAATTATTTGAAATAAATTATTTGTAACAATTGCTAACATATAATAATAATTATTTTAGAATGCTCTTGTGCCCTATAGACCGGTAAGCACGTGCAATTTCATCTATTATGCGTTAAATGTATACATTTGTATCCTTTAGGAACAAACTTCAAGTCCGATGATGAGTTCAGTAAGTATAATTTTATTGCATTTCATTTGTTAATATGTTTATCTGTCCTCATTGTTCCTTTTTTATCCCATGTAAAAATACCGTCAAAAAGCGGTATCAATCAAGATCATTAAAGGCACTAGATTGATTCAGCGTTTTTTGTCCATGTCATTAATGTTCTCACTTTCTTGAAATAAGATATCCACTCTAACAAACTATTCATTGATGGTTTCTCTTTGTGAATTATTTTCGTCCATTATTCAGGCGGACGAATTCGAACCAAACCTGTAGGCTGTTTTACGTTTGTATAATTTGATAACTCTCACTGAACGGCTTCCACCTTCGTTAAATTGAATGCTGAACAGAGTATTCCTATCCACCGATAAATATCGAGACCATTAATTTGGATAATCATTAAATATCAATACTTTATCGGCGTCAATGCATGTTAGCAATTGAACCGGTTTTTTACAGGCCATTGAATTATTTGTTACGTTAGTGAGCCGTGTATATTGTTGTGCAAACGACTATTATGGTGATTGTTTGATAATGATTTCCATCGGCCAGTAGATCCTTATTCTATCCTTATAAGAGGACGTCAAACCATGTCAACAAGGCAACAGCCACGTTTTCTAGTATCCGAAAATATTTGTTTGAAGTAGCATTATCGCAATCAGTTTTAGAACGTCAGCTTTGCACTCCAAATATATATAATCTCTTATCTACCGTAAAAACATATAATTTAATATAAATTGTTCGTGTATTTTTTAATTCAAAATTGTTTTCTTTACAGGATTGTCAAGATTCTCTGGGTTTGTTTAGTACTGATTATGATGTAAGTATTTATAAATTATATAATAAATAATAACATCAATCAATCATTCTAATTTAAATTATTTGTAATATTGTTTTGATAGTTCAAAAAAGTTTTTTTAATATATTTACTAAAAAGAGTTTATAAATCTGGATTAAATATTGAAAGTTTTCAATGGACTACGTGTCTAACCCTTCGAACTATTTCAAATAAAATAATGTATTTAATTTTATAATTAAATAATTTAAAAATATTTTGTATTCTCAGTTTTCAAATAGTAGCCAAACGATCCTTATTTTCGAATTTCATAGCGATAATTTTTTTCCAACATTTTAAGTTATTATAACATTAATTTATTTGATCAAATACTTCATGAGAGATATTATCATTATGCATTGGATATACTTTGAATTTCTTTATATCAAAGTTATAAATTTTCTTTCAAATTATTTCAGGATTTCGCGCCAAGGGCACATGGAACAGATGTACGTATACTATACAAAAGCTGTAAATGTCTTCCTGAATTATTGTTATTAAATTAATTTCATAAAAAATATTTACTATTGAATAATTAAGTATATAATGACCGTACTAAACAGTCATTAATAAGAGTTGTACCTTGAAGATACATTGTAATTAATTGTATTTTAGCACAATCAAATTTGAAGATATTTTATTATTATTATTATTTAAGTTGATATTTTCTGTTTAGCTTACCAAAATATACTTATCAATTGTTGTTAGAATATCTTTTTAAAAAACTCAAACATTTTGTGTAAGTTCTGGATATTTATAATATAAAAACTACACTCAAAATATTCCTCATAATTATTATATATGTTAGTAAATGAGTAACAGTAAGTGACTCTGTTACATCTAAAACTTATACTAGTTCCAGGATTGTAATTTGATTGTAATTTTAACTGTCAACAATTTAAAACTGTCATCTGAAATCAAGAAGTATAAATATCGATTCACACTACATATCATTCCAATTTGATTATCAGGTTTAACATATATATGTCCACACTTAATAACTATTTCTACAAAATATTTACTATCTCTACATTTTCATCCATATAAGTTTTAAAGTATCAGTTAGCTTTTTCTTTCCATTTCTTCTATCATGGTATTAATACTATATCATTTAATTACACGATATGGTGATCTAAATTGATTAAAGAAAATAACATCGGAATGTAATGCGATAGCATTATCGCAAGTAGTTCACGAGTTGAACAGTTATTTTACCGAGGCCTCCGTTTTTAATACAGACATATACTTTCAATAATAGAGTATATTCCACTTCATTGTTCTTCTAATAAATTATATATGGACTGCAATTCATATTAAAAATCTTAGAAGTGTATAACGTATTGTATTCGAGGGACTTAAAATAATTTTTAAAATAGCATAACTTTAACAATAAATCTCAAAATTATAAGTATTTTGTAAATACAAATAAATTATAATATCAATTTTAAATTATTTGAAATAAATTATTTGTAACAATTGCTAACATATAATAATAATTATTTTAGAATGCTCTTGTGCCCTATAGACCGGTAAGCACGTGCAATTTCATCTATTATGCGTTAAATGTATACATTTGTATCCTTTAGGAACAAACTTCAAGTCCGATGATGAGTTCAGTAAGTATAATTTTATTGCATTTCATTTGTTAATATGTTTATCTGTCCTCATTGTTCCTTTTTTATCCCATGTAAAAATACCGTCAAAAAGCGGTATCAATCAAGATCATTAAAGGCACTAGATTGATTCAGCGTTTTTTGTCCATGTCATTAATGTTCTCACTTTCTTGAAATAAGATATCCACTCTAACAAACTATTCATTGATGGTTTCTCTTTGTGAATTATTTTCGTCCATTATTCAGGCGGACGAATTTCGAACCAAACCTGTAGGCTGTTTTACGTTTGTATAATTTGATAACTCTCACTGAACGGCTTCCACCTTCGTTAAATTGAATGCTGAACAGAGTATTCCTATCCACCGATAAATATCGAGACCATTAATTTGGATAATCATTAAATATCAATACTTTATCGGCGTCAATGCATGTTAGCAATTGAACTGGTTTTTTACAGGCCATTGAATTATTTGTTACGTTAGTGAGCCGTGTATATTGTTGTGCAAACGACTATTATGGTGATTGTTTGATAATGATTTCCATCGGCCAGTAGATCCTTATTCTATCCTTATAAGAGGACGTCAAACCATGTCAACAAGGCAACAGCCACGTTTTCTAGTATCCGAAAATATTTGTTTGAAGTAGCATTATCGCAATCAGTTTTAGAACGTCAGCTTTGCACTCCAAATATATATAATCTCTTATCTACCGTAAAAACATATAATTTAATATAAATTGTTCGTGTATTTTTTAATTCAAAATTGTTTTCTTTACAGGATTGTCAAGATTCTCTGGGTTTGTTTAGTACTGATTATGATGTAAGTATTTATAAATTATATAATAAATAATAACATCAATCAATCATTCTAATTTAAATTATTTGTAATATTGTTTTGATAGTTCAAAAAAGTTTTTTTAATATATTTACTAAAAAGAGTTTATAAATCTGGATTAAATATTGAAAGTTTTCAATGGACTACGTGTCTAACCCTTCGGACTATTTCAAATAAAATAATGTATTTAATTTTATAATTAAATAATTTAAAAATATTTTGTATTCTCAGTTTTCAAATAGTAGCCAAACGATCCTTATTTTCGAATTTCATAGCGATAATTTTTTTCCAACATTTTAAGTTATTATAACATTAATTTATTTGATCAAATACTTCATGAGAGATATTATCATTATGCATTGGATATACTTTGAATTTCTTTATATCAAAGTTATAAATTTTCTTTCAAATTATTTCAGGATTTCGCGCCAAGGGCACATGGAACAGATGTACGTATACTATACAAAAGCTGTAAATGTCTTCCTGAATTATTGTTATTAAATTAATTTCATAAAAAATATTTACTATTGAATAATTAAGTATATAATGACCGTACTAAACAGTCATTAATAAGAGTTGTACCTTGAAGATACATTGTAATTAATTGTATTTTAGCACAATCAAATTTGAAGATATTTTATTATTATTATTATTTAAGTTGATATTTTCTGTTTAGCTTACCAAAATATACTTATCAATTGTTGTTAGAATATCTTTTTAAAAAACTCAAACATTTTGTGTAAGTTCTGGATATTTATAATATAAAAACTACACTCAAAATATTCCTCATAATTATTATATATGTTAGTAAATGAGTAACAGTAAGTGACTCTGTTACATCTAAAACTTATACTAGTTCCAGGATTGTAATTTGATTGTAATTTTAACTGTCAACAATTTAAAACTGTCATCTGAAATCAAGAAGTATAAATATCGATTCACACTACATATCATTCCAATTTGATTATCAGGTTTAACATATATACATATGTCCACACTTAATAACTATTTCTACAAAATATTTACTATATCTACATTTTCATCCATATTAGTTTTAAAGTATCAGTTAGCTTTTTCTTTCCATTTCTTCTATCATGGTATTAATACTATATCATTTAATTACACGATATGGTGATCTAAATTGATTAAAGAAAATAACATCGGAATGTAATGCGATAGCATTATCGCAAGTAGTTCACGAGTTGAACAGTTATTTTAGCGAGGCCTCCGTTTTTAATACAGACATATACTTTCAATAATAGAGTATATTCCACTTCATTGTTCTTCTAATAAATTATATATGGACTGCAATTCATATTAAAAATCTTAGAAGTGTATAACGTATTGTATTCGAGGGACTTAAAATAATTTTTAAAATAGCATAACTTTAACAATAAATCTCAAAATTATAAGTATTTTGTAAATACAAATAAATTATAATATCAATTTTAAATTATTTGAAATAAATTATTTGTAACAATTGCTAACATATAATAATAATTATTTTAGAATGCTCTTGTGCCCTATAGACCGGTAAGCACGTGCAATTTCATCTATTATGCGTTAAATGTATACATTTGTATCCTTTAGGAACAAACTTCAAGTCCGATGATGAGTTCAGTAAGTATGATTTTATTGCATTTCATTTGTTAATATGTTTATCTGTCCTCATTGTTCCTTTTTTATCCCATGTAAAAATACCGTCAAAAAGCGGTATCAATCAAGATCATTAAAGGCACTAGATTGATTCAGCGCTTTTTGTCCATGTCATTAATGTTCTCACTTTCTTGAAATAAGATATCCACTCTAACAAACTATTCATTGATGGTTTCTCTTTGTGAATTATTTTCGTCCATTATTCAGGCGGACGAATTTGAACCAAACCTGTAGGCTGTTTTACGTTTGTATAATTTGATAACTCTCACTGAACGGCTTCCACCTTCGTTAAATTGAATGCTGAACAGAGTATTCCTATCCACCGATAAATATCGAGACCATTAATTTGGATAATCATTAAATATCAATACTTTATCGGCGTCAATGCATGTTAGTAATTGAACCGGTTTTTTACAGGCCATTGAATTATTTGTTACGTTAGTGAGCCGTGTATATTGTTGTGCAAACGACTATTATGGTGATTGTTTGATAATGATTTCCATCGGCCAGTAGATCCTTATTCTATCCTTATAAGAGGACGTCAAGCCATGTCAACAAGGCAACAGTCACGTTTTCTAGTATCCGAAAATATTTGTTTGAAGTAGCATTATCGCAATCAGTTTTAGAATGTCAGCTTTGCACTCCAAATATATATAGTCTCTTATCTATCGTAAAAACATATAATTTAATATAAATTGTTCGTGTATTTTTTAATTCAAAATTGTTTTCTTTACAGGATTGTCAAGATTCTCCGGGTTTCTTTAGTACTGATTATGATGTAAGTACTTATTAATTATATAATAAATAATAACATCAATCAATTATTCCAATTTAAATTATTTGTAATATTGTTTTGATAGTTCAAAATAGTTTTTTTAATATATTTACTAAAAAGAGTTTATAAATCTGGATTAAATATTGAAAGTTTTCAATGGACTACGTGTCTAACACTTCGAACTATTTTTAATAAAATAATGTATTTAATTTTATAATTAAATAATTTAAAAATATTTTGTATTCTCAGTTTTCAAATAGTAGCCAAACGATCCTTATTTTCGAATTTCATAGCGATAATTTTTTTCCAACATTTTAAGTTATTATAACATTAATTTATTTGATCAAATACTTCATGAGAGATATTATCATTATGCATTGGATATGCTTTGAATTTCTTTATATCAAAGTTATAAATTTTCTTTCAAATTATTTCAGGATTTCGCGCCAAGGGCACATGGAACAGATGTACGTATACTATACAAAAGCTATAAATGTCTTCCTGAATTATTGTTATTAAATTAATTTCATAAAAAATATTTACTATTGAATAATTAAGTATATAATGACTGTACTAAACAATTATTAATAAGACTTGAAGATACCCTGTAATTAACTATGTTTTAGCACAATCACATTTGAAGGTATTTTATTATTATTATTATTTAAGTTGATATTTTCTGTTTAGCTCAAAATATACTTATCAATTTATTTTTTTTTTTTTTTAAATATTAAGTACATTTATTTGTGAACAAAAATGATTATTATAATAATTTGTTATCGGGCTAATTGGTCAAATTTAAATAGAAATAAAAAAGACACTTATTTTTATTTATATTTAAAAATCATTTATACTTTATTAAAAATAATTATTCCGATATTTCGACTATCTTCAATAGTCATCTTCAGGGAAAACTGTGGATGAAGATGACTATCGAAGGTAGTCGAAATATCGGAAAAATTATTTTTAATAAAGTATAAATGATTTGTTAATATAAATATTAAATTAGTGTCTTTTTTATTCTTATCAATTTTTGTTAGAATATCTTTTTAAAAAACTCAAACATTTTGTGTAAATTTTGGATATTTATAATTTCAAAACAACTCGCAAAATATTCCTCATAATTGGTATATATGTTAGTAAATGAGTAACAGTAAGTGACTCTGTAACATCTAAAACTTATACTAGTTCCACGATTGTAATTTAATTGTAATTTTAACTGTCAACAATTTAAAACTGTCATCTGAAATCAAGAAGTATAAATATTGATTCACACTACATATCATTCCAATTTGATTATCAGGTTTAACATATGTCCACACTTAATAACTATTTTACAAAATATTTACTATCTTTACATCTTCATCCATATTAGTTTTAAAGTATCAGTTAGCTTTTTCTTTCCATTTCTTATATCATGGTATTAATACTATATCATTTCATAATACGATATGGTGATCTAAATTGATTAAAGAAAATAACATCCGAGTATAGTACGATAGCATTATCGCAATCAGTTCACGATCTGTTTTAATACAGCCATATAGTCTTGATTATAGAGTATTCCATCACATTATTTTTCTAACAAATTATATATGAGCAAATTATATCGAAAATCTTCCGAGTGTATAACGTATTGTATTTGAGGGACTTAAAATAATTTTTAAAATAGCATAACTTTAACAATAAATATCAAAATTATAAGTATTTTGTTAATACAAATAAATTATAATATCAATTTTAAATTATTTGAAATAAATTATTTGTAACAATTGCTAAACTATTGTAATAATCATTTTAGAGAGATTCTATGCCCTGTGGACCGGTAAGCACGTGCAAGTTCATACACTATGCGTTAAATGTACATATTTGTATCCTTTAGGCACAACCTTCAAGTCCGATGTTAAGTCCTCAAGCAGAAATTTATACACCCAGTCAAAAGGTAAACTAAATTTATACTGCTTTTCTTATGTTAATATGTATATCTGTCTTCATATACTTTTTCTAAAGTGCGGAAGCGAATCCGCGTACCAACGAAGGCAACAAGGCAACCAGCTGGTAAGCAAAATATATATATGGTACATATATATAAAAGTATGAATATAAATGATTTAAATATAAAAGACTATTATTAATTACTAATCTATGAGCGCACTGAGTAGTAAATATTATAATTATTAATGCGTAAGAAAATAATTTCCAATTTTTAAACTAGCAAATGGCAAATATGGAGAGAATGCGGCAAGCACATGTACAGGTACAAAATATTAAGCAGTGATATATATGTAAGCTAAAAGTATTAACAATAAAATATTAATGCTTATAATAGAATGTAAGAGGCAGAAAAGGAGGACAGTCGTCTTGCTCACCGGTAAGTCAAAGTATTTTGTAATTAGAACGTTATAATCAAAAGCTTCCTTCCTTGATTTACACTATAAACAATATTAGAGTCTGTGTCTTTATTGTAAAATGATACATTTTAATACATTAAATTCACAGTATTTTGAAAGAAACTAATAGTTAATTTCTTTAAATTCACATCGATATTAGTTTTAAAGTATCAGTTAATTACCTTTTTCCATTTTTCCATTACATCATGATATCTATATTATGTCATTTGATGACACGATATGGTGAAACTTAAGCTTTCTGATTTAAACTGATTAAAGAAAATAGCTTGAAAATAGAAGCACTTAGTAATTATTCATTTATTATTTTTAAGTTGAAATTAGATTAGAGTAGAAATACAAGAGTTCCATTAGAACACCATCTATTTGAATAGGGTATACAATTTTTTTTTAAATTTACTTTGGCTTAGTGCAACTTTACATTTCCATAAAAACGCTTAAATCAATATTTTTGATGAAAACTTCAGACAATATAGCAAAAATGTTTCAGCCTTCGGTCACTTGTTACGATGTATAAAATCAAACATAATTTTTTTAATTTTAAGGCATTATTATTATAAAAATAGGAAAAATTATGACTGAAAAATAATGTACATTATTATAAATATTACTTTGACCTTTCTTTGGTTAGGTTATGTTAATAATATTCTGAGATCTCTATTTTTCATTATAATACCCTCAAAGTTACTTAGTAGAGTTATATGAACACTGACCCAGTTTCAATAATCTAAGTCTTTTTACTCTGTAGACGTTTGTCTTAATTTTAAATATGTTATTATTATATTTATATTGAATTTAAAAATATTTTGTTTATTACAGGAGCAAGCAAGAGCAGATTCAATGGATTATTCAACTGACGAATCAGATTGTATTGTGTATGATGTAAGTATTAACTTATACCTATATCAGAATTATAGTAGATAAAGGAAACTTAAAAACAATAAATTTAAGATAACGCCTTAATTTTTTTATATGTTTATATTAATGCAAAAAAAAATATTTGCATTTTATAATTGTTGAATACAAACTTTCATCAAAAAATTTATCTCTATCACTGCTTATAAAAACTATTTAACAATTAAAATTTTCTATTTTATTTAAAGGACCCAGATTATACTACAGACGTAGAAGACGTAAGCAGATTGAATTGGTCTGCTGAGCTGATGGTAATTTTTTGAAATATAAATCTTATTATTACGTAAATGTGTCGCAAACTTTAATTCAGAATTAATGAAAACTAATTTTTAGAATGAAAAATTGCGAAGAAAACCAGAGTTACGAAAAGGGATGGGACCTGAACGTCCTCCTCAACCTGCACCTTGTTCTCCTGGGGTAATGACTATTGCTATAATTTGCAAATATGATCGGAACTTGCAATATTAAAATACTTGTTATAATAAAAAATTATTTTTTAGGCACAAGAACGAAAAGACCGGGAAGATCGGGAGTACGTAGTACGTATTAAAGAGCACTAGTGCTTTAGTATTATTTGAATTTAATATTCTAAAGAGCTGCAGTGAATTAATTGAACCTTAATTGCACAAAAATATACATTCTGTCAAAAATGTTTTCGGGTTTGTTATATGATGAAGAAATGTAATATTCATTTGTTATATTTATTTATTCTCCGTTCAATCTAATTGCCATTTAAAGCGTAGTATTTCTTATTAATTTAAAATATTTATTATCTGCGCTATATGATATTCGTTTAACTTCCTTACATGAATTTGTGACTTTCGTGGAATTATAGTGATACTTTGGAAAAATTATTTTTGTTCAGAAGTTTTATGGCTTCAATTCTTAGTACTATATTCTTTACAGCAGTTGATTAATGATTGGTGCATTATCATAATATCAAATTCTTTTTTTGTACAAGTCTAACAGTCCCTGAAAGACTTTCTATTAAAACCCATCCAAAAACAAGGAATACATTAGTATCATCAATTTTACATTTTCGTTTGTTTAAAATATTATATTTAGTTATAGTTGCCACATGACGTCTTAAAAATAAATACGGTTGCAGAAGTTCTTCACTCTAATAATGCATTACATCACGTCCAATTATATTTTATAGAACACCGACGGGGTCTCTAAGTTTTCGCCAACACAAATACCCGAAAGGTGCTAAATATAATAATGTCTTTAATTTTATGTTTCTCTGACGAATATATTAGATATCGACTTTTGTAGAACGATTTTAAAATAAGAAACACATACAAAACTGAAACATCATAATCAAAAATTACCGAGCATTAGCTCGTGGCCTATGTTTTTTTTTTGTTTCGATACTGAACTTAAAGGAAAAATCTTCTAAAGATACAAATAGCCTGTACCATTTGCATGCCCGATTCATGCACGACTCATTGAGTCATGCATGTCTTCGGACTAAAAGGTCCCTACATTCTCAGCTCAAAATCGTAGAAATCTCTATAGTACGACCAGTTAAGGTTTTTCTCCCCTGTGTAGGGCTATAGGCCTGTACGTTAAGTATACCTATATTATAGGCTAATATATGCTATTTCTTGCACAGATAAAATGCAGTTTTGATTTGAAATCCCTAAAGAATAATCGATTAATGCGATTTGAATCTGATGTTTCAAATTTGAAATTCTTTGTTAAGTTTTGACAGAATGCATAAACATTAAGGGTTTTGAGAAAATATATGTGAAAGTAAGTGCAGTGTTAAAAATAATGATAAAAAGTTATAGTCGTTATACAGTATTTAACTAGAAATACATTAAATAAAATAGTATTTTTATTGTTTTTAAAAGCTTGAAATATTTTTTAGGCGAAATGTATGTTTGGAGTTAAAGAAGTAGAAAACATACAAAATCTGAATTTATCGGTAATGTATTAATATTTTTCATATTTTTACTACATAAGTCCTACCATCTATTCAATACGAGTAAAATAATGTTAAAATCAGCAGTTCTAAAATTTTAATGATATTAATAAAGAGGATGAATGATGCATCAATTTTTATTTTTTTAATTAAAAATTTGGAAAGTAAATTTTGAGTATAAAAGATGGTATTTTCTTAAAATATATATATAATTATTATTATTCTATCATTGTTATTATTCGTTCATCGCACATAATACGATTTCTTTATTTCATAGAGTTCACCACAAAGACCACAGGAAGAGGATGTAATATCATGTTCACTTATTTCTAAGCAATTTGTTTAATATGTGTAAATTATTTTACAGTTACCGTGGGGTTTAACTAGTAGAGCTGAGGTAATTACACATTTTTTAAAAAATTTTCATATATTAATTAAGATATTTACTTATAGAGAGTATGTGGTAGAAAAGGATCCAACAAGCGAGTGTTTAATGTACCAAGGGTGAGTTCATAATATTTATGTATCATTTTTTAAAACACAAATTATGAGCCTAATTAATATTAATATTATTATTATTATGAGCCTAATAATATATAAAAGAGTAATTGAAAATAGCTTTCTTGCTTTCCAAAAAACAATATCTTATACACATTCTAATGGAGAGGTACAACCAATAGACATATTCACTAGAGACATGAGCAAAATATCGTTTTTTCTGCAGTTTGCTGTGATAGAAGTGCACAAAAAGTCATTATACGCTATGTCAAGAACATACTGAGTGCATCACTGCTTCCTTTGCAATTTTTCTGTGATAGAAACAATTCGGGTTGTCATGGTAAGAAATTATTCTGCTTTGGCAGTTCCTAGAACAGTACCTATAAAGAAATAGTTTTTATCGTTTAGAATTGATTGTTTCATTTTGATTTAATAACACTGTTAGCATATGACTAGTTGTTCTGGAAATGAAAGTGACTACTATATTTGTTTTTGATTCGAATGTAATAAACTGTCATTATATTTTCTTCATTATGAAAAGCGTACATATTCAAGGCATAAGTTCATAATTTATCTTCTCTGAAAATTTAAATATTTTAGTCTTTTTAAATGTTTGTTAAGTTTTTTGTGACTGAATAGTAATATATTATTATTTAAGTTAAGATTATTTGAATCGCAGTGTATTTCGCTAGAAAATCTCATTATTGCATTATCTGGTACCTTGTTTCTCAGCACAGCACATTTCAGAGGAACTCTACTAACTTCAGCCTTGAGTGAGTAGCATCCATGTACAAACTTACTATTCATGTGTCAGTGAGTTCATCGTAAAGAATCTTTGCACTAATAAACACAATAAAAAGAGTTATCTCTTTTTCTTTTACTGAGACAAAAGTCTCAAGTCACTGAAAACATACAGCATTGAAATGGCAAAATATTCTGAATAAGGAATTGTTCAAAAGTATTAAACTCTCCAGTGGAAAAGTTACTTCTAACCTAAAATCACTGAAGGTAATCAGTGCTCATAATATTAATAGTCAACTATATACTACGCCGTTATACTAAGAGATAATACAATACATATTAATTTTAATATATGTTATTGCTGAAATTTATATTTTTATTTCATTTGTTTTTTATAGCGCTGGAAATATCGGAGGGTAATAATATTTTTTTTTATTTACCTGAATTATTATTAACATAATCTTTAAAATATTTTTAGCCCCCTTCATCACCGGTAATGACAAATTTAAGTTACAAATTTTAAGTTACATATATTAAATCACATAATCTTTAAAATAATTTTTAGATGTGCGGAGTACCACTACCGGTAATAGAAACTTTCAATTAAAAATTATTTACAAAATCTCAAAAGCGTTTTTAAGGGCCGCGGACCAGCAGCTTCAACACCGGTAATGATAACTTTTAACCACATATATTATACTATCCATATACATAAGTGATCAAAATTAAGCAACTTTAAAACTTGAACACTACGTATATTATATATATTTTTAAAACGATATGACACAAAATGTAGAGCATTAACTTCATATCCCTATATGTGTTTGAACTAATTTCTGGAGTCAAGAAACAACACTTATTTTGTATGGGAGAGAGTACTATTCTCAAGATAATTTCTTAATCCCAGAAACTAAAAATAGATTGCATCGGAGAAAATTTGTAGTAAAAATTTTCATCATCTTTAATATCTCAAATGCAATTAATGACGACAGATTAGACCGTTCATTAATATTAGCTTTAGTAACCAATTGTATATAACCACAGAATAAGATCCAACAGATAGTAAATATGGAATAACAGACAAGCACACTCTGTAAAGTTAACAATATTAATAGAATTCAGACTATACAGTCTGACAGAAAAGAACTTAACAGAATTCGTATGACTTGACAATCAGTTTTACAATGAGTAACTATTAATTATTAAAGATTAGCAAAAATATAAAGAAAAATTTTAGGTAAGAAGTTTTTCAAGTGGATCCTACTTATTTTTTTTACACATTAAAGAAAGGTAACAAGTGAGGCTTCCTAAGGAAAGAAAAACTGAAAAATTTTTGTTTTATTTAATTTTCACAAAAATCAAAAATTCTCAAAAACACCTAAAATCAAAATATTTATACAAGTTCCAATGCATATAAAAGCGAATAATATAATTTTTATTATTTTACAGCAAGAATTTACATCACCTCCGGCAAGAAGCAGTGTATGTATTTTAATTAAAAACTAAATTTAAAATAAATAAAAAATTATAAATTAATACAAAATATCTAATATATAAAAATTTCTTAACTATATATATGAAATTTACCCAATTATAAAAATTTATTTTGAAGAAAACATCGCAGTTATAAATTAAATATATAAAGGTTGCTCTAATACGAAGTGTATTAATTTAACATTTCATATTAGTATCGTTCTATCTATATAAGCTTTTCATCCAAAATATTCTCGTTTTGTTGTATTTTTATGTTTTTCTCTTAAACGATCAATTTTCAAAGTCAGCTATTATTAAACAGCAACCATAGTTTAATATAATTATTAAAACAGTAAAACTTTTTATAGTATTCTTTTATATATGATATTAATATTTATATATTAATATTTTAATATCTAACAGAAAATGTATCACATTTTTAATTTATTTTTTTTAGGGCCCATCACCATGTCCATCACCGGTAATAATATAATTCAATCACATATTATTTAGTTAATCTTTAAAATATTTTCCAAAAGTGCCCGCCATCGCCAGCATCACCGGTAATAATAAATTTTAATAACATAGTATTTTAATAATTTTTAAATTTTTTGTGAAGTGTCCATCAGCGGCTGCCGCACCGGTAATATCAAAATTTTAGTTATATATTAACTCAATAACCTTAAAAATTTTTTTCAAAAGTGTCCATCATCAGCTCAAGGAGCGGTAATAATATATCTCCATTACATGTTCTTTACATGATTTAAAAAAATTTTTTTTAGGTTGGTGGCCGACCACTTACATCACCGGTAATAATAATCCTTAATTATATAAATTTTATTTTACATAAATTTCAACAATTTTAATACATAATCGCTCCCTGCGTTAAATATTTCGTAAGTTATCATGTAATACAATTTACTATAAAATCTTTAATGCCGTCTAGGTTAGTTATTTTTTAAAATAATATATGTAATTGATTATTAATAACGAAACCATATATACTACATAAAACTCATTTAAATTGAAATGCCTATTATAGAACACAACAACGCCATGCAGACCGGTAAGTCAAATGAAATTATCCAATACATGAATATTCCTTACTTGTCTCCAAATGCAATAGAAGGCAACACTTTCTTCTTTCAGAATACTGTATTAAAAATTTTGAATAATTGTAGGGTATTTGGACACATTTATGATCAATTGATTTTTAAAAATCGAAACCAATGTTCAATAAGATCTGTTTGAATTGAATTATCGATTTTTAAGTGATAAGTGAACGGTTCTTAAGATTTTATCATATATAAAAATTTTAATTAATCTTTTATAAGACTTAAGGTCTTTTCAACAAAATTCAGGTAGCGATATCTTGTCATCGAAATCGATGAAATTCTAATACCTTCCAAATACCTAATTTATTATATTATAATAGTCGTTGTTCAAAATCTTATTTATAATCAGAACAATCCTGATTTGTTGGTCACTATATGACTGTTTGCTAGAAACAATCCTCAAGGTACCGTTGGTAAGGCGTCACTACTTCTATATCACCATATAGTAATTTTATATTCTTATCTACCAACATATTTGATTGTATAGTACAACATCAGGTCAGAGACTGTTGTTGATTATGTGTCTCCATGTATAACTCCAGCTTTCACAGCAAATGTTTACTTAACTGTTTTGTATACCATCACCTACGCTATTATACATTTTAGCGTTCTAATCGTTAGGCTGGTTAATTTTATATAAATCCCATATCTAATATGCCATATCTCATATCCCATATCTTATATCCAATATCTCATATCCCATATCTTATATGCCATATCCCATACCCCACATCTCCATATCTTCATATTCGTCAATACTCTGTATTAAGTCATAGGAAATCATACAAAATCCCCATAGTATACGTAAATTAATAAAAATGTATTCTGAAGAAACTTTACATATTCATTTAATATCTTCATTAAGCGGGAGACCATCTGCGGCACTAGATAATAGAACAAAACAAATAAAATGACATTGAGTATGGAACCAAAAACGAAGTACTAGGTCAAATGAAGTGGGTGAAGAAGTACAAATTTTAGGTTAACAGTAAATTTTTTAACAAAAATAAAGAGTTTAAATTTCTACTAATACTAATCTAATATTATTTAATTATTTTTGCAGCCTTCTGATCTCTTTTCTACTTTAAAGAACTTCAAAACACAGCAAAATAATATTATTTTTTTTTTAATCATTTGTCTTACAGGATAATATTGTTCTATACCTTTTTATATAAAAACATTTTATATTTTACAGCAATTTCCAAGCTCATGGGAAGTATCATCTGGTGATTTTTTTGTGAGTATTCTATTCTATTATTCTATTATGAATTATAATGGAACTATATTAATATGTTTAAATGGTAATCACATATAAAAATAGAACAATATAATCATCAAAGTATTTATTTTAAATGAATCCATAAGCAATAATTATCTACAGTATGTAACCGATTTTAAGTTAACCCTAAACAAGCCAGATACGATTTTTTAGAGCAATTAAAATTGAATATTGTTAGGCGAACATTAAAATTTATTGTTATTTATTATTTATTTTATTTTATTGGTTTGAATATCTAGTAAATATATAAAATCTCAAAATCTCAGCTTTCCAACTAGCAATACCAGTGTACATCTTTAATGAATTCACCATATAGGCTGATGGGAGTATTGTTATTGAAATTGGTTCGACATGATATATAGTATGTAGTATATGTACCTAAAATTTTAATGTCTTTTGGTACGTCCTCGGATTTTTGTGTGAAGTGACAGATATCGTTAACATTATGCAGATCCTCCAGTCATTCTCCTAAATCACATCTTATACCTCGAAAATATCTAGTCGCTTTCGCAGATATATATAGCTAAAATATAAATATTTTAATGGGGATGTTATAATTAAGAAAACTTCAACACATTACTTGTTTTTTATATTCTTCTCCTAATTCCCGTCACATACACTTATATCAGTTAATTATTTTCGCAGTCTCAAAATACGTTATTTGATTTATATTTATCTAAAAACTTAACTTTTTATGTTTTATTCCAGTACTCAAATCCAATTGATTCCGATGCAAGTCAATCCGATGTAAGTATTCTCATATACAGATATGGTACTACACGTTTTAGTATAAACAGTGATTTTAAACAATATTTCTCACTAAGCTACATTATAGCATGGGTTGGTTATAAATATATGAAAAAAGTAAAACTCGGGGATATTATCATTAACGGAAACTTTAATATTCACATATTAATTATGTGGTGTGTTCTTCTCTTAATTCCTGTCACAGACACTTATATTAGTTAATTATTTTCGCAGTCTTGTATTATGTTATCTGATTTCTATTATTCCATTTCTTTTACATCTAATAATATTTTGTGTTTTATTCCAGTACAATCTTGGACCACAAGCAAGCGCGGACGATGTAAGTATTTTAATACACAGATATTGCACGATTTCGATTCATATATTTTACTACAGATTATAGTATAACAACGATTTTGAACAACTTTTTCCACTAAGCTACATTTCACTAATGTTTAGCTATAAGAATTTAGAAAGTTAAAGTTGATTGTTTATATTTCCAGTAAACATTAATAATAGACTGATTTTTGAATTTGGCTGCACTGAAACTTAAGTCTTACAATTTTTTGCAAGTAAGGCCTAACTCTGAAGATTTTGAGAGCATTGTTGTTGCTTCACAAGTTTTCAGTCGTAAGTTGGGAGTATTTTTTTGCTACTCTCAAAGAAAAAATAAGGGCTATAATCATTTATTTTTCTTCATTAAAAAACAACATTAGTTTTTAGTTTCAGTAGAAATTTTGAATAGGTTTTTAAAAATCCTTAACAGATTTGACTTTTGCGATCAACAAAAATTGAATTTCATGAAACGACCAGTGAAACCTGAATTATTTTAATATTTTAGTACGTCAGTTTTGCACTCCAAATAGATATAATCTATTCTTATCTGCCATGAAAATAAAAAATATATTATAAAATTTTCGTATGGTTTTTAATTTGGTAATGTTTTCTTTACAGGAGTGTGAAGATTCCTTGGATTTCTCTAATATTGGTTATGACGTAAGTATTTATTAATTATATAATAAACAACAGCATTTGTTGAAAAAAGAACCTCTGGTAAAGATTATATTCTTGATTAGACTATAAGATAGCGCAAAAAACATAAAGCAATATAACCATTTAAGTTAAATTATTTGTAATATTATTTTAACAGTTCCAAAAAAACTTTTTTTTTAATATTTTTCAATGGACTACGTGTCTAACTCTTCAAACTATATTTAATAAATTAACGTATTTAATTTAATAATAAAATAATTTAAAAAATTTTGTATTGATGTACGCTTCATTTTCAAATACAGGTCAAAAGATCCATATTTGAAAAATCCATAGCTATTATTTTTTTACTACAATAACATTAATTTATTTGATCACATACTTAATAAGAGATATTAGCATGATGTATACACCAAAGTTATAAATTTTCCTTTAAATTATTTCAGGATTTCGCCCCAGGGGAACATGGAACATTTGCAGAAGAGGTACGTCTACTATACAAAAGCTATAAATGTCTTTCTGAATTATTGTATTAAATCATTCTAATGTATGTCATTCTAATTTGATTATCAGAGTTATCATATGCAAAATATCTACTTTGCAGATACGATAAATTGTTTCCACATATGTATTGTATCATTCTAATGAAAGTATTCTAATTTGATTATCAGAGTTATCATATGCAAAATATTTACTTTGCAGATGATATATGTATATATATATGACAACAGTTCTGTTTCATTTTGTATGAAAATTTCATTCATTCACTATCTCTATCACTGCTTATAAAAACTATTTAACAATTAAAATTTTCTTTTTTATTTAAAGGACCCATGTCATACTACAGACGTAGAAGACGTAAGCAGATTGAATTGGTCTGATGAGCTGATGGTAATTTTTTGAAATATAAATCTTATTATTACGTAAATGTGTCGCAAACTTTAATTCAGAATTAATGAAAACTAATTTTTAGAATGAAAAATTGCGAAGAAAACCAGAGTTACGAAAAGGGATGGGACCTGAACGTCCTCCTCAACCTGCACCTTGTTCTCCAGGGGTAATGACTATTGCTATAATTTGCAAATATGATCGGAACTTGCAATATTAAAATACTTGTTATAATAAAAAATTATTTTTTAGGCACAAGAACGAAAAGACCGGGAAGATCGGGAGTACGTAGTACGTATGAAAGAGCACTAGTGCTTTAGTATTATTTGAATTTAATATTCTAAAGAGCTGCAGTGAATTAATCGAACCTTAATTGCACAAAAATATACATTCTGTCAAAAATGTTTTCGGGTTTGTTATATGATGAAGAAATGTAATATTCATTTGTTATATTTATTTATTCTCCGTTCAATCTAATTGCTATTTAAAGCGTAGTATTTCTTATTAATTTAAAATATTTATTATCTGCGCTATATGATATTCGTTTAACTTCCTTACATGAATTTGTGACTTTCGTGGAATTATAGTGATACTTTGAAAAAATTATTTTTGTTCAGAAGTTTTATGGCTTCAATTCTTAGTACTATATTCTTTACAGCAGTTGATTAATGATTGGTGCATTATCATAATATCAAATTCTTTTTTTGTACAAGTCTAACAGTCCCTGAAAGACTTTCTATTACAACCCATCCAAAAACAAGGAATACATTAGTATCATCAATTTTACATTTTCGTTTGTTTAAAATATTATATTTAGTTATAGTTGCCACATGACGTCTTAAAAATAAATACGGTTGCAGAAGTTCTTCACTCTAATAATGCATTACATCACGTCCAATTATATTTTATAGAACACCGACGGGGTCTCTAAGTTTTCGCCAACACAAATACCCGAAAGGTGCTAAATATAATAATGTCTTTAATTTTATGTTTCTCTGACGAATATATTAGATATCGACTTTTGTAGAACGATTTTAAAATAAGAAACACATACAAAACTGAAACATCATAATCAAAAATTACCGAGCATTAGCTCGTGGCCTATGTTTTTTTTTTGTTTCGATACTGAACTTAAAGGAAAAATCTTCTAAAGATACAAATAGCCTGTACCATTTGCATGCCCGATTCATGCACGACTCATTGAGTCATGCATGTCTTCGGACTAAAAGGTCCCTACATTCTCAGCTCAAAATCGTAGAAATCTCTATAGTACGACCAGTTAAGGTATTTTTCCCCTGTGTAGGGCTATAGGGATGTACGTTAAGTATACCTATGTTATAGGCTAATATATGCTATTTCTTGCAAAGATAAAATGCAGTCTTGATTTGAAATCCCTAAAGAATAATCGATTAATGCGATTTGAATCTGATGTTTCAAATTTGAAATTCTTTGTTAATTTTTGACAGAATGCATAAACATTAAGGGTTTTGAGAAAATATATATGAAAGTAAGTGCAGTGTTAAAAATAATGATAAAAAGTTATAGTCGTTATACAGTATTTAACTAAAAATACATTAAATAAAATAGTATTTTTATTGTTTTTAAAAGCTTGAAATATTTTTTAGGCGAAATGTATGTTTGGAGTTAAAGAAGTAGGAAACATACAAAATCTGAATTTATCGGTAATGTATTAATATCTTTCATATTTTTACTACATAAGTCCTACCATCTATTCAATACGAGTAAAATAATGTTAAAATCAGCAGTTCTAAAATTTTAATGATATTAATAAAGAGGATGAATGATGCATCAATTTTTATTTTTTTAATTAAAAATTTGGAAAGTAAATTTTGAGTATAAAAGATGGTATTTTCTTAAAATATATATATAATTATTATTATTCTATCATTGTTATTGTTCGTTCATCGCACATAATACGATTTCTTTATTTCATAGAGTTCACCACAAAGACCACAGGAAGAGGATGTAATATCATGTTCACTTATTTCTAAGCAATTTGTTTAATATGTATAAATTATTTTACAGTTACCGTGGGGTTTAACTAGTAGAGCTGAGGTAATTGTCACATTTTTTAAAAAATTTTCATATATTAATTAAGATATTTACTTATAGAGAGTATGTGGTAGAAAAGGATCCAACAAGCGAGTGTTTAATGTACCAAGGGTGAGTTCATAATATTTATGTATCATTTTTTAAAATACAAATTATGAGTCTAATTAATATTAATATTATTATTATTATGAGCCTAATAATATATAAAAGAGTAATTGAAAATAGCTTTCTTGCTTTCCAATGTAATATACAATATTACTGATGATTAGTTTCGCAATGGATATTTAGACGCCGATATTATTCCTAGAGATCTTTAGCTAAACATTAATTTGTATTTATTGAAAAGTCAAGTAAGTTTAAGCTGTTTAGAACATAGTGAGTACTTATGACTCACTTCTAGTCTGATTTTTATATGATTATACTATTCAAGTTTCATGGTAAATACGACGCATTCGTAGTACTTTCTTATTTACTAAATAATTTATGATTATATATGTGTTTAATATTAATTTAATAATATTTATTTATAATTATGTACAAAACATGAAACGTAACTACTTTAATATTTAATAATTTATTGTAATAAACTGTATTAGATTTCAACTTTATCGAAAAGCTTACATATTGATGTTGTTGTATATAAAGTCAATTCCTGAAAAGCAAATAGTTTATCGAAGGAAAAGTGCCAAGATATGTGTGATGAAAAATACATTATGTGGAATTAAGATTATTTGAAAACAATGCAATGCGCTAGAAAACAATTAGTGTATTTTTGTATACACAGCACATTTAAGAGGAACCACTAATTACCATAGTAAGTGCATCCATGCCAAAATAACTACGCATATCAGTATCATATAAACAATCTATGCACAAATACAAACAAAAGACATATTCACTAGAGACTGAGCAAAATATCAAGTCACTGAAACATACAGCATAGAAATGCAAAAAAGTCAGAAGAAGCAATGTCAAGAACAAACTCAGTGCAAAAGTTACTTCCAACCTATCACTGAAAGAAACAATTCAGAATATCATAGTAACAAATACTACGCCTTTACCAGAGATAAAACAATACATATAAAGAAATAGATGTTATCGCTGAAATTGATAGTTTCATTTCATTTAATAACACTGTTAGCATATGACTAGTTGTTCTGGAAATGAAAGTGACTACTGTATTTGTTTTTGATTCGAATGTAATAAACTGTCATTATATTTTCTTCATTATGAAAAGCGTACATATTCAAGGCATAAGTTCATAATTTATCTTCTCTGAAAATTTAAATATTTTAGTCTTTTTAAATGTTTGTTAAGTTTTTTGTGACTGAATAGTAATATATTATTATTTAAGTTAAGATTATTTGAATCGCAGTGTATTTCGCTAGAAAATCTCATTATTGCATTATCTGGTATCTTGTTTCTCAGCACAGCACATTTCAGAGGAACTCTACTAACTTCAGCCTTGAGTGAGTAGCATCCATGTACAAACTTACTATTCATGTGTCAGTGAGTTCATCGTAAAGAATCTTTGCACTAATAAACACAATAAAAAGAGTTATCTCTTTTTCTTTTACTGAGACAAAAGTCTCAAGTCACTGAAAACATACAGCATTGAAATGGCAAAATATTCTGAATAAGGAATTGTTCAAAAGTATTAAACTCTCCAGTGGAAAAGTTACTTCTAACCTAAAATCACTGAAGGTAATCAGTGCTCATAATATTAATAGTCAACTATATACTACGCCGTTATACTAAGAGATAATACAATACATATTAATTTTAATATATGTTATTGCTGAAATTTATATTTTTATTTCATTTGTTTTTTATAGCGCTGGAAATATCGGAGGGTAATAATATTTTTTTTTATTTACCTGAATTATTATTAACATAATCTTTAAAATATTTTTAGCCCCCTTCATCACCGGTAATGACAAATTTAAGTTACAAATTTTAAGTTACATATATTAAATCACATAATCTTTAAAATAATTTTTAGATGTGCGGAGTACCACTACCGGTAATAGAAACTTTCAATTAAAAATTATTTACAAAATCTCAAAAGCGTTTTTAAGGGCCGCGGACCAGCAGCTTCAACACCGGTAATGATAACTTTTAACCACATATATTATACTATCCATATACATAAGTGATCAAAATTAAGCAACTTTAAAACTTGAACACTACGTATATTATATATATTTTTAAAACGATATGACACAAAATGTAGAGCATTAACTTCATATCCCTATATGTGTTTGAACTAATTTCTGGAGTGAAGAAACAACACTTATTATGTATGGGAGAGAGTACTATTCTCAAGATAATTTCTTAATCCCAGAAACTAAAAATAGATTGCATCGGAGAAAATTTGTAGTAAAAATTTTCATCATCTTTAATATCTCAAATGCAATTAATGACGACAGATTAGACCGTTCATTAATATCAGCTTTAGTAACCAATTGTATATAACCACAGAATAAGATCCAACAGATAGTAAATATGGAATAACAGACAAGCACACTCTGTAAAGTTAACAATATTAATAGAATTCAGACTATACAGTCTGACAGAAAACAACTTAACAGAATTCGTATGACTTGACAATCAGTTTTACAATGAGTAACTATTAATTATTAAAGATTAGCAAAAATATAAAGAAAAATTTTAGGTAAGAAGTTTTTCAAGTGGATCCTACTTATTTTTTTTACACATTAAAGAAAGGTAACAAGTGAAGCTTCCTAAGGAAAGAAAAACTGAAAAATTTTTGTTTTATTTAATTTTCACAAAAATCAAAAATTCTCAAAAACACCTAAAATCAAAATATTTATACAAGTTCCAATGCATATAAAAGCGAATAATATAATTTTTATTATTTTACAGCAAGAATTTACATCACCTCCGGCAAGAAGCAGTGTATGTATTTTAATTAAAAACTAAAATTAAAATAAATAAAAAATTATAAATTAATACAAAATATCTAATATATAAAAATTTCTTAACTATATATATGAAATTTACCCAATTATAAAAATTTATTTTGAAGAAAACATCGCAGTTATAAATTAAATATATAAAGGTTGCTCTAATACGAAGTGTATTAATTTAACATTTCATATTAGTATCGTTCTATCTATATAAGCTTTTCATCCAAAATATTCTCGTTTTGTTGTATTTTTATGTTTTTCTCTTAAACGATCAATTTTCAAAGTCAGCTATTATTAAACAGCAACCATAGGTTAATATAATTATTAAAACAGTAAAACTTTTTATAGTATTCTTTTATATATGATATTAATATTTATATATTAATATTTTAATATCTAACAGAAAATATATCACATTTTTAATTTATTTTATTTTTAGGGCCCATCACCATGTCCATCACCGGTAATAATATAATTCAATCACATATTATTTAGTTAAATTTTAAAATATTTTCCAAAAGTGCCCGCCATCGCCAGCATCACCGGTAATAATAAATTTTAATAACATAGTATTTTAATAATTTTTAAATTTTTTGTGAAGTGTCCATCAGCGGCTGCCGCACCGGTAATATCAAAATTTTAGTTATATACTAACTCAATAACCTTAAAAAATTTTTTCAAAAGTGTCCATCATCAGCTCAAGGAGCGGTAATAATATATCTCCATTACATGTTCTTTACATGATTTAAAAAATTTTTTTCAGGTTGGTGGCCGACCACTTACATCACCGGTAATAATAATCCTTAATTATATAAATTTTATTTTACATAAATTTCAACAATTTTAATACATAATCGCTCCCTGCGTTAAATATTTCGTAAGTTATCATGTAATACAATTTACTATAAAATCTTTAATGCCGTCTAGGTTAGTTATTTTTTAAAATAATATATGTAATTGATTATTAATAACGAAACCATATATACTATATAAAACTCATTTAAATTGAAATGCCTATTATAGAACACAACAACGCCATGCAGACCGGTAAGTCAAATGAAATTATCCAATACATGAATATTCCTTACTTGTCTCCAAATGCAATAGAAGGCAACACTTTCTTCTTTCAGAATACTGTATTAAAAATTTTGAATAATTGTAGGGTATTTGGACACATTTATGATCAATTGATTTTTAAAAATCGAAACAATGTTCAATAAGATCTGTTTGAATTGAATTATCGATTTTTAAGTGATAAGTGAACGGTTCTTAAGATTTTATCATATATAAAAATTTTAATTAATCTTTTATAAGACTTAAGGTCTTTTCCAAAAAATTCAGGTAGCGATATCTTGTCATCGAAATCGATGATATTCTAATACCTTCCAAATACCTAATTTATTATATTATAATAGTCGTTGTTCAAAATCTTATTTATAATCAGAACAATCCTGATTTGTTGGTCACTATATGACTGTTTGCTAGAAACAATCCTCAAGGTACCGTTGGTAAGGCGTCACTACTTCTATATCACCATATAATAATTTTATATTCTTATCTACCAACATATTTGATTGTATAGTACAACATCAGGTCAGAGACTGTTGTTGATTATGTGTCTCCATGTATAACTCCAGCTTTCACAGCAAATGTTTACTTAACTGTTTTGTATACCATCACCTACGCTATTATACATTTTAGCGTTCTAATCGTTAGGCTGGTTAATTTTATATAAATCCCATATCTAATATGCCATATCTCATATCCCATATCTTATATCCAATATCTCATATCCCATATCTCATATGCCATATCCCATACCCCACATCTCCATATCTTCATATTCGTCAATACTCTGTATTAAGTCATAGGAAATCATACAAAATCCCCATAGTATACGTAAATTAATAAAAATGTATTCTGAAGAAACTTTACATATTCATTTAATATCTTCATTAAGCGGGAGACCATCTGCGGCACTAGATAATAGAACAAAACAAATAAAATGACATTGAGTATGGAACCAAAAACGAAGTACTAGGTCAAATGAAGTGGGTGAAGAAGTACAAATTTTAGGTTAACAGTAATTTTTTAACAAAAATAAAGAGTTTAAATTTCTACTAATACTAATCTAATATTATTTAATTATTTTTGCAGCCTTCTGATCTCTTTTCTACTTTAAAGAACTTCAAAACACAGCAAAATAATATTATTTTTTTTTTAATCATTTGTCTTACAGGATAATATTGTTCTATACCTTTTTATATAAAAACATTTTATATTTTACAGCAATTTCCAAGCTCATGGGAAGTATCATCTGGTGATTTTTTTGTGAGTATTCTATTCTATTATTCTATTATGAATTATAATGGAACTATATTAATATGTTTAAATGGTAATCACATATAAAAATAGAACAATATAATCATCAAAGTATTTATTTTAAATGAATCCATAAGCAATAATTATCTACAGTATGTAACCGATTTTAAGTTAACCCTAAACAAGCCAGATACGATTTTTTAGAGCAATTAAAATTGAATATTGTTAGGCGAACATTAAAATTTATTGTTATTTATTATTTATTTTATTTTATTTGTTTGAATATCTAGTAAATATATAAAATCTCAAAATCTCAGCTTTCCAACTAGCAATACCAGTGTACATCTTTAATGAATTCACCATATAGGCTGATGGGAGTATTGTTATTGAAATTGGTTCGACATGATATATAGTATGTAGTATATATACCTAAAATTTTAATGTCTTCTGGTACGTCCTCGGATTTTTGTGTGAAGTGACAGATATCGTTAACATTATGCAGATCCTCCAGTCATTCTCCTAAATCACATCTTATACCTCGAAAATATCTTGTCGCTTTCGCAGATATATATAGCTAAAATATAAATATTTTAATGGGGATGTTATAATTAAGAAAACTTCAACACATTACTTGTTTTGTATATTCTTCTCCTAATTCCCGTCACATACACTTATATCAGTTAATTATTTTCGCAGTCTCAAAATACGTTATTTGATTTATATTTATCTAAAAACTTAACTTTTTATGTTTTATTCCAGTACTCAAATCCAATTGATTCCGATGCAAGTCAATCCGATGTAAGTATTCTCATATACAGATATGGTACTACACGTTTTAGTTTAAACAGTGATTTTAAACAATATTTCTCACTAAGCTACATTATAGCATGGGTTGGTTATAAATATATGAAAAAAGTAAAACTCGGGGATATTATCATTACGGAAACTATATTAATATTAACATATTAATTATGTGGTGTGTTCTTCTCTTAATTCCTGTCACAGACACTTATATTAGTTAATTATTTTCGCAGTCTTGTATTATGTTATCTGATTTCTATTATTCCATTTCTTTTACATCTAATAATATTTTGTGTTTTATTCCAGTACAATCTTGGACCACAAGCAAGCGCGGACGATGTAAGTATTTTAATACACAGATATTGCACGATTTCGATTCATATATTTTACTACAGATTATAGTATAACAACGATTTTGAACAACTTTTTCCACTAAGCTACATTTCACTAATGTTTAGCTATAAGAATTTAGAAAGTTAAAGTTGATTGTTTATATTTCCAGTAAACATTAATAATAGACTGATTTTTGAATTTGGCTGCACTGAAACTTAAGTCTTACAATTTTTTGCAAGTAAGGCCTAACTCTGAAGATTTTGAGAGCATTGTTGTTGCTTCACAAGTTTTCAGTCGTAAGTTGGGAGTATTTTTTTGCTACTCTCAAAGAAAAAATAAGGGCTATAATCATTTATTTTTCTTCATTAAAAAACAACATTAGTTTTTAGTTTCAGTAGAAATTTTGAATAGGTTTTTAAAAATCCTTAACAGATTTGACTTTTGCGATCAACAAAAATTGAATTTCATGAAACGACCAGTGAAACCTGAATTATTTTAATATTTTAGTACGTCAGTTTTGCACTCCAAATAGATATAATCTATTCTTATCTGCCATGAAAATAAAAAATATATTATAAAATTTTCGTATGGTTTTTAATTTGGTAATGTTTTCTTTACAGGAGTGTGAAGATTCCTTGGATTTCTCTAATATTGGTTATGACGTAAGTATTTATTAATTATATAATAAACAACAGAATTTGTTGAAAAAAGAACCTCTGGTAAAGATTATATTCTTGATTAGACTATAAGATAGCGCAAACAACATAAAGCAATATAACCATTTAAGTTAAATTATTTGTAATATTATTTTAACAGTTCCAAAAAAACTTTTTTTTTAATATTTTTCAATGGACTACGTGTCTAACTCTTCAAACTATATTTAATAAATTAACGTATTTAATTTAATAATAAAATAATTTAAAAAATTTTGTATTGATGTACGCTTCATTTTCAAATACAAGTCAAAAGATCCATATTTTAAAATTCCATAGCTATTATTTTTTTACTACAATAACATTAATTTATTTGATCACATACTTAATAAGAGATATTAGCATGATGTATACACCAAAGTTATAAATTTTCCTTTAAATTATTTCAGGATTTCGACCCAGGGGAACATGGAACATTTGCAGAAGAGGTACGTCTACTATACAAAAGCTATAAATGTCTTTCTGAATTATTGTTATTAAATCATTCTAATGTATGTATCATTCTAATTTGATTATCAGGTTTATCATATGCAAAATATTTGCTTTGCAGATATGATAAATTGTTTCCACATATGATATATGTATATATATATATGACAAGCGTTCTGTTTCATTTTGTATGAAAATTTCATTCATTCCACAAAACAATTCACAATAGTTCAAGTTTCGCTGTTGAAATTCAAAATAATTTGTAATGAAAGCAACAACAATTGACAGCTTAAATTACAAACATGACAGCTAAAAATAGAAACATGACATTTATACAAACATAAAACATTTAAAATACATTAAACAAACTTTAATATATTTAAAATATTACTATCACTTCCATTTGCTGAGTTTATTTGTTAATTAAAAATTATTTATCATTTTTTAGCAATTTTCAAGTGCAGATAGTGGAGGATATGATGTAAGTATTCTCTTGTATAGTTCATTATGTTTTTGTAGCTGAGATGTTCTACTGATGACTACTGTAGAAATTGTTAATCTCCAATTGATGCAGAAGTGAATTAAATGGTATATTATTAAAATTCTATTTTATGAAATATTATATAATATAAAAAACTGAGTGAATCCTAAAGAGATTTAATTATTTTGAGGGAAATTACATACTATTGGACGACCCTAATTTTCAAATAGGGTTTTAATACATTGGTTCTTCTCACCACCGTTTCAGCCACTATAAGTTTACTTTGTACGAGTTAAATTGGAGCAATATGATTCCAACGTCATAGTTTAGGCAGTTAATATGATAATCATTGCATGTACTAAATATAGAATTAACAATACTAACTGATTACGGACTGCCTTAAGTAATTGTGATAGTGAAAACATCAACAAGCGAAGTTATATTTATTACTCTCAACACAAAACATGGCTCAGTCCTATACTGATTAAGTTGAAAGTTTTGAAATAATACTAGATAAACCAGTTAACTGTAATACTTATTGTGAAAACTTTCATAATAAGTATACTAACGTCATTCTTGTTAGTAGTTAGTTGGATTTCAAAGTATTTTCTTGGAATTATATTGTTTCCATATAGGCGATATGTAGTTACTCGATTATGGAACGACTCTAATTTTTTTCTTTTATAAAATGTACGGGTAAACACGACAAAATATCTTTTTGATTGATTGATGATTTATTTATATATTATTCAATAACTTTAGATGCTATTTACATAAAATGTATATTCAATATATATTTAGGGTATAATGTGTATTTAGGGTATAATGGAATTAGACAGTGGTTTTACTAAGAAACATTTAATACATAATAAATATGTATATTAATTACCTTTATTATTAAAATTGCACAATTTACTTTTTAAACTAAAAACATTTTATATTTTTCAGCAACCTTTACCGGAGTGTCCATTTGGTGTAAGTATACTGATTAACTTTACCTATTAGATTATTTTACTATGTATGAACAGTAAGAATAAAAAAAGCTTTAAGTTTATAAAATATGATCTTAATTACTTCATGAATAATTGATTTTAAGCACATCAAAAATACGTCATATATTATATTTTCTGAATAACTATAAAATATTTAATTTATATAGGATGTTATTATATCAAAAGAAAAATTAAACGGAATTTTACTTTGAAATGTGTCGCTTCGAAAACTTCGAATTGCCTCTTTTGATTTCACATAAGTGTTCTTAACAGTTGGTTGCTGAGCATAGGTGTGACATAACACTTCTCTCCAGACACATCTGCTATTTTTGCAGAGTAATCAACATGATTACCTGATTTAAAAGAAATTTTCTGCTATTTTTGCAGAGTAATCAACATGATTACCTGATTTAAAAGAAATTTTCCCTTACGTTTTCTTCTCCCAACTATAGCTTTAAATACTTATTTCCCAAGAGTATCATGATATATAGGTATGTTCAAAACATGATCAAGACGTAGAAGTAACACGATGATATTTCACTAAAATATTTCAATATTCTCATTAAGCTTATACGGCGCTCTGCCCTTTCGAATGCGGTAGTAATCACCAATAAGTTTTCTACTATAAGTTTACTAGTTCTACCTAATTATTTTATGATAGCAACCACGCTTCTACACCATACATAAGTGCAGGTAGTATGGTGGGACTAGTGGGGCGTAAGTTTTGAGGTTCAAAACTATCTGTTAATTCTAATTGCTTATTGATAAATGCGATAACAGAAGCGATTAACTTATTTACTACAGAAAATTTCTCACATATAATTATTATCTATTATATCAATTTGAGTAATTCAATTAAATTTCTAATTTAAAAACATTTTACGTTTTCAGGAATTTTCAAGTGCAGATAGTGGCGCATTAGAAGTAAGTGTTCTTTTATACACCATAGATTATTATATTTTCGTTGGGTTTAAATAACAGATTTTCTGACCCCATGTAATCAATTTGATATCAAAATAAATTGATTTTATTCTAATAAGCGAATTTCATTCTATTAAACGAATTTTATTCAGCTAAGCGAATTTTATTCAAATAGCGAATTTTATTCAGCTAAGCGAATTTTATTCAAATAGCGAATTTTATTTAGTTAAGCGAATTTATTCAGCTAAGCGAATTTTTTTCAGCTAAGCGAATTTATTCAGCTATGTGAATTTTTTTCAACTAAGCAAATTTTATATATTTAAGCAAGTTTATTGAGCTAAGCTTATTAAATTCAGCTCAGCGAATTTTATTCAACTAAGCTAATTTAATTCAGCTCAGCGAATTTCATTTAGCTCAGCGAATTTCATTCAGCTCAGCGAATTTCATTCAGCTCAGCGAATCTTATTCGGCTAAGCGAATTTTATTCGGCTAAGCGAATTTTATTCGGCTAAGTGAATTTTATACGACTAAATAAATTTATGAAGCTGTATAAAACCTTGTATGCCCGAAGTTTGGCAAATCACACACATCAATTAAATATTATTATTTTATATTGATTCTTAATTTACACTTTCAGGGGGATATAACCGGATTCGTAGACTTAAGCCAACATCATGTAAGTACTCTTCAAGAGATTACATATTATTCTAATATTGTATTAAAACAGTTCTAGGAGTGCAAACTATAACAATTGGATTAATGCACAGTAGTTGACATAATATAATTATTAAAGTGTTTATTTTATAAACTATTATTTCAATAGTTAAACAAAGAATAAACAATTTTACTTTTTTCATGATCGTCAGTTTTTTGGATTTAATATTTGTAACCAGATAATGATTAATATTATATGAAAATATGTTTTGAGCAATGGTTTTATTTGTCAGCTATTATTCCATCATATGTTTCTATGAGTCTGTTACAGTAAATTGCAGTCAGTAGTCAGGATAAAGTTCAAGCCTCGTTTAAATTAGGAAGTAACTTATATTCATGTTCTTTGAAATATAGACAACTGTAATATCAAGTATCCTAGTCAAGTTTGTTGGTAAGTATGTTGTTTCGGTGGTATTAAGATGGTTTTTTTTGAGCTTAAGTATTTGACCATATTTCTTTTCTTAGTGTTCGTAAGCTTACATCTTCAATATTCCATGTTTTGTATCCTTATATCCGTCTACAATGAAACTTGGTCCAACTTCATTAAAGAATATAATACTATATACGAGTTTCCTAAATACTGAATTTGATCTTCAACCTTTTGTCAATAATAAATGATCATTTTGTTGATTTTTAGGTTTAAAATGTTATGTATTGTGCTTAGTAAATATGACTGCAGAGCCATATCCAGTACCTTTCGGATTATTTGCGTTATCTGTTTCATTATATATCCTACTGCGGTCAAAATGTTTTTCACTAAAGTGAGTTTCATAGATTATACTAACCAATTGCATTAACATAATATATGATTTTTTAATCGAATTGCATTCTGGGATGTTATTTAAAAGTTATGTCAATTCTATTATTGTGTTAATTTTGTTCATTATCTGATCCATCAGCTGTTTCACAACTTTCTTTCTTTATTCCATTTAATTATATTATTGTTTTAATATTTTGAGTGTAAATAGTGTCCTACAGTACTACTCCTATGTGGCTACATAAAGCATGTCTTTTGTCTATATCTTGTGTGCTGCAAGTTAGACTAATAGAGCGAGAATACAACGAATTTTTACAGATATCACACACTATTTAATTTGCAGTGTGAACGGTTTCAGAGATAGTACATGTGAACCGAATTGTAGTTAACATAAATCGCAACTAGTAGTTGAATAGAGAACTTAAGTTGTCAATATTGTAGAATTATTTTTAAGTTTTAATAAGAAAGATGTTAACAGATGTTTGTTAAGGTCTGCATATGTTACTTGTTTCTTCAGTAATGCCTCAGATGTCTTAGTATTATTTTAAAACCACGGTATTCTTTAAGCTTACATCTCTAGTATTTAGAGTAGCCGTAATGTTCTTTGGTTCAAATGTAGTTTAATGTAGTATTTTTTTGGCTCTTTATATATATATATCAACGTCATGGGATTTTAGCATAGGAATGTACTTGGTTTATTTAAATAAGGTTTCTGATTTGTTAAAAATTTAGGAAAAGGTGTATGTTTAAATTAAAGTTTGGAAATTGAAAATATATAGTATTCTCGATTCCTTGGTATATGTAAATGTCATTTGTCTTATCTTTATCTATAAATATATATACCAAGGCAATGAAGTTTGCCGCTATTGTGAATTAATTTTATTACTAAATATATAGAATTAAGATATAAACATGTTTTCCTAATAAAAATTTAGAATTATAATAATATTACTTATTCCATTTTATTCTATAAAATTGTAATTTCTCTGATTTGAACTTGTTAAAATACCATTGATAAATTTATTTATTCAATATATTTATAATATTCATTTCTCTCTTACAAGCTGCTAAATAAACAACTGAAAAAACATTTTTTTTCTAGCATGTCCCAGATAGATCAAGCGCTTTTGCAGATCCATCAATTCCTGATTTCAATGTAAGTATGCTTTTGTAAAGTAATTTGCAGGGCGAAGGACCTAGTTGTCCAGTTCCTTATTCTTAATTAACTTTAAAATTGATTTTAGTGCTAGCATACAAATAAATAAATAAATGCATAAAGTAATTTCATTTATTGTAGAGGTAGAGGAGATAATTACGAACTGCATTAAATTTTAATATATAAAACAACAGAAAATATTAATACAATAAATATTATGGCTGTTTAACTATTATTATAAATATAAAATTATTTTTAAACATTTTTTTATTAATATATTTTTTTTAAATTTAATGACTAAAAAATATGCGGTAAAATGATGTGTTTTTAATAGAAATTTACGTTGTATTTTTTAGCAATTTCCAGATTCAACAGCAGAATCTTCTGGACTTAGTGTAAGTACTCTATTATTGTAGATAAACCCCAATTAAACTATAAAAGTAAACTATAAATTGCAATAAAATATAAAGAAGTAATACTATGGATAAAGATTTCATATAAACTTATTATTTGAAGTTATTATAAATATTTACTACTTAATATTTTAGACCGCAAGTGAGTGATAACCCCGAGCATTTTAACAACGTTGACCGATTCGATTTCTATTAATATATATAAAATTGCACTGCCTTTTAATCATTTTGATATGACACTTCGTCTGCTTAGCTGATTTCCAGGCAATCGTCAGTAAACATCATTATGTTTACGTACTTACTTATTTCGTCTATCAAGATAGGTAGACATGATTTTCTTAGATTTGTGGTAAATATGATTTCCCGAATCAGTGATAATTAATTTTAATGAGATTTGATAGTAACAGTAACAGCAACACTGTTGTTTAGCGTGAGTACCTCGGTACCTTATGAACTTCCATCAGTTCTAATGAAATTATGTGTTTTGGGTATAACTTTCTCCTTAGTAAGGAGCGAGGCCTACCAATACCTCTGCTGATCATTGGCCCGGTGGTGAATATACAACTAACGGTCATTCCTTTCACGTATTGTTGGGTATTAACCACAGCCATTACGACTCTGCCAACCACAACTTGGTAAGGACAGCCAGAGTTGCGGGCAATTAACCCCCGTAGTACCAGATTTACACTTCCGATCGATAGTGTCACTTAGTGTCACTATCACCATACACACTCCAAAACAGTATCGGCATAGCGCAAGGATTTTAATCGCCTCTTACGACAGGCATGCCTACCTCGGGAATATTCTAAACCCTTACCCGCAAGGGGAGGGATTTTATAGTGTTCGATGAATACTCTTAGGTCTGTGAGAGATTGGACTTATCCAGTTAAATTAAAAAGGATTCATTTTTGGTGCAGATTTTGTAAGCCAACACTTAAAAATCAATATTTTAGAAATGGATATTAGTAATTGATTTCCTTAGAAACGTCTTAAACGGTTTTTATCTTTGAATATTTTCTTATGAAAGAGTCAATTATCTTCTCAGAGTAGTACCATTGCAAGATGGGATCATAGAATATCATTAAAAATCTAAATAGCCATTATCTATTACTGATTTGGGCTTTCAATACTGATAATGCTGCTTTTTTAAATAGTGACAATAATATCAAAATTCAAACAAATTACAATCAGCTAAGTGATTTTTTTGTAGATCAAAAAAGTGCTGTAGATTCAAAAAAGTGATATAACTCTATAATGCTATTAAAAGTGCTATAAAAAAGTGCTATAGAGTTCGATTTGCATTCATTTTTAATGGAAATTACTCTGACCACCTGTCAGAGTATTTTTTTAAATAATCACAAACTTTCCTGTTTAAAGGAATCTAGGCTTCTAATCAAGCTAAGAATTAAAATTTAAGAAGTTTTTGTTTAATTCAGAAAAAAGATTGAATAGAACAAAGCAAAAATGAGATTACGTTCTCGCCTTCAGATATATTTCTTTTCTACAACAATCATTTTAAAATTTTATATCAGTTATTATAAGGATGTTACTATCCCACTCTACTATCTACTGTGAATAACTTTTACATTAGTAATAAAATAATATAATAATTCATTTCTTAAAAAATATGTCTTCAAATGATTATTCTTATTAAAAAAACTATTTTGTATATTGCAGCAATACGCAGACTCAACATGTCCATCAGGTGCTTTTGGAATGGATGTAAGTAGTCCATTATTATTGATATATTTAACTACAAGAAATATTTTTGAACTTTACTGAACTGATACTCAGAGAACAATAAAATGAAGTAATGCTATGGATAAAAGCTTAATATTAAATTATTAAAAATTATTTGAAATACTTTTTTAAGTGCTATTTTGAATCATGTTTTAATAATTTCAAGAGCAATATTCCATTTGATTTCTATAGAATTATATGGTGAAATGTTGAGCTGGCTAACAGATAATTGTTTGTAATATCATCTCCTGGATTTTAATTGATTGAGTTCATAAAATACGTTTGGGTCTGGAAGAGATAGGACTTCTTTATTCAAAATTCTCTGCTTCTGCTCAGTACTCGTACAATTTGGCAGACAATATTCTTCTTGCAGAGAATATTTTTTTAAATTTGACCATAACATACTGTTTTGATATTAATATCTATAATTGTATTTTACTTCTCAGCATTGTGTGAATTTCTCTTCTCTCAGATATAACCATAAACAAATAATATATACCATAGAGTTATTTCTTAAGTTATTTCTTATTTCTTTTTGTTTTTTGTAGCAATTCCCAGACTCGCCGTGTCCGGCGCAACCTTATGGAATGGGTGTGAGTACTCAATTATACAAAACTTCATTCATTATATTCAGACATAAAATACAGTTAACTGTATAAAATAATCATGAATTTCATTACGATTTAATATATAATGGAATGATACAAACGGAATGATATGGAATGATGGAATGCTATATACAAACGGTGAAAATTTTGATTTGTCAAATATTAAATAGTTATATGAAATTATTTTAAATATTATCCACATACTATACCGATTCGTTTTTAAACAGTGGTTAACTTCAATCATTTCAAGTCCAATTTTCGGTTCAAATTATGGCACTATGCTGGTGATATATATTTTTTAAATTAACGATCGATTGATTAAGATGATTTCATAATAATGTTAGTTTTCGTACATAATAATCATTATGTGCTGAATTGATCATTGCAAACGCTATATACTTAAAGGTGAGAGAGAAAAAGGACTGATCCTTCCAAAAAAAATGGCGTTATATATTCGATACAAACTCTATAGTCTTTGTTTAATTATTAATAACTTCTCGAGAAAGGATGATACCTTTCACTACGAGTATTAAATCACATATTTTTTCGATGTTAATAACCCTCATTCCATTTTATTACATATCATAGTATTATATCCATATTTGTTTATATAAATCTATTAATTTATTTGTATAAAATACTATATACACAAATATATACAAAAGTGTTATGTATTTCGTAGCAATTTTCAGATGCAAGTTGCCCTATTCCAGCATCATTTGGAGCTTCTGATTGCGATGTAAGTATAGAAACTTCATTTTTTATTTTTAGATAGATTAAAAATTGATATTAAAATTGCAATAAATTGATATTATATATTTTTAATATCAATATTTCTACAATAGATTAACACAATAAAATGCAGTTATTAAAATTTTCGTTTATTAAAGATCATCAATGTGTCATTATACCTCTTATAAAAAAATGAATATTAGGTATTATTAATAATTTACATATAAAACTGGATAATTAAGGATTCCGTAAAATTGAATAGATCTCTTATGATACCTTCAAGAGTAACTACATATGTCTCTATAATTGATTCTTCATTAATGTACTGATAAGATTGCGTTAAAACTGGTAGACTTTAAGTAAACTTATTGCATTTATTATATGATAAATACAAAAATAATATTTTTTGGCTCCATTAACGATGCTATCAGAGTGAAACAGTGCTTCTTCTATCACTTTCCTCAATTGCTCTGTATCTGTTTTATCTGTTTTTACTTTTCAGTTTTGTGTTTTTATATCATGTTTCCACTGCATCTAAAACTACTTATGTTAATGGATTTATAATTTAGTCGTTTTCATTCGCATAAGCTGATTTATGTATGTGAAATATCTAGCTTGTTTATTTATAATTAACATATAAAACATATAAAACTTATACCAAATATTTAAAATTTTATTAACTTCCCTTGTGGGAAGTTTATTTTAAAAGGTTGATTTCAACATTTTTCGCTTGAAATGAGTTTTTTTTTGTTATTGTTTTTTGGTATTGAACCTGGAGGAAAAATCTTCTAGATACAAATGACCCGACCCATTTGCATATCCGATTCATGCACGACTCAATTGCGTCATACATACTTACGGACTAAAAAGTCCCCACATTATCAGCTCAATATCCTGGAAATTCTTGCAGTACGACCAGTTAAGGTATTACTTCACAGGGCAGGTTAGAAGATCATTTAGCGAACTTCACACCGATTGTGTACTAAGTATTTCGCCCGCTCTTACAATGTTTAAGTTCTAGAGATTATGTACTTATAAAGGCTTCATTCTTCAATGCTTGCCAATATCTACATTACCATAGTAATTAGTGTCTCTAGATTTTGTCTAGTATCTACGAATCTTATACAGTCTCTAATAAATAAAAACTCTTTGCATATTAAATTATCCTAATTAGCGGCTCTAATGAACAAAACTATCTAGTGGAAACATAGTATTAGTGTTCTTAGATCACTGAAGTTCCACTTCTTCATTTGCAAATTAGCAGTCCTGCATAAACTTGTTTTACGAATTTTTAATAGCCATTCTTACTATGTAACTATCAATCGTATAGAACACATATACCTAATTTATTCATAAGCAACTGCTAGAAGAATTTAATGCTCTTTCTAATTATTTACATTAGAGTATATTAGAGTAAGCGATACGATTTATTTCATCTTATGCTATAGTACAAATCAAAATTAATAATATTAAATTAATAAGAACTATTGAATTGTCATTAAATCATTAAGTAACTAAGCAACTATTTAAATATGTTTTGGCAATAAGGAATATAATTTTAGATAAAACATCTTTACATACCTATCATTAATTTTCTTTCTTTTCTCTTTTAATTGTTTTCAAAGGACCTGCCTGATTTGACTGAGGAAATTTCGGTAATATCAGAAATACTCATCTCATAACTATTTAAATATTTGATATGTTATTTAAAATATGTAAATTAACAATTAAATGTTATTTTATAGAGAGCTTCATCAGACTATGGACAATCAAGCTATGATTGTTCTGATGAATCAATGGTAATTTTAACAATACTCACGCAATTTAAAAGAAAAATTGAACAATTAAAAATTACTTTTTAGGGATATGCGTCTTCCTTTGGTAGCGCCGCGGGCTTCGGACCAACAATGAGTAACCCTTGCGGTGGTGCATTTATGGTAATTTTGGAGATATATACTCTCTAATTATTTGAATATTTCAGCCGTTGTTGAAAATGTACAATTAATAATTACATTTTAGGGACAAGATGATGAATCCATGTGGCAAGAGCGTCCTCCAAAGGTAATGTGTCTTGACATTAATATTTTTAACGATTATTAAAATATAAAAATTTTCTTTTTAGACGGCTGAACAAGAAGATCTGGAGTTCGAGGTAAGTATTAAACATTTGTAATATAATCTAAAACTTTTATTCCGACTAAATGGATACTAATAGTTTGCTGTGGTTGGCCCTTACTTTCCTAGGAAATAGCATTGAATCAAACTTTATTTTTATAATATTCATGGAATAAACATAGCACACAGAGAGTTATTAAATGTAATAATAAAAAGTCTAGCCATTTTTATTTGTATCCATAGTCCCTTAAAGCATTTTGGTATTCTCATTTCACGAATTCTAATAAAAATAATTGAATTCTATTCATTCTAAAGCCACGAATTTATAATCAAAATTTTTTCTCAGAAAGCATTTTTCGTATCCAATCCGGTGGTAATTCTATATTAGCCATAATTTTTTCTTTCAGAGTAGCAAAAAAATACTTGCAACTTACAAAAGATTACATGTGAAGCAACAACAATGCTCTCGAAATCTTCAGAGTTGGGTTTCACTCGTAAATAATTGTATGTCTTAAGTTTCAGTGCAGCCAAATTCAAAAATCAGTCTATTATGAATGTTCATTGAAAATATATTGCAAAACTATAACCATCCGTTAAAATCATATGAGCATTATATTTGGTAATAAATTTAAGTACATAAATAAATAAATTAATTTAAATATGTTAAATAAAAATGCTAAATATTCCAAAATGAATATCAGAAATTCATTTTGTTCTCTTTTATTTGAATTAATTAATTTTAATATTTACAATTTTTATATTTTATATTGTACACAACACAATATGTCAAATAAAAAATATGTCAAAAAAGGCATTTAAAATATTTTAAAAATGATGGCAATTTGTTTCAACCAGGCTTAATGCTGTTTTTTTTTGACAACTCTGAAAGAAAAAATCACGACTGCATGTCTGAAGTAGTATACTTAATTTTCCCTCTATCGGGACAAATGTAGTAGCAAGCTTTAAAAACATTAATGACACTCAAGCCAATTTAACTATTTTTTATGATTTTTTTAAGATTATATTTTATAAGATCAGATCATGAACTCAAATGTCTTCTATGATACATACCATCCATGAGAGTTCAGGACAAATATGATCCTAATTATATATAATAACAAGCTGGCCGTTTTTATTTGAAGCAAGTCATTTCGTTTCATCCCTGAGGGATCAGATCTAATATAGTTCAGTTTACTGATTGTGTTTGTTAAAAAAAGCAAAATTAATTTTTTAGAGTAAACCAAAGATGAATTCTATGTGGCTTATCACTTAAATTGATGTCTGCATGGAAAAGTAGATAAACTTTCAATGATCTTTCCTTTCTTTTTGAATGATTTTAACTACTTGTATGCCATTATTTATATTTTTTAAAATGATTTCGAAGTTCCCTTAATTAGATTTTCATTTTAATAAGTGCATTAATTTACAGTAAATAAATTCAGTGCCATCCAAACAAAAAAGATAATGTTTCAAAGGCATAAGCGTAGCGTTTTATATTATAGACCTCCCGTAAATTCTTTATAGGATACATAAATTCCAAAGCTTTGTAGATAATTAAATTAACAAATGAGTAAAAAATGATACCTTAAATGTTAACTAAAGCTATATAAAAAAAAACATTATTTAATTTAATAAACTTTAACTTTTTAGGCTAAACATTTTTATGGAGTTCAAGAAGTCTCCGATGCTGATGTATCGAAGCTACCAATATGTCTATCGGTAATATATTAATTTTTATGTATATTTTGAGCTTGAAAGTCCTATCATCTATTTTAACAATTTGAAATTCAATTAATATCTACCGTTTTATTGAAGAATTACTATCATTTTAATGTAATAGTTTAATTTGTCTTAGAGGCACGTATATAAACTTTTAAAGAATTAATTTGAAATATATAAAAGTAGAATATTCTTGAAATATTGTATAAAGTGGGACTTTCAATTTATATAAGTTTAACTATTGTTTATATAATTATTATAATATAATTTTAACAAATAATATTCTCCTTTTATTTTGTAGCCTACGCCTGAAAGACCTGCATATGTAAGACTATATTAAATTTTTTAAACTTATGCACCTTTATTAATATTTACAATATCTGCAAAATATTTTTTAGCTACCAAGTGATATAACTCAAAGAGCACATGTAATTATATTTCTTAAATAAAATCTTTTCATATTTCTACTTAAATATTTGCTTATAGCAATGTCAACGTCATGCGAGGACTAACAGGCGTCTGTTCTATGTACCGGAGGTAAGTTCTCTTCACAGATTTGTACTAATTCACCCTATTATTTACAACAACACAAAAAAAATGGATATTATTTACCTTTAAGAGTATAGAATATTTTATTATTCTTAGATGTCTTACCAAAAATATTTTTCTTACTTTATATATTTCTTTTTCAGGATTGGAATATACCAAGGGTAATAACAATTATTTTTCAGAATTGTCATTCTAATTACATAATTTTTCAAATATTTTTTTTTATAAAACAGGAAGATAGCAGCTGTGACTTAGGAGGGGTAAGAATAAACACGATTATATACAATTATTTTATATAACATAAGTCACGACAACACATCATATTTATGGGTCGATAACCATGAAAACGGTTATGGAGCCATGACAGTGAGAAAGCTCCAGTTCTTGAATAGGTAGAGATTAGGACACACAAATAGACAATTTCAGTTTGTTATTAAATTCTTTAACAATATCTTTGCAAAATTTTCACCAACCAATTAATCTTTGAAAAAAACCTGCAATGGTCAACAATATACTATACATGTTCCATCTGTATACAACTATAGCTTTCACCGTCAGTTGGCAGTGAAACAAATTCTTACTTCATCAGTATTTATTTCATTTATAAAAATATTTATGATTTCAAGACATTCTTAAACTAGACCCAAAATACCATAAAGGACTGACATATCTAACAAAGTGTGACTAATATAATGTTTTTTCTATATCTACTTGCTGTAGGGGTTTTAACTCACAGATATAAAAAATAGTGATTTATATTTAACTATTATATATATACAGTATTTAACATATTAACATTTCAAAATTATATAAACGTGTAGTTGAATAATAGTTATGTGCTATATCTTGCACCAAACTGACAAAGGGTCATTTAAAATTCTGGCTATGAGATTAGACCGGATATAAAAAAAATTTTTTTTAAATTGTAATTTAACGTCAGTTATGATGATAGTAACTATTTTACTTAAAAGAATTTAATCCGAACCCTCTGTAAAAATTTTTATAAAAGGCGGAGAAGGCAGAAGGAGAAGAAAATGGGTGCTTCGGAAAACAACAATTCATTCAAATAATATAATACATCATATCTGCTTGCTAAAGCCGATTTGAAATTTATAGTTTGTCAATTCTGTCTTTTCATAAAAATTTTTAATCATTTTGTGTAAATCAAAGTAATAAGTAAAGTAATAAGTAAATGAACCGTTTCCAGAAGAAGATATATATATCTTTGCTCGAGAAGAAATACATCCTTCCTTTAAAGGAATTTGACATGACCCGCCTTTTAAGTCTTATACCCAACAGACAATTAGACTACAGTCACATAGTTTCCGGCTTTAAACACAACTACCACAAAGCTCCCTTTAAAGGACCAACTTCTATTGGTTAAAACAGCCAAAGCTACTGGCCTTAACCTCCCTGATACCAGATACATCTACACCTCTATTCGGGTTTTATAAATAAAACTTACTCATTACTAGTTATACTCCAAACAGTACCGGATGGTACCAACTGCATTTTAGTCGGTTATTACGGCAAGTATATCTTGCCTGGGGAAATTTCTAAGCCCCATCCATTATCTGAGATACAGTAGTCAGTGACTGTAGCCTAATCCTGCGTAGTGCTTAAGTAATGCATTTGTTTAACTTTGTTTTTTGACATTCCCAGTAAATACATCAACCCACTGCAAACGTTAGCTATTCACTAAGCAACAGTTTAATAAAATAAAATAAAGTAAAAATGACACCACATTTATTTTAAAGGTATATAGGGTTTCAGTACTGTTACTAAATTTAGTACTCTATATTCAACCCCTATACGACTGTATTTTACATTCTTATGACAATCTATATATGTAAAAGATAAATTAGCATCAATATTTATGATTTTAAGCAAATACTAATTAAGATCATAGATTAAAGTAGACTTTTAAATAAATAGACTTTTAAACTTTTATAAGCATGAATAAAAATAATATTTATTATAATAAATATTATTTTTCTTTTCCTTAAAATTTTAATTTTCGATTAGTAGTTAATAATCCCATGTAAGGGTCCCAAAAATGTTCTATGAATAATATTTTTAATAATTGATTTAAGAATCAATTAACTTAATTAATTATATATAATTATTAAATTTTATTCAAAATGAGCATATAAAATCTATGAAAAGTTTCTTATAGTGCTTTATATAAGGTCACTTATAATATATTGTAGCCTTAAAATGTGTGAGATCAATACTGATACAGACTGATACTGACAAAGAAAAAATAAAACTAAAATAATCATTATGAACTATAAACAAATTATTTATTAACTACATATATCTATGCGAAATAATATTTTTATAGATTGAGTTTATGCTCGATATTAATCACGAAACAACAAAATTACTGATACAATTCCTAATATATATATACCCTTCAATATATTATATAATTATGCTATATTCTATTCTATAGTTGAATAATTCCAATTTTATATTTTTATATATATATAATTAATTATATGTAATATTCATTCTTCATTAAATCAACGTAATATAAAATTATTTTATATTTTGCAGCCTCTATATAGTCCTCCTCATAAAGCGATAGAAGGCCCATGTCCTCAACGACGAGTAAGTCTCTTTTGTTGTGCAACTTATCAATTTATGTTTTTCATAAAACCATATACACATTAAAAACTTAATTTGATTAAATTTATTACTTAACGAAATTTGTATTTCAAGGCGCCACCACGTCGAGCCCCTCCTCAGCGACGAGTAAGTTCCTAATATTTTTATTATTTATTGATTAAATAGATTTTCAGAAAGATTATACTTTAATTATTAGAAATAATGTAAAAAATATATAAATTAACTAAACTTATCCCTTAAGGCGCCAGCAGCTCGACCGTGCCCACCACAACGTGGTCAACCACGTGCTCCACCACCTCAACGACGAGTAAGTTGCTGTATTATATATTATAATTAATTATTTTAGCTATTCATATACGCGATATATAAGAAACTTTATATATTTCTGAGAAATAAATTAATAAATTTATTATTAAACTAAACTTTTACGTTAAGGCGCCAGCAGCTCGACCGTGCCCTCCTCAACAACGAGTAAGTAAAATTATTTTTATGAATAAGCTGTATTGTATATATTACATCATTAATTGACACAGCTGTTAACAAATTTACGACGACATATTTCAACCTTTTTTATAATTTCTATAAGTAATTTTTCAAATTTGTAACAACACTATATTTCTATTCTAAAGGCACCACCACCTCGTCCATGCCCTCAACCACGTCCTCCACCACAGCGTCGAGTAAGTAAACTTATTATTTTGAATAATTGATATAGTTATGAATAAATTTTTCTTTGATAAAAATAATTTTTCTAACTAATAATCAAACCATATTTATACTCCAAAGGCGCCACCACCACGACCATGTCCTCCTCCACGTGCTCAACCACGTCCTCAACAACGAGTAAGTCTGCTAGAAATTATTGTAAAAACTTATCATTCAACCATTGTTATACTCTAAAGGCACCGCCATCTCGACCATGTCCTCCACGTGCGCAACAACGTCCTCAACAACGAGTAAATATCATTATTTTTAAACATAATTAGAATATAATTATATTAAGAAATCTTAAATCTTATTATAATACATGTTGAATCCCATTTTCACACTTATAATTTAACCAAATCTATACTTTAAAGGCACAACCATGTCCCCCGCAGCGTGCTCAACCACGTCCTGCTCAACGTGCTCCACCATGTCCTCAACAACGTCCTCCTGCTCAACGTAATCCACTACCTCCTAGAATTAGGGTAAGCTTCTATATACCTATTTAAAATTATTTTTTGCTACACTTTACTATTAAAATTTAGCTCTTAAATAACTAATTGAATTAAATAAATAATTAATAAATTATATGTATTTTTTTCTTAAAGATCGAAAATGTTGACAGTTCAATGGTAAGTGCATATATTTCTTCCAAAACTTTTAATAAAATTAATAATAAAATTAGATCGATATGTTTTCGACTAAACCAATTAACTACAATAAGATAATTTGTATTTTATACGATTATACTCTTATATATGAATATTATTATATGCTACTGAACGCTTTTATGAATATATTTTCTATTTTTATGTTTTTTACATATGTTTTTTTTTCATTCATAAGTAATTCATTGTTTAATTAAAAAATTTATGTACATTTTAAATAATTAAAAAAAAAATAGAAAAGCTTTTACTAACAATAAGATTTTGTGACAAATTATGTTAATGCGAAAAATTATTAAACTATATCCCACAGCTAATTTATAACTACTATGACTGGTATTTAGTATAATAATATTTCTGTTTGCATAGATTGCATATAACATATAGAAATCATAATTGCCAATTACATGATTTCAATAACTAATAAATTTTATATATTCAATTACTCCTTCTTGCAGAGCACAATATAAATAATTCTTTAAAATTAGTATTAGAACAATTTTTTATAAAATAAAAATTAAATTCTGTTAATTTTCTGTTAATCTTAAGTCGTAAAAACACAAAAATTACATTTTCTTATTTATTTAATATCAAATCACACTACCAAATATAAATTTAATAAACAAATTGTATTTTTGATAGCAGATTGCAAATTTTATATAAATTTCCAAATATCATTCACAATAGACAAATTTGAAGTTTTGGCAACCCTGCTTTGCGAGGTGCTTAGCAATTAGTGGTATGTTATGATTGAAGTCACAGTCACAAATTGTTATTATTTTCAATACAAAATGAAGGCTACCGTCAGTGTCAAATTTTCATTTTGCATTGTAAGCAACAACAATTGCGTGACTGTGATTGCAATCATAACAAGCCCCTAAATATGTTTCAAAAAAATTGGGTTGTACTAGCAATATTATTGTCCTATATTTCATTTAAAAATAGTTGGTTGTTTTTTTGCAATCTGTTAACAAAAAATATATCACGTCAAATATATATATTTAACACTAAAATGTAAAAATTATTCACTTCTAGGATTCACCTCAACCATGTCCGCGTCCAAGAGCTCCACCACGCATTCCACAACGTCAACGCCCTCAACCACGTAATCAACCATGTCCGCGACCAGCACTATTTAAGGTATAAAAATACTAGTCCGATATGGCAGCATTTTCTATACTACCTGTTCTACTAAATTTTAATCCAGTTAATCCTTGGGCAAAAACAAGATATCGACTCTTCCCTCGTATATAAAATGCTATCATGATTGTTCTTTTATATATAAGAACCAAAAATTATATATCTCTTTATTGAAATTTTAATAGAAATTTTCAATTTAGAATTTGAAAATAGTATAGTCTTAGTATAGTCTTACTAAAGCTATACTCTGGGCTCTATTTGAATTTTTTTAATTGAAGTTAACATATATTATAAAAAATGTAATATTCATCATTGTAGATCATTTGTATTTGTTATTAATTATAGTAGAAGTATGCAATTTAAAATTATAATGAAAGTTATTATAATTGTAAACGTAATGTTAGCAATAGTTTGCTAAGGGATTATAATATTATTATTATTTAAATAGGCTATTTATGCACCCCGACCTAAAAGATTTATTGCGCGCCTATAGACCCAACTAGGACAATTTTAGACTATTTATAAATCTTGTAATTGCAGTGGGCTTAATTTTACCTATTTGATTTGGGACCAGGATCCCGCTACCAAGGTAATCGAGTCTACGTCTTGCCACCGCTGGGCAGTTGCATAGAACATGTTCTGATGTTTCCCTCTTCTCATGACAGAGTCGACAGGAATCACTTTATATCGCACCTATAATCTTTATGTGGTAATTAAGTCTACAGTGTCCTGTAAGAAGTTCAGTGTAGATTTTGATATCATTTCTGCTAAGGTTGATGATAGCATCAACTTTGATGTGTTCAGTATCAATGAATCTTTTTGACTGTCGCATGCCTGTTTGGGCTCTCCAGTGTTCAAGTAGATAAGGATTATAATAGTATGTTTCGCATTTTTATAAGAAATCATAATATTTGAATTAAATTTCAAAATTGCTTGTCGTGATTTACTATATGGGTTACCTAAATAAACAGTAAATATTAAATTCAGCTTTCTTATGAACTTTGTCAGACTTAATATCCTCTTTCAAACGAAAAGTATCAAAACTGTTCGTTACCCGATATTCAAGAAAACGTACTCTCTGTTGTAGAACAGATTTATTATAAATTTAATCAACGTCTATTAAAGACATTAATACCCGATAAGCGAATTGGGTTTCAGTTGAATTACCTCCGTAAAGCAGTTAATTTCTATTATTATTCAATACAGATATTTGATCAATCGATTGATAAATATGGAGTAACTTTTTTTATCGAGATTAGTGCAATTTTCAATTTGGATTGATGAAACTCAAGAGAAATGTATAACACTTAAACTTAGTTTATAACACTCTAGATATTTTTAAGATTTCCTAAAAATTAACAGCTACTTTATACCAGATATGTTAACACATTCAAATTATTGTAGCTTAAGAAGCATATAGCGTAACTGTACATTTATCAATATATAGAAAAAGGTTTCATTAAACAAACCAACGAGAATAAATGATCAATAATATTCCGTACTAATCTAGGAGTTATTGTTTAGAGTAGTGGTTCCCAACCTTTTTTTTGACCAAAGACCACTATAATATTTTTGTTTTTTGTAGAGACCACAAAATTTAAGAATAATAAACTGTATGATTAATTTAATATGCTTTATACATCTCTCTATAATCTCATCTCTCTATAAGATAGGTATATAATTACATTATTTGTGCTTATTTTTTAATAATTGAGGTCTAAGAGGACGAACTACAAGCTATGTATCCATATCTATTAAAATTGATTTTCGGACCATTTGTAACCATTTGGTTAGAAAGATTATTTGAAATAATTGTATAAAAGTATATAAAATAAGTTGCTTTTATCAATTTCAAAAGAAAAGAATCGAGTATTTATAATTATCAAATAAAGCCCAGTCTCACTTTAAATAATTAAAAATAACTATATTTAGTACCTAATGTTTATAATTATTATAATAAAAATTTTTATTTTAAAGACTGCATCTGCTCAACAACCGGTAAGTGTCATATACAGTATTAAAAAATTTGAATTTCAATACGAGGGAAGGTCAATAGAACTTTAACTTTTCATAATGCTGTACTTTTCTGTTCGAAAGAGAATTTTATAAATAGAGAAAATAATTAAAAAAATAATATCCATGTTCTTTCGCATTGTTGACATGACCGTTTTTGAGACAAACTATATCTATACCAATACGTCGATCCCTACACGAATTTGAACTTTTGCAATTTTAATGCATTCATAAAAGTGGACTCTCTTGCGCATTTCAATATTCTATTATTTTTAAGAGTCGATCCTGCATATCGTAATAACTTGTCCATATTAAAAAAAACAAGCGGGTTGACTGCAGATAATGCTAGTCATAGAAGTCACCGGTGGAAAGTTATCTCTCAATCATTGTTAATTACCAATTACTCTGTGTGGTTATATAGTATTTTGAACTCTGAGGTATCTCTCTCAATCTCAATCTCGCTCTCGCTATATTTGATTACTTACGATTTAAAAACACCTTCCCATGCTTTTTAGCAGCAAACATATTCGGATTACTGTCCACATCATTATTAACGGCATTGGTGGTTGTTCGCTATTTGAGGTCTTTCAAATATCTTAACTTGCGCACGTTAATTAAATTTCATTGTTTCATTATTTCAGTATTTTAAAATAATAAGTATCTTCTCATCAACGAAAATGCGATCGTACACGCGAAAAACCCGCTTCAATAAGCATCTGTGACATTCTCATCCTTTGAATATTTATAGGTATCTCTTTCAATAGATTGCTTGGTTTATAAATTCAGATTTTATCAGATAAATAACTATTTTTTTTTTATTGCTAGAGATAATACTAAGTTCTGTGTAAGTTTTTGCACATTTTTGCACAATCATTTACTATTATATAAGCTTAAAAGTTATTGCAGTTCAATTGGACCTCCCTGAGTATTTGCGCCGTAATGTGAATCTGATCTTAAATAACATAAATAAATTTAAATAACATATACAATTTATATTATGTCATATAACTAAATATACAAAATTCCTTGTTAGTGTCCACATGCCGCTGCCGGAGGATCTAACATGAATCTGCAACAACAAAGGCATGCAGATAGGGTAGGTGAAATAATATAATGATTTTGAAAATAATTCATATATTGCAATCTTTTATATACAGATAAGAAGAGCAAGAGAACAAAGAGCGGGCGTAAGTATTTTAGAATTTTTGAAATATATGAAATATCATAGACCATAATAACAGGTCTTAATTATCTATGATTATGATATGTTGTTCCTACTGTTATATAAAACTCATATATCTGAGATATATAACTGTTTTTAGCTAGTACAAGTCAATATTAATCAGTCGATAACTCCATTCTGAAACATTAAGAGACAAATGTTTGTGCCATGTAATTTGATACTACAATTGCTAAATATTCTTTTTGTAGGGCGCCCAACCATGTCCTCCGAGACGTGCGCAACCATGTCCCCAACCACGCGCTCAGTCACGTGGTCAACCATGTCCTCCACCTAGAGTAAGTATTATTATATAGAAAGTCATGGTATGTATAAATTATGTTCTTTATATTATATGATTCTTTTCCTCTGCTTATATCTTGAATATTACTTTATATATTATAATTATATCAAATTCAAAAGTAGCAGCGATAACAAAGATTGCTGTGTAAGTTACTCTTACAGTCCTGAGAGTTGAAGGCTTTGTTACTCATTACCAACAGTATCGCGTCTGTATAGAGTTTGCACGCTGATAGTTATGTTAGAACCCCAAAACCTTCCATAGACTTAACAGAATATGAAAACATATTGTCCATAATGTCAATTAAATTTATGCAAAACATATAGCATTATACCACCAAAACGTTTTGATAAATCGCAGGATATGAATATATAAGTGATATGGAAACAATGCTTTACAATATGGAATGATTCAAAGCTCATTTATTGACTTTTATTGATGTTATACCAATATGATATACCAATACCAAAATATCCAATATATCAAATACCAATATATATACTAATATACCAATATATCAAAAATTCTGAACTGTTAGGATGATGAACTGAGGTAGAAATTTTATATAAGATAGATAAAATTCCAAATCTGGTGACGGAAGATTGTAAAGTTTGTATGCTCTAGATTACTGATATAAAACTCTGGTTTAATGACAGTGGATCAAAAAGAAATCGTAAAAAGTTTCTGTGCCAATTCATTATTGTGTTCGAAACATAGATTTGTTACTACATATCTAAATTGATAGAACTACCGAAATAATTAACTTCGCCGGGCCATCCACAAAGTCGGTCAGAAGACTTATAATCAATGCTTTTTAAAATGTTTAGCAAATACTTTATACCAATTTATATCGATATTCGAGCATAATTTAATACTTTCCATATAATATCCAGAAGAACATTTGCATTTCGCCAAGACACATATACATATTATCTTAGTACCGGATCTCTAAAATGAACTTTAACTAGAAGAGAAAAGTTTTCTGGAAGAGAACATAAAAATAAGTGTTTATATTGTAACTTAAACAATCGCATGCTTATTTCAACGAGGTAGTACTTATTTCACAATCGACAGATATACTACATAGATAGTTTTTTAAATGTAATAATATTGGAATCTGATTTGCAAAATGCAGAAAATTGGAACCTGAATCGGGAAATGCAGAAAGAGTGAAATAAAGGGACTACATTATTTCTTCATGGAATATAAGCACTTTATGTAGATCCATTTACAACACCATTTGTAGTTATGTTCAAATCACTGCTCGAATTGAAGTATCGTAAGATAAATTATTGATATTTTTAAGTTTTCATTCGAATTTTATGACTATTTTATACATATATATACACACTTAGCAAAAAAATTAATTAACACTAATAATAATAATCAAAATTTTAATTTGCAGGCTCCACCACCACAACGGGTAAGTAATAAATATTTTAATAAGTTTAAGTCTAACGTACTTTAATGTTCGAATTAATGCGTTATTGATTCAAATATTCCCCTTCTTATTTCTACAATTATCTAAAAAGATAAATCGATCTATGTTTTATTCATATAGATGCAATTATAATCAAATTTTTGAACATTGTACATATAATACGACATTGTAAAAAACGATTAAGTACTTAAAGTTGGATTTCAAAGTGAAATATTATATATAGGCGTTTTCTTTTGTAAACATATCGCAAAAGAACGACATAAAATTAGCACTGCTTTTCATGGCAACTCTGAAAACACCAGAAATTTTGTTAGGCTTATATATGCAAAACACATATAAAAATTAATAAATCTTACAATTATGTATAAGAATATTTTATTTTACACATGATTATGAATACATGTATATTCAAGCTTTTTCAAGAATTGAGTATAATTTTTTAATTTCAATAAATTCAAAGAAATTGAGTATTATTTGTCAAATATTTGTTGGTAGGTAACTGAAAATTTTGTACTTACTTCCAAAAATCGTTCACAATAGGCGAATTTTTAGTCTTGGCAACCATGCAAGTTAAGCTACTGTTTAGTTAAGCGGTTTTAAAAATGTTAGAATAAATAAGCCAGCAGTGTTGTTGTTTCATGTGTCATTTCTAAAATAAGCGGTTGTTCTTTTGTGATATGTTTACAAAAGAAAAGGCCAATGTCGATTTTATTAATGAAAATCTATTAGTGTAGCTAAAATGAGTTTGCGTGATAATGTTATTACGCTCAAATATATGAAAGAAGTAGAAATAACTTATCATCATCTATAATACAGTATCATCCTTTGACAACATTCTTATCGTCATCATACAGCATTATCATTTAATATTTCCTTTAACATTTGTTTAAAACTCACTTTTTCTTCAAATGACATAATAACCATGAATAATCATGAATGAATAATCATAATCATTAATATTTTTGGATTTAATTAACTTTAACAATGCTCATATCACAATCACATAAATTTATTATAAATAATCAACCATTCTTTAAATACAACAAAACATATTCCTCTGTTAATTATCATAACATATTATTTCATAACATGTATAACATATTATATCATATATCTAAATGAAACAAATTTCGCATTAGTGTCCACAAACCGTTGCGAGAGGATCTTCTTACATGAATCTACCTCAACAAGCACATGCAGATAGGGTAGGTTGAATGATATAATGCTCTTGAAAATCATTCTTATGTCACACTCTTTCATATACAGATAAGAAGAGCTAGGGAACAAAGAGCATGCGTAAGTATTTTAGTAATTTCAATTTTTTTAATTAGAACCTGAAACATAGACTCACGGTTGCCACTTATGGTACTTTAGTACCAAAATTGGTACTTTTTTTTTTTTTTTTTCGTTTGGTACTCATTTTAAAAAACTGGTACATTTTTGACGACCCAATTTTATTGTGGATATTTCCAATTAATTTTTTTTATAAATGCAACTTTGCACTATTTTATATTTTTTCATTTATAACACTATAAAAAACACAGAACGAGAAAACAACAATGTCCAAAAAAATTTTGGACCTTTTTTTATAGAAATGGTACCTTTTTAAACCAATTTTGGTACAGAAAAAAATTTTCAAGTGGCAACCGTGCATAGACCTCATAAATTCTCTATGCTTAAAACAAAACAATAAAGTAAATTGCGAAAATACATGTTATCAAACAAAATCCTTAAAAAAATTGTTCGAATAGATAGAATTATGTTACTTAATACCGCCTGTAGTATAGTTGTACAGATATATTTTATTTTTGACAGTTGGCAGTTTTATTTTTTACAGTTGACATAAGTAGATGAGTATGAGTCCATAAATTTGTTTTCTTGATTGCTTAATAACTAACTGAGGAAAGTTTTTAAATTTAGTTCAAAAAAGTTTTCAAACTGCTTCTTCTTTTCACCTCTCTTACTTTTTTATTAATTAATTAAAATTACAATTTACTATTAATTTACTATTATTATCAAATATAGTTTTGAAGTAGAATTGAATAATATTTTGATTCTAGGGTCCAGCTCAACAGTATCCTCCAATGCGTTCGGCACCATGTCCCCCAGCACGCGTGCAATCACGTCCTCAGTGCCCACGACCAAGAGTAAGTGCAAGTATTTTTAGAGATAATCAATTCCTTATTATTAAAGCTTTATATGTTATTTGACCTATTTGAAGCTTAAAGCATTTTAATTTTTCGAGTATATCATATGGTGCTCGAGCACTAATTGTTTTGCATATGGAATTGTTTTGTTACTCGAATATCTCCGAATAGTCCGAACATCTTTGAGTAGCTCAAATATCATTGAGTAGCTCAAATATCTTCGAGTAGCTAGAATATCTTCGAGTAGCTTGACTATCTTCGTATGGCTAGAATATCTACAGGTAGCTCGAATATCTTCGAGTAGCTCGAATATCTTCAGGTAGCTCGAATAACTGCCAGAAGCTCGAATATCTTCGAGTAGGTCTAATATCATCGAGTTGCTCAAATATCTTCAAATAGCTCGAATATCTTCGAGTAGCTCAAATATCTTCCAGTATCTCGAATATCTTCGAGTAGCTCGAATATCTTCGATTAGCTCAGATATCTTCGATTAACTCGAATATCTTCGATTAACTCGAATATCTTCAAATTGCTCGAATATATTAGAGTAGCTGGTATGATGATTGAACAGTTTAAACAATAGTTATTACCTATCACTGCTTAAAATATTGTATAATATAATAAAATATTATATATACAATGTTCATTTTTTGAGTTTTGTGTTTTATATTGTTTTTTTGCATTAAATGTAATTAAAATTTATAAATTTGTTAAGGTTCAAATTTTATTGGATTTCAGAGATTAGATTTATATTTTGAAATGATAAAATTTTTTATAATTACTATAGAAATATTTTATGTTCACAATATTTTTTTAAAATATAGTTTTTATATACTATATACTATACAATAATAATAAAATCTTGTATTTTTAGGCTCCACCCCCTCAACGACAGGTAAGTAATAATCTTTTTATGCTTAAAATTTTCTAATATACACATAATTACTAAATATGATTTATAAGCCAACCATACTTGCAAGAACACATATTATCAAATAAAATTAAGTTGATATGATTTATAATATTCATAATGTATATATGAATATATCATATATATATATGACTTTAAAATGTAACAAGTATTTGCAAATATTGTATACTACAAAATATTTTCATTGAACTTAAAGCAAATTCAAAACTATATATGTATATATTCAATTTACTTGGACTTAATTAACTTTCAGCCGTTTATCTGATCAAAATTGCATCAAATTTTTATTATTAATCGTTTTGTCAAATTTTATGATTTGTTAAATTTGACAAAACGAGTTTCTTGACAAACACAAAATACTACAGTAACTACAATATTATATCTAATAATTGTATGTATAAAATTTTACTTTAGTGTCCGTTACATGGTGCAAGCGGATCTTCTATGAATCTGGCTCAACAACAACATGCGCAAAGGGTAAGTAGCATGATATATCAGTCGTATTCTGTAGCTCCGAAATTAATCAATTATTAATAAATCTTCAAATGATTATTCACCGTACCATTGAATTCATCGCTTGGAAACATTAAATTCTACAACATTTGAGTTACGATTACAAAACTAAGATTGCCAATATTCTAGAATGGTGGTGTTACCATATTAAAAATTTTCGATTTTCGTTTGAATAAACAGAGTATGAGTATATGACTATAGTTGTATAGTTCGCTTATATATGGGTTTCGGTCACTGCAGAACGGCATATTTTTTCTAATATTTTTAAAACAATTTTATAAATTTACATCTTTCCTATACAGATAAGAGGTGCAAGGGAAAATAGAGGATGCGTAAGTACTTTGAAATTTTTAAGTTAGTAACATTTTTAATTTGTTTCAAATAGGCATGGGGATAGGAATATTGCAAACCTTAAAGGACTCATATGGACGGTAGAAGTTCTAAGATTTGTTTTAAATAGCATTGGTAAGAGGAGCGCTACAAAGCTTAAGAAATTTATATGGGTCGTCTGATTCTGTAATAAGGCAATGTACTCTATCTTATAAGAACCGTGATATACAGGTAATCAAAAGATCATCGATCACTACATTTGTTGTTGTTTTCAGCGCTTTTACTTGTTTAACTTGAATAGAGACTAACAACATAGGACAGTTCTTTTAAACACTATTAGCTATTATGAGGCATAGTAAAAACTAAAAATTATAAAAAATATGGGATGGTGAATTCTTGCTACATGACAGAAAAAAAAATTGTGTGAAAATTGGTAAGTGGGATCCTTTTTCAATATTAAGCCGCATGTAGAAAGTGATATATTCAATATTTTTCTTAAAAGATTAGTTTTGCATTTTTATAACTATAACTTTCAACAGCGTTTGGGTTCGAAGACACGTCAAACATCAATTTAAATAATATTTTACTAAATTTTATTTTTAAGTCAATTTTGACGAATGAACTAGGTCTAGGATTAAACAATTAAAAAACAGTTATTAGTTCTAATATGACACAACAAACGAATTTGTTATTGAACTTTCACAACAAATTTATAATAGTCGAAATTAGAAAAATACAAATATAACTTTGGATCACTGACTCTGAGCTTCAAATTTGACAGAGAACATGTTCAATCCTTGGTATAAAATAAATTATTTATGAATAATTATATATAAGAAATATTTTCAAAAGGACTAATAATGTTAAATATTTGGTAATTTAAATACTGGCAATGCTCAGAACAGCTGTATGAACAGCTAAAAATATAATTAATTATTAACAAAATTTTGAAAGATTAAAGGATTTGGTACAAAATTTATATTTTGATTTTATTCGTTTTTTCAGGAATGCTTTCTTTTGTTAACCTGTGTTCTGTTAATTTTGAGAATGTATTCCCCTATCTATAGTTTTTTTTCATTACTTTGACCCAAGATCAATGCTTGAAGCACTACACTTTAAAGTGATAACCGCAATATTTTTTAAATCTTACATATTTTATTTAATATTGTTTTTCTTTCTTTTTCAAAGGATGATCAAAGTGAATCAAAGTAATGCTTATACAAAAAAAACAAAGAGAAGAACTTAATGGATGTGAGAGTTCTGCGTTTTTTAAGTGGTGATTATTGCGAACAAAAAATTATATGAATTATCGATTTTTTAACAATAAAATGCAAAATATTGTAACACTCTTAATGCCCAATAAATTAAATACAACATAATGCTTGACTTGCTTATTTAAAATTTTAAACGCTACTTACATCTGATTTCACCTATTTTGATGTACAAATCTCCAGTTATCTCATGGCTCTATACCTATTTTCATGGTTATCAACCCATCCCGGACTCGGTGTAGTAGATACACCATCCGGAAAATTCTACTTTTTTTATTGTGCCCAGGTCCATACCCAATCCAAAGTATTTTATAGATAGTAGTAAAACAAAACTACCTAATAACGTCTTTGGAGATATGAAGTCATATCTCTAGTTTTGTTTGACATATTGAAAATAGTTTCTGTATACCAAAAGAATATAATATTAATACATATGTTTATTAATATATAATATTAAATTTGCTTCAGACACGTTAATAAACTGCAACAAACATCAGAGTATTTTGAAAAGTACTTTAGGAATATCAAGTTTTTAAGAAATATTATATCATATTTTTAAAACTCTTTATTTAGTGCTTGTTATAAGTACATAACATTTTATTTCTAAAGAACATTGGAAAATTACTATGTAAGAAATCTGGAACCATCTTGTGAAATAAGCAAAATCATCATATAAAAAATAGGTAGTTTAACAACTGGCAATTCTCATGCTTATATTAGTATTGCAATGTTATTTGACTTATCCATCTCATTATATTAAAGATATTCACTATGTCATGAAAACTCATTGCAAAGTACACGAAATGAACAGATTGCGCGAGATTACAATGGACAAGAATGGACAAGATATACGCATAAAGTTTCTTACTATTGCTTGCAATTGTGCTATACCTAAACTTTTGTATGCATGCTTGCAACGAAGCAAAAAAGGAAATAAAACAGCTGTTCTGACATCTGCTATTTCTCATGTGGATATGGTATGCTGCAAAAACAGCTGTTTCATGTTGATCTTGCAATATTAGCAACAGAGATGTTCTCCCACGCTTGCAATTTCAGTATATCATTCTTGCATGTCGTGCACCTTGCAATATTTTTACAGGACAGAGTAAATACCCCTATTATTTTATTTGCATTGCACAGAATATATGGCATTTAAAATAGTAGAAGATTTCAAAGGCCGATGTAAAGAAAATAGAGTATGATAGAAAAAAAATTTCTGACAATAAATGTTAAAAAAATATAAAAAAAAATGTTGAAAAAAATAAAGAAATTAATTTTATTGGAAATAAAAGTCTTGGAACATTTAATTAGACATGAAAGTAATCAAAACGCAGATATATTAGACATCAGTTTAAAGTACATAATATACTACAAATTAATATTAATATTAGTATTAGTATTATAATATAGTAATATAAAAGTTAACCAATTCCGATAAACATTTTTAATTAAACGATTATTCTTTCTAAATACATACTATAAATAGATTGTTCTTTTGAAACATGCATGGGAATAGTATTAATTTTGTTTTACTACTCGTAGTACCTACAGTTAAAATATGGGACATATACAAAAAATTTGCTTAAGGTATTAATATAAATATTAAAAACTTAACAAAGAAACTAACAATCTTTATGTCAAAAATTTATTTAAATAATAAAAAATAATTTAAATATTTTCCAAATATGCAGCAATAATTATTAATTTTTATAGCATAATTTTTCGGAAAATGGCCAATTTTATATATATCACAGATCATATTTAAGCGATTCTTTTCAGTTATTTTTTAAAATAATTGGCCTTCAAAATTAGAATGTGTTCACTGCAATAAATTTGTATAAATCCATCAAAGGAATACTCTATTGCTGAATTATTAATAAAAACTATGAAAACTTAATTTGCAATAATTTATTACGACCATTTTTGAAGAAAGTTAAAAGAACAACGAAGAGGACTTTCGGTAAGTATTATAATTTCTTTGTATTTTGTTAATTAATTGTAAAAACACAATTAAAGTTATTACAGTAATGAAGTATATTTTTGATAGTATGTGAATCAATTAAATAGAAGTACGAATGTATCTAAATTTGTCATTAAAAGTTTACAAGAATATAGGCAGACAATATGTATTATCAATGATTATACATTATTTATTTAATAA